TCGTGTTTTGCAAAGTCGCGTTACATTCGCGTGGCTAATGCATAGGTTTATTTCCTAGTAACATATTTTTTATGTAAAAATATGCAGTATGTGCTCGTGTTAGAATATTTTAGATCATTTCTTAGCAAGATCGGAGGTTAGTTGCCCTTCTAGCAATAACTTGAACATGAAACTTGGAGTCCTAATTAACTGACTCTGGGTCTTGATCTATTTCTTGAATGGTGAATCATTGAGCACTAAATTGTGATGATCGTGTTTCATCTACCATTAGCAAAATAATCTTGGTGGAAACGTCGGCACTGTTTACACTACTTACATCTATTTCATAAAAACCACCTAAAATAGGTTCATAATTTCCCCTTAGGTTCAATTTTTGCGAATTTCAGTCTACCATTTTTGAAGTAAATTAAAAACTATTAAAATTCTGCTATAAAAAAGCAAGTGATAACAATTTTGGCATCCACCATGAAAGATAAACCAATTAGCTAAAAAAGTCATGGTGATTTGTTAAGTATTTATCGCATGGCTTTCTGTTTATTGAGATTCGTGGTACATATTTTTTTAGAAAATGAAGTACACCTCTCACTAAAAATTGTGTTTTTTAAGCTGGAAGCTCGGACTTTTGTCCACTGGAAAATGTGTCATTTCCCTCGTATTAAGGTGAAGCAGTCGGTACTCGAGATATAGACCGCTATAAGCTGGTGCCTGATTGTGCTGTCAATCCTTTTGAAGGCAGTGGAATCCACATACAGGTTAACTCACAACCTTCCCACAACGCCAAAATGTCATAAACCAGATCACCGCCATAACGATTCTCTGGTCGAATGCGTGCTCGTCACCAAACCTTGCTCACTGGTCAATTGATATAAGTAAGCAAATGTTAATGAGCAGAAGAGCTTGTTGCTCTCCTTCAAGCTAATAAATAAAAAAAGGGATTTTATTGTTTCGTCTGTTGCAGAAACCACTTTTCTGCAGGAGTGCGATGGTTGATTATTTCGCAGTTACTTCAATCAAATGCCCACTGACTGAACCAAGAATGGAATGCGGGAATGTCTCTCTCACATGCCATGCAAACTCAAAGCGAAAATTCCCACCATAGAAGCAGTTGAACGGTAATTAATAAAACCCCAAAATACGGTTATACCAGAAAGAGAAAAAAATTCTTATAAAAATAAAACCTCCCTCCATCTTTCAGTAGCGAATTCTCAGTGACTTTCTAATCGTGTACTGCTTATAATTGGCACTTTTTCCCGAGACTCCTCCCCTATGTGTAGAAGCTGTACAAGAGAATATAAGACCCTTATTGGACCCTTGAAGATTTCAAGGGGCTCAAACAGAAGTCTCTAAGGTGGTGCTTTTGAGTCTGCTGGTGAGAGGCTCACGTGGTGAGCACAATCCAGGCATAGATGATTTGTTGTTTTATTGTTCTGGCTTTATTTTTATGCACCCTCTGGCCTACTATGTTATGGAGTCTAGCAAAGAAAGCTCCCAGCACGAATGACCTCAATGGTGAAGACCAGTTAATATTTGTTATTGAGACCTTAATGGTCGATGTGAACAAATCCTTTGTTACCTTAGGCACCACTAGCTGCATTAGTGTCTGAGCCCATTGTAGACTTTACTGCCCTGTTTTTACAGTGGTCTATGCGCTTAACTTTTTAAGTTTTCTTTTAATGGACTCCATTGTCAATCGCCCTTGGGCAAAGAAAAACCCGCCATTCCCATTTTATCAACAATCTCATCCCTCTATTTTAATGGCTCATACAGGTACTATTTAGCGTCTTCCAGTGAATTTTTACTGCCATTCCACTTCCTAGCTGGTAGCCACGACCCTTAACGACACCAAGGCCTACTAATCCCATGAGGCACTACGTCAACTGGCTCATCGAGTCATGGACTTTCGCACAACAGGGCAGTGTCGCTTTTGCCACTGATCTAGAAGGACGACGGAGCAACAAACACCATACAAGATGCTCAAGCCTTGACCACTGGCTCGTAAGCCAACTGCGAAACAAAAGGTTGAAGAAGCAGTGTGAGAGAATTCTGAATCAAGTTGTTTTAGCTACGTGGCTGACTTTCGACGTCTCAAGTGCTTAGATTAAAACCCGAGCTAGTTGTTGCAAATTTCTTGACTTTGTCTTTAATCACAAAAGCAGTTCTCACAAAAGTCAGGCAACAATTTTTTTTAAAGTGAGATAACTATCATAATTGGTTGGTCATTTTGGGTAGGTCTGAATGATTGATGCTTCATGCTAGCTAGGCAAAGTCTGGATCATATAATATGGAATAATTTTTACCACTTTGAAGCTATTATGAAGAATATGCCTACCTTTTGGATCTCCAATGACACTTAGATTAAAATAACCCGACGTAGCAATTACTTTCTAACTTGCAAAGTTCCGTGAGGTGCGTTATGAAGACAAAGACTAAGCCTGGTCTTCAGAGCAGCGGTGATTACGGTGAACCGTAAATTTAGAGCCTCACAAGAGTACAGTGAACTCTTGAGCTAAAATTCATGAAAGAAGTGTTCATCCAGGAATGGACAAAATTTATTTTTTGGCAAGCAGGAAAGATTCCTGCTTGATGGCTTAGAGCGCAGGAGAGTAAATTTGGTAAGGTTCTTTAGAAGCTTATGAAATCAACAGTAAATTCAGGAAACATTAATCAACGACTTTGGCTTATTAGTGGTAAAAAGTGCTATCACAAAAACAATCTACGAGAAAAGCACTAAAATTTACTACCTTGATTGACTGTTTTGGTTGATGCAGGAGCAGGCATTGCATACTGATGCAATCACTGCCATGTGGAACCTATAGCAATTATAATCTCCTGCCTTTTAGAGTTCTGTTGGTCTAAATTAATGTTCGACTGATAAGCTAAATTAGCCTATTGTCTTCTAAAGCTTTGACTAATTTCTCTTTGATTAGGTGACAGTTTTGGCAGACGCATAACCCATTCCTGGAAGTTTCGTGATGAGTGACTTGTTTAGCCGATGCCAATGTGCCAGATCGGTTTCTATAAAGTTAGCATCGACTTTATTCAGTGCTAGGTTTTGTGACAACGCAAGCGTAGAGGGCTTAAAATGTGATGGGAATTCTCACCATCTGCTGTGTAGAAGCCCGGAGTAACTCAATTGTAGCTACTTTGAGAATTTAGCCATTGAGTCAGCCTGAGGATGTGGAGTTATCATCGTTTAGACTCTAGAAAGACATGCATTACCTTAAAATTCCTTAAATTAGTTCCCATTCCGTCATCAGAAAATCTTCGTTTGTTGCTTTTAGAACGCCTCAACTTTAGCTGCCGCTATTCTTTTGTAAAATCAGAACAAATGCGTTTAAAAAACAGGACAGTTAGTTATATTATTATTGTATCTGAGTGTAATGTTTTGGCTTTAAAATTTCAAATTCTGTGTGAAGTGGCTTTAGCAAGGACATTGAGGCTTATTCCGGACCCAATTTTAAAAGACGCTACTTGTGGTGACGCTCCTTTACCAGTACTTCACTTTATTAAGCAATTTTGTCATGCTCAGTTAATCTTTTGCTTCATTTAGACATTCCAGCAGAAAATCTGCGGTAGCTGGTTAGAACGTGCAGTAAAGTTCAAATATAGTTTCTTCTCTTAAGCCCACTCTCAAGCACTATTCCTGCGTTTGCAACGATCCATGCATTAGTACGCTTGCCCTTGTGGCTGGAAAGCGTGAGAGTACACTGAATTACCCCAAGGTGACAAAAAGGTTGGGATTCAATCATTGCTTCTAGCATGTGGCAGGGAAGTTAAACAGTGCATCACGTGACTAGCCTAATGATTTGGGTTTCTGTGCTACTCTACTCCCGGACATAACCTTAATTCGTACGAATTTATGACTATAGTAATTGGGATAATAAACTAATAACTGCAAAAGCACCTTCTTCCAGAGGACGCAACACACCTGCATTAGATGAATTACTTGAATGGTCAATACAACCATTATCGAATTTGTACAAAGTCTCCCTGATTGTATCTACTTTTCACAATCGCAGGTTACTGATTAGTCCTTGATTTACTAGCCTTAGATGTGTGCTTCTGCCTTATTTGAAATGAGATCAGGTACGGTCAAGACTAGAAATGCATTTGCGACAAATTTGGCTGCCAGATACTCCTTTTTCTTGGCAGAAAATACTAATGCATACAATTCTTCCATCGCGAAAGTGGCCAATTGTCCGTGCAATATTACTGTGTGATATTGCACGAGGAATTCTCACCTCTCCCCCTCCGCCACTGTCAATTTAGCAAGAGGGGCAGACGAACGAGGAATCCGGGTTCGCTTTTGGCAGACAATGTATTCATAGGCCTTCTTTAATTATTCCTTTATAATCCGTGCGCTACACAACGGTTGCAGCTGTAAATATGAAAGTCAAGACATTCGTCGCCATCGCATAGCCGAAAATCAACAGAGGTTCATTGAGGCCTTATTGTTACACACTTTTCAACCAAAACCAAACTTACAAGGTTTTGAGTAAATTCAAATAGTTAAAGGATTGGAAAGTACAAAAAACCTTGTCGATGTTTAAGTAATTTGATTCTTTTATGAAGATTTAATTGAGAAAGCTAGGCATTGAAATGAACCAAAAATCACCGTTTATACCAGTATTTGGTTTATTCCCCATACAACATTTAGCAGTTAAAACGAATTTTCTAAATCCACATTTAAGAAACTTACTAGTTTACTCCGCACGACACGTAGAGATAACTTTCCATTGGGTAGGTAATTTAAAACATTTCTTTTGTGACTGCCTTGCCAGAACTACATGAAAAGCCGAAGTCTTATTCAACCCCTTCCAGATTCTCCAAAAAGCGGTATTTGATTGGAGCCACTTGGCTTGGCTTCCAAAAAAGCTCAAAGTAGTCACTTTTTTTAAACTAGATTATCAAGTTAATTTCTGTAATAGCTTCGTTTATTAGGATTTCAAATTCACAAATTGCTACCATGTTCACCAATTTCAAGAAATGCCAAGTTGCAGTTACCATGCCATTTGCAGCTCTATCGCCTTGTGGGGAATGCACACTACAATCAAGTTGTCAACGCTCTTGGCGAGTACACACGCACGCGCTGTACCGCACTGGGCGTCGTTCTTCCGGCTCCACCACCACATCGACAGTCGTCCCGTCCTTGCATACGGCGTCTGGCGTCTAAATGCCGGACTCTGTTTGTCATGCCACCTCGCGTCGCGGATGCGTAGGTGTGGATGGATGACGGCTGAGGGATTTGTTAACGTTGTCCCAAAATCTGACTGGTTGTGCCTTGGATTTTGGAAAAGGTGCTCACCCCGGATGAGCGAATCGGTCTCTGTTCTCCTTTGTTTAGGAAAATAGTGTTATTCATATTCGAACTCGTGAAATATTTACTTGAACAACCACCGATTTTGTGTGAACAGCCACAATACTGAAATTTGAACCTTGAAAATTCAACAGCAATAATCAACCCTAAAAATGATTGGATGGGATGATATTTAGGCGTTGACGATGAGTGGCACTGATGCTATAGTCTGGAGTGCCCTTAATTCGAATTATAAGCCTCAATGTTTGTTTCAAAAACTAGTCACATAAGCAAATAGCACCTAGATAACAAACAAGGTCGACAAAACAACTTTGTTTAGACGAAGTGAAGGGAATGACTTTCAATGAATTGGCCAGTTATGTGCAGCGAATTATGTCGAATTTTCCAAAATGTCAGAAAGAATTTATTAAAAGGAAATGATGTGACACTAATAGCCTTGACGCAATCGTTGTTGATTCCACCTCGTTCTGATTGCCTAGGCTACAATCACTGTGATCGCCTTGATGCATTCGCGAAGATGGGATCATTCAAGTATTAAAGGACACAACTACGGGCAGAAACTTGAATTCGCCACTTTAATGGTTTATTTTATCACCCATTGTCGCGTAGGTAGTAAAACAATACGCCTCTATCCCTCCCATTCACTCGAAACTCAGAAACATCCACAAGGCTCTCAATGCAACTGTTGCCCCACGTCTTGTTCACTACAAGGTCATGTTACGACAGCACATTTACCCGCTGATTCCAGCAGCCAAGCATGGATTGACTCCATATTGGGGAAGTGGAGGCTGTTGCACAGCGAAACAGACCCTCTTGTAGCTGCACCGAACAACTGGGCCAAAAGTGTAGCAGGTTGGGAGCACTCAATCGCCAATTGTGTGGTCTCAAAAGACCCAAAAATCAGCGCTGTGACAATTCCAACTTTTGAGTTCGCAACCGAAATCCGTCGCGCCACGGCAGAATGGAACTTCCCTCCAAAAACAGAAGGTAAGAATTAAAATTTCATCCATTTATTGGTGTTATTATTTGTCGTCCGAAAAGCAACGCGTTGCAACAGTCTCCAGATCCGTGTTCGTCATTTCTATGTACGTGGATCTGTGCAACTTGCGACGCGCGTGCCTTGCAGTCAAAAAACTTTTACAATGAGAATATTAGCGACAATCATTGTCTGTTGGTGGTGGTGGTGGTGGCGTTGATAGTGTTCGTGGCGTGGCGTCCATTCAGCACATTTCAAACCCCTCGCTCACAGTTGCTTACCTTCGTTAGAAAATGGCGCGAAAACACGCACGCATACAAACAAACGTGGTCGTCAACTTGCATGCGCTTGAGGACAGAATGAAGGGAGAATAGGGAAAGTTAAAAATGAAATTACAAAATGAATGAGTGAGGTATAACAAAACAAATTATAACGGGGATTATGGTGAAAAGAAGGAGGAACGACGGTGCAAAAAACGGAAGATAAAAACGATGAAAAGGGCACACACAACTCACCCACACAAATACATACATACAGGGTTATCAGGAGGTCAAAAATTTGAAGTGGAAAAGAGGAAAAGGGCGGGAAAAAATATGGGGTGGGGGGTTACAAAGGGTAATGTTTAATGACCACCGATGAAGAGACTGCGAAGGGGCATGTAGACATACTCGTTGAATGAGGCAACAAGTGGTTGGCCCTGCACCTGTACCGCCAGGTCCGTCCAAAAGGTGCTCTGCCGGCCAGACCCAGGGACAACTGGGTGAGTCTCGAGGGCGACTATAACCGCGCCAAAACAGACGATCCCTAGGACTGCGATAGCCTTCATAGCGTAGATCAGGGTGCGGCCGAAGCAGAAAACGGATCCAGCAGCGGCACCGGTGGTGGTCTTAGCCTCGTGCGAGACGACCTCGCCATTGGACAGCGTCGACGAGGCTGACGTCGGTTTCTGGTGATCGTTGGCGCTCTGCACCGAATTAATAGCTTGATCAATCTCCTTCACCGCGCGCAGACACTCGGAATCGCGTACCGCCGGCTTGGTGGTGTGGTTTGGTTGGTGGCGCAACTGTGTGGTGGTCTGAAGGATGATGAACAGAGTCATGTTAAGCATGTCGTCTGGCGGTGTGATACAAGTCTAATGGGCTTAAGTTCATAACCGCTTCCCAACCGATCCGTTGAAAATGATACTTCGCATCAGAGCTTATACACTACTGCAATTACAACCTTATCTTAAAAATATTTTGCTCGATTTTCTAAAAGTCACTTATTGAAAGGAGCAGGAAGATCGAATTTAGACCATTCCACAACTAAATGGGCTTTTGATCTCTTATATCTATTCTAACTGCTGTTAAGACGCTTTTTGGATCACTCAGCAACTACATTTGCATTAACGTCATTCAAAGCAGGTTTCTTGCGGTCATCACTGTAAAGATGAATGAAGTAATGAATGTTTTGTTTCAGTAAATTGTTGTAGAATTCCTTGCGCCATTCTTGAGGGATTAGGACGGTTAGACTTTCAATCACAAGCTGTTAACGTGTTTCTAGCAAGGAAACCTAGGATTCGGCTGGACTCAACTAGAAAAATGAACATAGTCACCACAATTGTAAGAGTTCCTAGTCGGCCTGATACAAGGGGTGGGACACAGAAAAAAAATGAGGAGCAAAAGAGGCACCTACCTCGTCGACATCAGTGGAGTAAGGCGGGGCAGAAGCAACAGGAGTCACGGAGACCGGTACCACGGTGACTGGGTCGGGCATTTCGCTGCCCTTGGTTGGCGCATTGGCCTCCGAGCCTGGTGCTGCTCGTAGGTCGCTAGCGATGTTCATGACTCTATTGCAGACAAGGTAGGAAAGTAAGGTGGTGCGAACTCGTGACGTCGGTGGCATGCATGCAGAGGCATTCGTCCTACTTCCCTCAATATTCATGCAATGAACAAATCTTGAGTAAATATGATGAGAGATCCCTTCCGGTCGTCAGACGCGCGCTGTAAACTACTTGGTCCAGGCTTACCAAATGTAGTGATTCCTTTAAACACAAAGAGTGGTCCCATAAAAGATATCTGAATGACATTTTCCGTTCGGAAAGAAGGGAAGTATAATAGAGACAAAGTCAAGTTTGGTTAAGCAGAATTTTAAAAAATGTTAAACTTCAAATTCAGACCCAAAGTAAGCCTAAATTGAGCATCGCTTTAAATGGTGTAGGTATGGAAGCACCATTTCAGTTATCATTTTGACAAATTAAAAGAGTGACAAGAAATAATGATTCCAAAACCACGCGGATAGCATGTGGTGCAATTGGTAAGCACATCCGAGACCTATTTATTTTTTGCAAGGAGGTCAAAACAACTTTAAGTGGTTACTATAACTCAATTCAAAGGGTGCGACCTGACAACGCCACTGCCACATGTGCTGAGGCATCAAACAAAAAATTAAGCTATTTTGTTTTAGAATGGGGTGACAAGTGACCCCAATTGGACAGCCTTGATAAGAGGGATCATACACATATGGAATAGCAATTCTCAAGCCCGTTAGCAATGCGACCTTTAATGATAAAAACTTCCGGATGGCAGGTAACTTGAAATCAGGGTGATAGGCCAAATTTTTGAAGACAAAAAAACAGCCTGCCAAACGAGTATCTGGCGTTGCTTCATTAGCCTGAGTGCTGTACTTAGGGGGAAGAACGCTGTCAGTAGGCAGCGAAAAAATGTAAAGAAGTATCTTTATTTTGGAGTCCCTTACGCATGAGCTTATTCAACAATTTCCACCCTTGAGGACGACAAACTCCCCCCTTCTGGGCCTTATGGCACAGCCGGGCAGTAGCATAACTCACGACTAATATAGCTATCGTGTTGTCATCGAAATTTCAGCTACAAAACCAACCGACAGTAACATTTTCTGATGGATGAAGAAAGTAGCCAAGTACAATGCGGCCTCATGCACAAGTGGAACGACCACGTGACGAGAAGATGGAAGGGGACATGTGGAGGAGGCGGAGACGAGGAGAGCACGCGTGTGCGCTTCTGATGAGCTACGTGGCATGCGTTTTGCGCACCGAAGTCGCGTCAGCGCGCTGGTAGCGCATGCGCACCGGTGCGCACCCACACGCAAAGCACAAACACCACAACAGTGTGGAAGCCAGTGTTTGGGGGAGAGCGTGAGAGCATTGATTAACACACGAGACCTCCACACTGCAGCCAATGCGCTGAGGGCGTTTATCACCGCGTGGGCTTGGCGGATTGGTCGGCTTATGGCTTGAGATTTTTTCTGCCATTACCGCTAGCGCTACTGCCTACATATGCCTCCGCCTCCTCCACCTACACCTCGACTCGAGTCGAGATGCTGAGGCGAGGGACAAATGCATACATCTGGGATGGGCTGATGGCATGCAACCAATCAATGCGAGACAACGACTTACGAAGTCACAAGGAAGCTCAGCAAGGGTATGACACCCGACCTAGAGTGGGAGACACACTGACGCCTGCACCCACCATCTTTCAAGTCAAAAATTCAAATCCGAGGTAGAAAGAAGCCAAGAAGTGGTCATGCCATTTTTACAGGCGCTAAGGCAATGAGTTCTGTAGATTGAGGCAAAATCAAGGAGCGATTCAGAAGCCTTAGTTTAGACGACTTGAATATTTTGGAAAGAAGGTTTCCGATGCAAACAGTAAAATGTCAGTGCAGCAAAGTCTAAAAGTGCTAAAAAAGCAACTTTATGTCTAATATGGTGCGAAACAGATTTCTTATGCAATTAAATCCTGTCAGCGATTATTTCAAGCTGGGACATCTACTACAACAGAAATGTTTCTAACATGACAAATTACGTTCAATGACATTTCAGCAAAAAAAATCGACATAGCCAGTATTTTCCGGCAACAATATTAGCCTGAATTAGAAGCGCATGAAATAATTTTACATGCTTATTTTTTACTTTCAGAAGTTGGATCCAAAGGTTTCAAATAAGTCATACAAAAAGGAAGTTACTTGCAACGAAGCGTTTACACACAATTAGACAGTAATATTGTCGATCCTGCTGACATTTTATTCATTCCTAAGCAGCGCATAGGTCTGTAAACCTTACCAAGGCAAAAATTATGCATAAAAACATTGTGGGTAAGCTAGATCTTATGCATCGGGCCATTGTTTGGCTCAAATCAAACAGACATGAATATTAGCAGTACAGGAGCCTAGAAAGAAGCTCCTACAGCGAATGGGTGTGCGGGGGGAGCCATGTTCCCATAACAGACGAACTATACCCAATGAGAGGGGAAAGAAGGAAACGAGACAGTCAAATTGTGACGTCACATAAGCCGGTTAACACAGACAAGGCGACGACAGCCAGAGCCTGCTAAATTGGTCAACTTACCCGCTATCAGCTGCACAAGGCTCAGCCGTCTGTTCTTCGGTCGCCAGGATGACGGCTAAAAGGGAGACAATAAGGCAGCTCAGGTGGGGCCGGAAGTCTAGATAAGAGTGACACAGGTCAATACTATATTGGCTGTGGGCAAAGGCAACACAAGGCATTAAGCGTGCCCAAATCTACGTTTGGGTGTTTGTGGTATCAACTGACATTGCAACGGGGACTCCTGCGTCTCATCGGAACTATCCCCTGAAAAGAGGAAAGAGGAGAAAATGGAAGGTGGGAATTCACTATTGCTGTTATTGCGCCAGTGGTGAGTTTCGAATACAAGCAGTTTTGGCATGCAGTAGCAATGAATCATCACGTTTTGCAGAATTGCACGGAAACGAGAGACAACTAACTAGGTCTGGCATTGCTTGAGCCTTCCAATTCTTCACCTGAAGTTTGTAGGACAGGCTCTGAAAATAGCAAGATTCCGCTGGTCGACTTACATTTTCAAATAAAAGTGAGCCATGTGACGATGCATTTTAGGGTTCATCCACATCTGTTGCCTTAACCTACCTGGCTAGATAAAAGTAGTCTAGGAAGGGTATTTTGAAATGCCTATTTTTATTATTTTAGCATGAATTTAGAAAAGACATCCGAATCTGTAGCCAGCAAGATAAAATTAAGTCAGACAAAATTAGGTCTCACCTTTTCGCCCTGTTCGCCCATAAAAGTTTATCCTTATCCTCCAGCTTTTGCTGAACGGAGCAAGACGCTTGAATAACCTTGTAAGCGGATTTCAGCTAATCTGGAATGCCGCTTAAGTGCCTTCGATTACTATGACGATAACTTTCGCATTAAAACAGCCTGCGTAGGCTTGTAGCTATGGTTAAATGGGGTACATGGAACGGCTATTTTTCGCTATATTTGTGGAGATATTGATGATTATTTTTCTGTTTTCGGAGATTTTTTTACTCCCGAAAAGGCCCAGGGAGACTGGCAACATTGCATGAAAACACTAGACAAGTTCTTACGTCGTTTAGTGGGGTCGCTCATCGGGAAAGACCCGGGCTCAACGTTGCGGATACGTCCAGGGAAGGTGGCCCGAGCGTCGAAGGAGTCGAGCTGTCCCTCGTTGTTCCTTGGACGACGCAGGCTCGAGACCCTGATGGAATAAAGAATGCATCATACTTCTTCCACTGCTATTGCTGGTGATAGCGATTACACTACAGACACACGCAAAATGAGTGTATTAGTGAATCGACCCTGTTCTGGACAGAAATTAGATGCGTAAGCCACACATCAAGCAAGAACGGTTGGCAGGAGACAATCGCGTTCAGTCACAAGAATGGCGGCAATGACGGTGCCCATACAGTTGAACATTGTCAAAAGCACCTAACTGGGAATCAGTACAATCTTTTTCAGAGTAACCATGATATAGATCCGTTGGCCACTCGAAAAATTTAAATACTCGCAAATGGGGATGTAATGTATCACAAAGAGAAACAGGCTCTGGGAAAGGCCGTAAGCACTAGACTAGCAAGCATTGTTATGCACAAAGAACAAGACTTCATTTGCATCCGGTTGAAACACCTCAAACTTAAAAGAACATGAGTTTAGACTATCCAAGATAGCGAAGTACGCACAAACGTCTTATTTTACCACTTACCAGTTGGTTTTTTTGACAATATTTTAAGCAAACGAGGTTTAATGAAAGACCACCAGTAAATATGTGTAAAATGAGGAGAGTGAGGGTGTATGAATGTGAGGCTGCTAGAGCAAGCAATACTCACCTTATAAAAGACGGCTGAGGAAGTGATTCCGAGGAATTGGTTAGCGATTTCAGCTCCATTTGGGATTTACCACTAGAAGGAAGTGAGAAATCAGAATTTCACCACCCTGGTATGAAGGATGATCAGAGAAATTAAAATTCATTAGAGGAGGAGGCTTACATGAATCTGTAGGAATGACTTCTACGAAAGAAGCTGTGTGTAGTTTTTGTGGTCTTGGCTTCACTGGCTTGTCGTAATCTAGAGGAAAATTGAGGGGAATTACTTAGTTATGCGGCTGCCTTTACAATAAGTCAAAAAATGGAGGGGTAAGAAGTATAGTTTTCCTCCTGAGCGAAATGAGGCTTCGCAAAGCACGATAGGTAATAGTTTCCCACATTAATCACTCGACTCTCTTAATAGGGGAATAACTTCAGCATAAATGGAAAGAAGAGCCGTAAAGTTGTGCAGTTACAGGGATAACAATTGAGGAAAGGCCACATTTTTGATTGCAAAGAGGAGCTTAAGAATGAGGGTATTACGCTCACACTGCTACGAATTGTGGGTGATTCAACCAATTTTATTACAAACTGCCCAAACCAGATTCAACGAGTATCAATGACCAAATCTGGCCGATATGCTTCGTGGAGAAAAGAATGTCTCGTGTAACGGCTTAGCACACGTAACAATAACAGCCGTGTCTCTGAACCTTATTCTTCAGGTAGGTCTCACGTTTCCAAAGCACCAGCACACCACCGGTTGGGAAGCCATCACATCTAAGGTCTGTCTTCCATGGCTGTGTATAGTAATTATTTTGAGACACTTGGGTAATATAAAACAAGGTGCCAATTACCTACGCTACCAGTTGAAGAGAAGTAAATTCAAGGCATTAACTGGATACAATTTGAAATGATCTATAAAACGGTTTGGGATTAGATTAATCTAAAATCTGCATTGGCATGGAAGCCCAGCGTGGCAAATAATGATTAACGATTCAGTAGATGGTACGTAAATAAGCCTTTGGAAAAAAGCGCGGAGGCAGAAACTAGACTTCATATTCGTTCAAAGGCATAAAATGAATTCCACATGGTGATTAACATTTCCACAGCACAACAGCTCTGCTCTCCAAATTCTCAAGCAATTAACTTAGTCATACGTGTGTGGTTTTCAATCCGAACACAAAATCAAGTAGTAAGTTGGGTTTCTCCGATGTAGTGAACAAGAAATTTTATCAGTCCTGATCTTAGCACAGCAAATAACAACTTGAACACCCTCCTTCATACCAGGAACATCAAAACAAGATAGCATAAACACTGCAGACAGAGAGAAAACTGTTATACATACACACAAGCGCGAAAAGTTCTCTCAGTCACAGCGACCGCGCATGATAAACATGGCACTCACGTGAAGAAGCTCTGACGATCGACTGTCCACTTCCAGAGCGCAAGAGCAGCGGCCTTGGTGTCACAACGGAAGGTCACAACCCGCGGTTTGACCTAAAATCCCGGAGGGAGAGACAAAAAGATCTGCGGTCAGAAACTATAAACTAATGGTTGATTTCAAGGTGAACCCGAACGCGAAACGAAAAGGAAGGGAAAAGCATGCGAGATGTTTAAGGGAGGGCAACCAGGAGGATGGTCACGCTTTCAACAACACCAACGCAAGACAAAGGGACTACTACGATTGCTACTGCTATTGTTACAGGCGCAAGTTGTGTGTAAGAGGGGTACACACTGTACCGGCTTTTTGTTCAGCTTCGTCGACGCCGTCTTGGTCTTCTTGCTGTTGCCGTTTTTGTTCTTCTTTGAAATCACCGACTTCTGTAAATCTGGCTCCTGACAAAAGTGTGGTGGGAAACAGGAAAAAAGAAAACTGAGTGCAAGTAGTGACTACCCCACAAGCACGACCACAGTCAACCGTCCCCTCCTAGGAAGGTCTACCATACCCTATAGCGCTACTATAGCCACACTACTACGAATAAAGCGAAAAAGGTAGCGGATTTGGCAGAGTTGGAACCTGGCTTTGGGGAGTGTGCTACTGTAGTCAAGCTCCCACTACATTTTAAGATTTAAGTTGCGAAAATTCAGGGTCGCCATTGTCTTTTTGAAATTAAACAACGAAATCAATGTGTAAATCAATTTTAGTATAAAATACTATCAATTGATGTGGCATTGTGGAGCAGGAGCTGCTTTCGACTTGCACAAACGTCAGTAAATGATGCAATTTGTGCATTCGACATTACTTAAAGCAGAGGTAAAATTCGTTCTTTGAAAGTATGAAAACAAACCTAGGCATTCCCAGTCTTTTTAAACCATTGTTTTACCCTTGTAAATTTCATATTATTTTCACAAAATATTAACTTGATGAAAAAGTGTGCGATCCGTACGTTTTCCTCAGTCTACCAATCAAGCTATTTAAAGTTCGTTGTAAGTGCTAAACAATCTCACATAAAAAACTACCTTAAACCCCGTTTGGCAAAGTGGGACAAAAGCTAATATGGAGGAAATGCAATCGAGAATGAAGAAATGCATTTTTGCAACTGGAGTTTGTGGCATTCCCTAAGCTCAAACAAACAGACGATTGTAGGTGAATCATCCAGTTTGAAGTCAAGCCGAGCCTCCACCATCGTCGTGGCTTTCGGTGAGATCGCATTTGCTGAAATGGCAAAATTGCGCACGAACGTGTTTGTGTGTATGTGCATGTTCGGATGGCATGCACACCCACTTGCGCACAAGCACACTCGGCTACACGAAGAGAGCACACAAAGCAAATAACACATTGTTTTGTTCGCCTCAGTGAGATCGCCATCCCGCACAAAGGCTACGTAGGCTTCGAATGTAGTCCATACACACAAATTTACACAAAATCTGCCTTCTTGGTTCACGTTTACTTAACCCCATGGAAAAGAACATTGCCTTTTCTTTCAAAGCACAGCGAAATGCGGCGCCCACAACCCTCGTCGATCGAATCTGGTGCGGTATTGGATGGGTAGAGAGCTAGGATGAAAATACTAGAATACACCCTGACAAGCGAGGGCTAAATGGAGCCCAAAAACTTGGGGATCAAATAGATGATTTTCAGATAGGCCTAAACCGAGCAACATCCAAAGAAGATCACTTGCGTTCCACAAACAGACACTGCTTGTTAGCCTAATTTATATTCCCATTAGAGGTATGGAGGGGTAAGAACTTACCGATTCGGTGGCAGGTTTCAGATAGACAATGAAATCCTTCCCGTCACAGGCAAGACGTTCAATGCTGCTCCTGAAAGGCGGGAGGAGAGAAACAAGGGGTGAGTTTGACGCTGAGACTGTTCCCAGAACACTCCTCCATCGGGCAAAACATTGTAGAAAAAGTTCCCGTTCAAACTCGGAAATACTCCATGAATTCGCAATGATGTGGCAATTTTTAAGGTACCAATTTACCACAACGGGACCTACATTCAATTCTTTCCCCTTCTTTTACACTTTCGTGTTGGTGGTGACAGTAGCTACCCCTGCAGGCCAGCCGCAAACATATTCCGACACAGCTTCTGGGTGATTCATAAAGTGGCGTAAGATTAAAGGCAATGAATGACGACGACCAGAGATGAAGGTAAGGAGGCATGTGGAATTATGTGGTATTTGCACCTCATAGAGTAGGCCCCTTTTTCTTCGGCAATGATTCAGGCCAGAGGTGGAGTGCGCGCGCGTTCGCGAATGCGCCCACAAGGAAAGTGGGCAGAAGGATGGAAGCATTAAACAAAAGGGTGGAAGGGTGCCTGACCTAGCAAACCGCAAAATTTTTAACCAACAGGATCGACGAGGCCTCAAACAAAAGCCAAGCAACAGCCACCCGGCATTTGTTAACTAAGACACGAAACCGAAGTTATGAAAGATAAGAATGAGGTTTAGAGACTTCAATGCGTTAGAGATTAGCCGATAGTGGTGCTTGGGACGGAGGGAGAAAGAAGATGAGGAGCCAATAAGCGCGTCTACAAGCATGGAGATGCAAAGGAAATGGAGGAAGATGGAAGATGAGGAACCAATAAGCGCATCTACAAGCATAGATTTGTAAAGAAAAAAGTAGAAAGGAAATGGGTGAAGTAGTGACATCTTACCAAGAATAAGTCCGCGTATAGCTAGGCCCGATGAAGATTTGGGACCCGGATGGGCTAGTAACAAAAGAGACACCCAAGCGGATATACGATGACGCACAATGGGAAGTGAAGGCAAACACGGGCACACAACTCTGTAGTGCCGACAAGTATTTGTGATCATGCAATAATACACCAATAATGGGGTCGTCTCTTGGTGACTCTTCATTACTTTTCGACTTGAAAGCGAATGCGGGAAGAAATGAAGTCGGTACTTGAATAAGTGGCGTTTAGTAAAAAGGAGAAAACAGGTGTTTTTGGGAAAGTAAGGGGAAAGACACTTTTCGGTCCCGACGGCAGAAAAGCGAGATTTGCAGTAAAGTTGAAGGCGAGCGTTTATCAATAGTAGTGCAGCTGTCGTGCACATGCGACACCACACAAGAATAAACCCGCTTTATTTCGAGTTTACCTAATTCAACACCCAACATGCAATGTTAATAAGATGGGTAAATACATCGCTTCATTGAGACGTTGTCACGTCGAGATGCATTTATCAGAAGCAAACAACTTCACAAGATGTCTAACACTTACAAAACTACGTGAGAGGTGCTATACACAGAGGTTACAGCAAACCACACAAAACCATGTTAGAGCATAACGATGTTAAATGAGATGCAGCAACAAGGATAGATGGATGAACAGGCGATGAAACCAGTGAATTGGTAATGAAGGGGAAAAGAGCTCACCACTCAAAGTTTTCACTTGGCTGAAGACCCACGTAGGTGGTGAGACCGGTGTGCCGCAGACCAAGATAGACAGAACCTAAGGGACTAGACGGCGCTCTGCTTGATTGGTCTTCTTGGTGAGGGCTTCCGGTGGGAGAATTGGCGTTGGCGTCGCCAGTCGCCGCGGTTTTGACACTTGAGGCCTCTCCCGCTTTCTTTGTCAATTTTTCTTTTGTTAGAATCTACAAAAGTAGAACTGAGGTGGTAATTAAAACACAAGAAGGCAGCTTCTGATTATGTGAAATTAGAATGAAAATCCTACCTTAACTGGGAATGGATCTACTCCATATGTTGGTAATTTCGAGGCGCGCTTGAGTACTTCAACTTCAGCATCTCTGGCAGTGAGACCACTGGAAGCGGAAGAAGCACCATAATGGGGCGATGTGATGTAATAAGCCACAGGGGCTTTACTTACCGGTAGGTCTTGTGCCGACTTATTATTTCTGATTCAATTTTCTTTGTTTGATTGAATACGATTTTGAAATTCTTGAAGTAGGCCTTGTATTCTTCCTCCGAGGACAGAGATCCATTCAACTCGGTTGAATCATCATCGCTTGGAGCATCACCATATTCCGCTTAAAAAGGTAAATTTACAAAGATTGCGCCTTTATAAAGGGCGCTTACCCATTTATTAAGACTTACACTGTAAAATTAAGGCTCCAATAGTGTAGAGGTCATTTAGAGGGCAGAGAAGCCGACCCTGCACCAAATCACGGCGAATTTGCAAGTATAAAAGATACCTATATAGAAAAATCATTGGCAAGATAACCTATGAGCACTAGCAAATGCTTATACACAAGAACTGCATTCAGCGACAGCGCATTTATCAATCAAGATAGTCGGATTACTTATTTAAAATAGTACTTTTTTGCAAGCTGAAACAGCTTACTGAGATATTTCCTGATGAAAGTCAGCAATGGGATTTCCAGGATAGTGCTTAACACGGAAGCTCAACGCAGTAGAATGAGCACCGGTCATTTGCTTCTTAACATCCCGACCAAGATCAAGCCATTGCTACAGAAAAAAGGACAAAAAAGTACTTCAAACGGCCTACTCTTTGGTTGTTCTTATCCATGTATCTGAGGCCAAAATAGTCCCGCTCAATAATACCACCCAGTTCATCACAAACTTTGTTGAACAATATTTGACCAAAGTCATGTTTCTGAAAAATAAACATCAGAATAAAACACTACTGAAATCGAAATTTCCAGTGGTTTTTGATCGCTGTCAAGCAGTCGTATCTTGTAGGAAATCAAATCCGAGTTCTTTTTAGAGGTGGCGGGTGAGGCGCTCTTGCTAGATTTTGGTGAATGTGAAGGTTTTTTCGAGTTCGGGGTAGCCTTTTGAGATTCTTTCGTGTCAAGTTTGGGTTTGGGCATCGCTTTCAGATGTTAAAAAACTAACAGATGCTCTGGAAACGACCACTGCAACAGCAACCAGAAAAACAAGATCCCAATTTTGTCAACCCTCCCGTTTGTAACCAAATGCTTCGATTGGCTTAAACAAAGATTGAGGATACCATAATACTGTATTAAAAAAGACACTACTGTTTTTGGCTAACATTTGTGGATCCAAGAAAATTTTTCACAAAGTAGCAAAGTTGATCAGGACTGATGAATATTTTTGAGGACCACCCTAATTATCTGATAAGTATCGGCATCGCTATTGCTTATTTCTTTAAGTAACACATAGGTGTCTGATTAGTGAAATTAATGATACATTTGTTCCATGTAAAAAACTTTGATTTATTTTTAACCTTTCCAGGAGCTAATTTTGTTGTAATAATCTGGATAAACTTAAATCTGCATGAAGGATTACCTAAAACCAACTGTAATGAAATGCTGTAATTCGGTACATGTTTGAAATCTGCGTTGAAAAAGCATAAACTCCAAAACTGCTTCTCCGAAAGTGGTCATAATACTCTTGTTGCGCATCGAGACTCCCCTGAGGATGAAGAATACATGTAGGGCGAGACTCACAGGCCTCCTTTTCCCTGTTCCCTGTGTTCTTAGGACAGCCCAATTGATTTAATTTTGACATATTTATTAAGGGGAAATGATCGGGAGGATAAGTACAACGTTTAGGGAGGGTAGGAATCGCAATCACACCTTGGCACAGAAGGCGAAGACCCTCACACCAGATTCGAATTGCCAACCTGCCTCCTCCCTGAAAGGTACATTCAAACAAGATAGGTATTACATACATATTGCTTAAGCAGAATAATATATTGTAGGCATGCAGAAATGATTGGGGCTACTGACGCGGCCAAATTATAATGGCGGAGCCCTCATCATCGACCCGTTACCAAAGCCAAGAGTTAAAAAAATAATTAACGCATTTCAGTCCTGTTCAATGGTCGTATATTCACAGTGTAGGAGGATCGGGCTTGTTCCAGGTCACTTAGAAACGATATGCCTTCTTGACTGGACATTTGATTGAAAGACCGTTTAATGTACTGTCCCAAATTTTGAAATAATTTACCATTATGGGAGATGCTTGTGAACGACCTGTGTAGGATGTGATACATTATCAGCTGTTAATCCTAGGAATACCTTTTTGGTAACCTACTTATTAAGGGAATATAAGCCGAAGTAGGGTAAGACATAATGGTTCTTGTCTGAATGCATTAGGTATGTTACGGTCTGATTCTTTCAGTACTCATTTTTGTACTATTTATTTAATATTCGAGACCTTAGTAACATAAGAAACATTAGGAATAAAAATTTAAAATAAAAGGGATTTCATACATCCCTTGCCTTAGTATCTTGAGACTTAGGTGAAATTTTCTTACCCCAATTGCCAATGGGCATGGTGAGCATGTCGATTACTTATCATCAACCATTGAAGTCCCATTTGCCATGTCAACACCTCGTGGTGCAGAGTTTCTGTATCATTAGCAAACCCACTTAACAGACAAGCCATTACTTATCACTAATAATAGATTATCAGATGCTTGTACGCCAATTCACTCTTTCCGACAAAGGACAAAATACATTTTGCTGATAAGCGCCTGACTGTTGGCTGTCCTTGCGGTCACTGCAACATATGGCTCATTATTACAATATGAAGCTGAGAATATGTGTGGTGGTCCGAGACTTCCCTGAAGATGAAAGAAGACAATACTTGGGTTGAGTGCGTATTGTTGACCTTCAGAAGGGCGTAGAGGTCACCAGCACGGCCCGAAGGCCAGGCCGCCAGGAGGAAATGCAATGGCGGAGCCCCTAAGTGACCTGCTGCAAAAATCGGGAGTTGAATAAACAAGTAAAGTACTACACATTATACACTTAAGACAGCGTGGATAAATCGGTGTTGGCTTGCTGGATTGCTTTTGCGCAACCACCCTTGGGCGGAAAATGCTCCTGTTTACAGGCATTTTATTTTCTTTGGCCCTTCAATGCGGGCAACGAAAGCGATAATCCCATGAAATTTTAGGAATCAATAAATGACCATATTTTATTAACTCGGATTTTTAAGGAAATGAGAGCCTTGAATTATGCCAGCTCTATTTAAGATTGAATTTTGTAGTTTTCTTTAGGCCCTCGGATACTCTTTCTGCGGGGCTGTTACGAAAGTCATTTCAATTTCTTTTGTTTACTGCTACCAGAAATGCATTCAAACCACGGCCTTATGAGGTGTTAATAATGCCCTTTTCAATCCTAAAGGTATTACTGCAGTAAAAAATTGCCTCGTGAACATATAGGAAACGAATCCTTTATTACTTTCTGCCTGTGGATAAACCCATGCATTTTAGGTATTTTTAGGTGGGACGTTGATAGTTTTGTAGCGAACAAAAAGTACGAAGGACCACAATATTTTGCATTTACCAGCAGATTAAGTTGGAAATTAAGGATGGTAAATACGTGGATAGTCAGAACACGAAGTTTGCCACACTGGTAGCAGCCCGTTCGATAGCAATGACTGCGATTGACTTGACCACCTTTTCAGAATAAGCATTAGTAATTGTCGTTCTGTGGATTCCTGGAATTTTTGTAATGCGTTAATTGTTTGTTTAACCCCGGCTTTTAATAGCGGATCACTTAGGGGCTCCAGCATTGTACCCTTGCCAAGTGGCCTGGTCTCCGGGCCATGCAGGCATCCCAACTCATGCTGTACGTCAACAATGCGTGCTCTGTCCGAGCATCATATTTTCCCTCTACCTCGAGGAAGCCTCAGCGTGCTTCACTTGTGCCATTACTTTGTTCAAGATTTTAGGAAGCATTGGTCAAAATGAATCAGTTTTTCCGAATGGATTAGTACAAAAATGATGGGACTAACTAATTAAATATGCATATAATTAAAGATTAAACTCATTTTGCTGGATTGAAGCTTTCTCCACTTAATTAATTTACGCGTATGATGGAGACATTTTGCTCCTGAAAATGATTATCTTTTATAAAAGTTAAAACAATCGGATTTCAAAATGAAGAAGCTACAGACGCATTTTTTCCACTGTCCTTTTCCCTGCTTACTTCATTTGAAAGACGATTCCTTTAAATAAATTTGGAGCTAGTGCCTTTTGAAATTTCTGCAGCCTTCTTCGTACACAGTTGCCTGGCAGATGGTTACAGCTAATTACCCCAAAATGAGCCACTGTGTTTACTGCTGCTTAGGGAGGAGATCTATCGCGACTTCGATTGTTTACGTTAGTAGTACACTGAATAAATCCAAACATAAATACGCACCGTTTAAGGCGAAGGCAGCTCCCATTTATGCAGTACGAAACACCACAATTGTTGTTGTTAGATAGATAGATAGGCATAATTGTTTATCATCAAAATAAGCACTAAATAAGAGAGTTGCGTGAATAGCTTGTAGATCGACACCAAATTCATGCAACTGCGGTGATTCCAAAGCTATTGACTTCAAGTTAGTCCGGTTTCAAACACGCTCCCTGTGATTACTTACGACTTCTGGGTGCTTACCGTTTCTTCTTGAGTGCTCTCTACAGTAGTGCGAATTTGTAATGGAGGTTTTCTCAAACTAACTCTAAATTACTTTAAGTGTCTTTACAAAGATGGCGCCATGCACTATTTAAAGCACTTGCTCCCTCTTACTGTGACAGCTTAAAATAATGCCAAAAGCAGTACCCATTCTTAGTTCTACCCAGTGATAAGCATTTTTTGATCACATGCAGATCAGTCACGGGCACTTTCAATTCAGGATTGAATTAGTCTTCATCTGGTGTGAATCTTTAATTTACTTTACTTTAATTTAATTTACTTTATAACGTATCCTCAAGTCGGCAACTCCATAGAATGTATTATTAAAAGGCAATGCTATTTTATGAGTGAATCCTCTTCTCACACTACCTTCGTTTATGTCCGTATTTTTCCCATTCTTCGGTTATGTAGGTTAGTGATTTAATTAAAAACAGCGAATCTAACCGACAAATTTTCATAATGGGATTGGACTACGTTCACACATGTGATCGGGCGAAGTTAATTTCGACTCTCTCACCGATTCCTTGATGAAATGACCACCTCGACAGCTCTTTTATTTCAAGGAGTAGTTAACCTCTTCTTAAAGTTTACGCATTAGCAGTAAATGGACAATTTATTTGTAGAAATCATAATTCACTGAATTTAGTGGGTGGTACCCTAATAGACGTGAGATGATGAAATGGGCCACATAGGGAGCACTCATACAGACTTAAGCACACGCTAGGAAAAAGTAGTGCCAATCCACCTTTAAGCTGCGCTCGTTTGCGGTGTTGAGGTTGCACAGAGATGCCAAACTATCCTGAAGTCGCACTCATACGATAAGTCGAAGTTATTATTAGCTGCAAACAATGCCCTCGACCTCTGGTTATGCTGTACAACCTTGCGAATATTCGGGTAATGTATGACAAATGCTGCCCCTCGATCTTGCAAACCATTTATTTAACAAGCTGACTTGACTTTCATTTTGAGATAAATGTTGAAATTTTTCATAAGCATTAGTGCCTTCGGAGTACACCTCCTAGAATTAGGACGCTCCAACAAGATTTCGCTGTTTCGAAGGCAATTTCGCATCACAGAATTGGTTGCATGTACGCGAAAATAATGTCTATTATACTCGTGTTGGGCAACAGTTCTTCCCTAGTAGATCGCCAGAGCCTGCATAAGAATCCCATCTTTTAATATTTGCAGATCATGCCGTTAGGTCTGGCTAGGAAACCTCTCCGTTAATATTCTGCTTTTGGGGGTAAATACGGACTCTTTAAGTGGTGATCGGGGATACCCGAGATTGCTGATTGCATGTGAGAAGTTGGAGCTTAACCCCGGGAATGAATCGTACGTATCGGCAATACTCCATTTATAGGAAGAACTTTCCTTAAGTTCACCTGCTAAAACTAAAACTTTGATTTGAGGCAGTGGAATTGATCACAGCCCGTGAAAATGTTTAAGTTAATTATCCCACAAAGAAACCTCGCAGGTAAGCGGACGGACCGTAATGAGCGTTTCTACCCTTCAGGTCTCAATATGAGTCATATTGCCTAAGTGACTGTTTGGTAAGCCGTGATTTAGTTCTTATGACAACAAACATTTAGTCATAATCCTCCCCACTTGGCAGTAAACCTGAAATTACCCGCACATTGTGAAATACCCCCGACTTTTTAGAATTGCTCAATGTTTCACCTGTTTAAAGTACTATGCTTTTGTTATTTTTAGAAGAAATTTTTCGTAAAAGGGAAATGTGGCAAGAAAACTATTTTCACCCAAAATGAAATAAGTTAATTGCTCTCTATATAGCAGGTACTATCAAGTTTTGTATCACCTAGTGGAATAAAATGCATCAATCGTGTACCGATGGAGTTTAATCTTGTCACAAGTTGAGGGCAAGATGATAAATTGAGCTAGGCAAGGTCAAAGAGGGGGACCTCCAGGCACAACTCTTATATTTTAAAAATCAGATGATGATGATTTGAATGGAGTCTTTAGCTTGCTAAAATTGCCCAATTAAAAACATCAGTTTCCATCAATAATTAATAGTTGGTCATTATATACCCCGATTTCCCATGGTTCAGTGTTTTTCAACTAATTTGGCTGAGGTCAATGGAGGAGACGCATAACAATCCGTAGAACCAGCTGCAAAGCAGTCGGATTGATTAGTGTCAGGTAGGTCAAAAGCATAGTACATTACGCAGTACAACTCCAAATTAGTCTACACGATCGAGCCTCACGGCATCGGAAGAGACTTAAATGACTGCAGCAAAAACGAAGGCAGGCTTCGGACTTAAGGGCGTAGTAGACTCTAAGACTCGTTCACTCATTGACCTCTAATGCCAGTTTACGTTGGACAACTAGCCCACAACCAAACTTCACGACCTTTCCATACCTAACCTTAGGCCAAAGTAGTCGAAACTTTGAAAGCGTTTTAGGTCACTGTAGGCCGTGAAGTGAGAGAAGTTGTGGCTAACCAAAGCCTCATACACTACGTTAGGAACCAGAAACAATTTTCCTTAACCTTTGCACCAGCAAAACTCTTGCGACGAAAGCACAAATCTCCCAGAAAACACATTATATTACGGCATTTGGCTGAACGAATGAAATTCAAAGTGCAGGCCCCTTGCAAAACCAATCTGTTTGTCAGCCTTGAAACAGCAGTACAGGTTTTTAACGATGCTAATCTGCTTGAGAAACCATCAATTAATGTTTAGTCTACTTCAGCACGTTCATGAAGACGTAAGCTAAACGAAAGTCTTCTTAATGTGAAACAGACTACCAACCCCTGTATCTCAATCTCCTCCTGATAAGACAAAGAAAACGGTTCTCTGTCCACTAGAAAAAATCCAAAGAATTTACATAAGGAAATTAGTTAAAATAGGCAAAAAATTCATGGGCTTTGGGGTAGAGTCAGTAGCTGAGTAGCTGTTGGTTTATTCGTCTGTCCTTACAGCCGACCGACTGGCTGTGTTGAGGTGGATGTGGCAGTGAGGAGAGTGAAATCAAAAGAAGTTGGGTGAGGGAGCGGAGTCAGATCGTATCTCAAGGAGATTCAGGTTACAGCAGGTCTTCTCACCTTGGATTGGCTACGCGGACTGCTGTGCTCTCGTCGCCTGTAGCTGCTGACGCTGATGAAGCTTGCAAACCTCGTCGAACATCATCTGTTTCAACTTCTCTATCGGCTGCTCGTCTACCTTCTCCTCCTCGTACTCGAAAGGATTCTCACACACCGGCTACAAACAACATTGACACTTGAGACTGTAGTTCACAACACAAGAAGAAGAAGAATTGAAATTCGCTAACCCAATTGAGTGCAGAGGTTTCGTTCTGTAGCGTTAGCTTGTGCAATGGAAACGATGAAACCCCAGCGTCAACAGCAATCCCTGCCTCAGAAGGGGCGTGCTCATTAGGAGAGCGCTAGACTAGCATAACGTCTGCCACCTTTTTGACTAGAGCAAACATTTCCTATGAAAACTTTGGGACATCGGTAAAGCTAAAGAGTGAAGACTACACTAAAGAAGGCCACCAATAGGAATTTTTAATCCTGATTGTGTCCTACTGATGCGGCCGAGTGCCAGAATGTAACAAGCAAAAAGTGCAACACTTACGATCATCCACAGAGACGCTTTTTCTCACACTTTCAAAAAATACCACCTCTTTATTATACCTTTGCGTTTTGTGTTTTACCTAAGGTGCTTTATAGAAGGCATTTTTCGGAAAAAAGTGCGTTCAGGGCTTGGGAGGATCGTTCAGGCTTTACCCTTGATGCTTGTTTTGACGGCGTTTTTCCTCAAATAACTAAGCAATAAGCAGTGATCGGTCTTTCAAGGTGCTTCCATTTTTTTCAGAAGAGATTGTTGGGTCGAGACACTTTTCCTCAGAAATTTAATTAATTCTCTAATATCAAACAAGACTTCAGCAGATAATACTTATTTAGAGAAAATAGTTCTGCTTTAACGACTACTAAATGTTTCTATTTCCAACACAACTATCCTTTAGATGGCGGGTTTCCCTGATGGCACGGTTCCACTTTGATCTGTTCGTTTCGGAGTTCCTTGTTTGAATGGAATGGCAGCTTTGGTTCAGAAAAATTCACAAAGTTCTAAAAGGTGACCGGACTATTAGAAAAAAGCATTGACATTGACAGCCTGTAATGTGGCTCCATATGTAATGAAACTACTCGCCAAAAAATTGATAGCAATATTGCAAAGCGGTCATCTGAAAGCCCTCCCATTACACCTTAGGAAGAATGAAGATCGCAAAAGATACTTTTCCGAGTGGATTCAAGCAAGGGTTCGTGCCTACAAATCGATTAAAATCAGAAGACTGCGGACGGAATCCCCTTAAAAGGCTTCCCATGTTCAAGAAATTGAAATGGTGGAAATGGGAAAGGGATGGGGATTGAGAGTTACCTCATCATTGGGTTCGTAGAAAGACCGCAGATAAGGATGCTTTAGGGCATCCTCGACGGAGATTCGAGAGGCAGGATTGAAGGCCAATAGTCGGTCCAGGAGGTCCAGTGCTGCAAAACAGATAAAAATACGTGCGATTAAAGAGATATTTGGCCATCGTCATGGTTATTCGATCGTTTATTGTCTTTAAAGGTGGTTTATACTTAACTAACTTCTGTTTCCATTTCCAATACTTTAAGTGTACTCTTGCCGAGGTATTGATACAAGGCACACAGTCAGGATTCCATATTTCTACCCTCCCAGTAAGGTCATATAGATAGACCTGGGCACATTTTTCTAAAAGTTGTCCATCCACTCTCTAAATGAACGCACTATTACGGTACTGTGCGAGCCCGGGACACCATCGATGACAGGAATGGCATGGTTTTAACCAAATTGGCGAATCTCGAAACGGGTTGTAACTTGAATTCAACTGCGAACGACGTCGATCAAGATGAATAATTAATCTTAGCCATCAATGAAAAGGTTTATATAGACTTTAACAAATGCATCGCATTGCTGTGTAAAGAAGCGAAAAGGATATTTTTGAAAAAAGGAAATCGGAGGAAAAGTAACAAGCTATATCCGCTCTCAGTTTGTTGTATTTCACTGTTCAGGATAATTATTTACCACCTCTCACAGAGTGACGGTAAATTGTCACGCGAGGTGTTATCCCAATCGGAGAGAGACGTCAACCACTCTCAACCAGCGTGATTTTTGGGCAGATTATGCAACTCGATAGAGCCCAACATCTGTCTCAGCACGAGTATGACAGGAATTACTTCCAAATGTATGCAAACAACCTAGTGATGCAAAATTCCCCCCCCTGAAACCAAGTTTCGATAAAAAGACATTCTAGGCAGCCCAATTCATAACCAAAAGTCCAAGAGCATAGGAGATCCTGGAAAAAGGAGAGATTGTATCCCTTTTTTGCAAAGAGCGAATGGAAAATCATCACCACTTTGCCTTATTTCCACAATTATAAAGTGACAACGGTTTATTCGTTGATTTATGGCTTAAACATTCGTGAGAGGCATGTACTTTATGGAAAAAGCATGATTAACTTGAACAGAATGAGTTGAATCCAACAAATGGGGATAGAAAAACTTGAAGAATCTTACGAGTGTACCTCGAGGTGAATTGCTGTCGTCGTGTTGGCGGCAAACTGCCCAATAGCCATTTTTTAATAAAATTTGTCCCTCTGAAATGATGTCTCTCACTGTAATGGTTGTGGCCGAGTGAAACAAAATTGCTTTGGTAACCTCAACATTGGGAGCTCTTGTTTAGCAATGTGTCTTCTCCTTAGCCAACTTATTTCACAAACTTTCAATAAGTCAATCTTGTTGCGCACCTACAAAAATCGGCCGGGCCCATTGCCAATGGTGAACTGTGGGATCAACCGTATTATGAGTCTACTTTGAGCAGAAACGAGCTATCGTATGGATCAAGCGAGTTGCAGGAGTGAATACTTTACTTAAAGAAGTTGATGAGAAAACCGAAATTTGCTTTACTAGACAGCACAAAGAAATGCGGCTGAATCGCACTTTGCGAATTTGACAAGCTAGATTAAATATTTCTATCAAATCACAAAAATGCTTTATTATTCAAGAAGGAACTGGAAAGAAATGCAAACACACAAAAGAGTGGAGTAAAAATTCATGCCTCACCCAATATTACCAATGGAATACCTTAATAGGAATAAAAAGTTGGCATATATCATGGAGTGAAGTAATTTAGTTCAGGAAACAAATGACAATGTTCAGGGAGAAAATCATTACACTAAGCTACGATGAGACAAATCTAATTCGTGGGAAGTCGAAAGACTAGGCTGTTGTTCGCTATCTAGCAAATTAACGCGAAGCCGCTGAATGCCGCAGACATCTCGCCGGAGGACCAACACTCAAAAACATGCACAAGCCCACGCATCGAGGCAACATCGAAGCGAGCGCAAACACTCACAGCATGTCACCGACGCCATTGCAATTGTTGATAACGCATGCCATTAATGAGAAACGGCACGAATGTTGGTTAAAGCTACTCTATTTTGCTAAATGTAACGCACCGCCAAAAAAAGCACTCGAACTTCAAGGTCTGTCTGTGAAAGGTGAAATGTGCCGCAGTTGTATTGCCAGTAAAATATTTTTCCTAAGGGCGTGTCTATTCTAATAAGTAGAATTCTTTTATAAAAAATTCTCCGTATTTTTATTTTAACAAAGTGATTTGGTGATCACACAAAAGTGAAAAAGGGTAAGGAGTGCAAAATGAAAAAGGTGAATTGTAGATACTGAAATTTTTGGAAACGCTAAAATGAAATTTAGTCCCTACTGAGAATCAACTTGATGAATGCAATCAGCCTCGAAAACGTTTAAAAGTGGTGGATATAACAAGCAGACTTCCGTATAAAACCATACTGGAAAAGTAATAAAACTTGTAAGATACCCCCTACAATACCTTTTCACAGAAAAAGACTAATTGAGTTAACTGACTGTCATCTTAAACCTGTTGGACGAAGCGATGTGGGAGCAGTGTATCACGGCACCTGCCTAGGTTTGCAAACTGCAAAACTAGTTACACATGTCCACAGAGCACCTATTTAACTTTCGGGGTTGGCACGGACATAACAGGAGCCTTGAGTTATCGTTGAAATTTTCCACCGTTTGTACTAATACTTTGAAATCGCTTATTATAGTCAAGGGGTTTCTAAAGACCTATTGACCAACACCGACAGATCCAATTCATAGCGCTCATTTCAAACTAATCTTCGTTTTCGAAGCAACGAAAGTACTACTTTTTTAAGCGTTACAGTAAAACCGGATCTTCGCTTAAGAGAGCGTCTGGACAAACTATTTCCATTCAACAGCACTCGGATACCACACTTACTCCTGTTTGAGACCACAGACTACTTTGATAATACCAATGCATTTCGGGCGCCTATAAAACTGTCCATTGTCTCACAATCACCAGGGTACGGAAGGAGAAGAGGGATCCGCACTCACCTTGAGGGGTGGCGTTGGGATAGAGGCGATTCCAAGGCTGTTTCGAGTACGTTAGGAACCGGTTCACAAAGCTAGCAGCCTGGGAAAAGGAAAAAAAGATGATTGTTACTAATACTTCCAAACGTGGATGAGTGGGAACCATTTACAAATGGAGTAGGTGTTTGACCCCTCACGCTAATGTGGAATGGTCAAGATTATTCCCAGTAGCTATTATTTTTTGCTGAAAAAACTGCATGAGACCAAAAGAAATTATGACGTCATTACAATGGAAAAACCAGCACAAACTTGACGCAGGTGTGGTGAAATGCTTCAGCCTCGATTGAGACTTGGGAAAAAATAATTTTAAACAATAACAAGTGCCGCAGGCATTAAGTTGACTATCTTGTCAAAAGTAGTTAATTTTAATTATAATTCGCCTCATACCTTCAGAGAAAAGAATTAAGCACAAAGGGGATCCCCGTAAGTGCAAACTGAAGCCCTTAAAGCTAAAAATAACCGGAAAATCGGATTTTTGCTCATCGCCATAGCAGAGTTGGTAGGGCACAATACACCTAACAAGCGCTCCTGAAGACAATGCTAGTCGTTGCTACTTGTCTTGTTCGAACGCACAGAAAAGGAAATGAAGCTAGGGATGAGGAGGAGTGCGACTGGATGCGAAAAGAATCCAGGTTACGCACACAAGACGCACAATTTGGCATGCACATTTGCCTCCGAACAGGTCTGGGCCAGTCAGTCGCTCTCCCCGGGGTGACTAGACGGCTGCACAAAATACTCCTTTTGTGGGCCAAATTTTTTTTTAACAACGATCCTTTCGTAAGCATGAAAAGAGCTTTTCGCCGATTTGAAGCATTTTATGTACTCCTTTGACGCAAATTTCCCCCATTCAACAGTTGAATCTATTTTTAAGGTTTTACTGAAGATGGTCAATGACTCGTTCAACTGAGTCCAAGCAAATTATTTACTGGTTTCGTTTTTACGTCCGCCTAATCTTTCATTTAAAAAGAAATGAAAACTCGCATGAGATGAAATTAGAAATCTTAATCCCTATGACACGTCTCATTTGTTTTAATACAGCGGAACGAGGGCCACCGTTGATCACTGCACATTCTAACTAAATATGGACGTATAACAGGTCCATTAAACCAAGAGAGGAAAGGAAAACCAATGTAACTTTTTTGTTTTATGGCAGTGAGTATTCAATCTGGTCTTGTCGTACTCCACGTGGAGATTTCACACACCTCTGCTTATTGTAGAGTAAAGCAGTCACTCCCCATTTGCTTTTTTGATTGCCTTTCATCGTTTAATTGAAAATCCACACGATGGCGGCAATCTTTACAGGTTGCCTCTCTTGAAAGAGGTAGAACGTAGTCCCTACCACCAATTTACGCAGTTGTAAGTACTTTAAAATAGCATACCTAAAGTAGGTACCTAAATCACAACAACTGTAATATCGGGGAGGGAATTTAAGGCTTGATGCTATGACAGCTTCAAGGAACTTTTTGTGAGGTGCAATATGATGGTTAAATTCTGCTTTTCTGTCCCAAATAAAGAAACCCGTCCAAAAATTACAGCTATCTAAATTATGCTCTAGTAAAGCGGACAGAATTTGCGGTAAACAAGCATAGGAAGGAAAAAGCATAATCCTGTATTGAGCCTTGTTAGTGTAGCACCAATGACAGGGTCATCATGATCAGGGTAAAGGACCAAATGGAGATAGAGATTGCCTAAATTTCACCGAGAAGGTCGCCACAAGAAGTGCTATGTGTTGTCAATCTTGTTGGTTTAAATACTCAATCATAAAATAGGCTCGGATGTGCAGTTCATGATCTCTGCGTTCCTTGATGCAATCTCTGATGGTGCCTTGAAAATCACCTATGAAAGCGATGGTTTGGGGAGCGATTGCGCTTGAGTGAGCTGCCACACTCAGCATCCTCATAGTCAAAAATTTATTTTGTAGAATAGAAAATAGACTTCTCGCCAGGTGAGTTAACTATTCACTAACACCCGTCAGTACAAGATACCTCTATAATTTTCGATATCTCAGGAAATCACGATCTTATAATCACGCCATACTGCTTGAGGTTTGAAATTATCCACCTTAGTTCACTTCATTCATCGCAAAGAAGCTCCTCAACTACTATGCGCTTCTGTCGATTTTTGCTGCCACAAAAAGCCCTTGCAGACCCACTACAAAGTGTCGTCTTGCGAAGTAAATTTCGGTGAAAGAAACAGCACATCAATGAATACAGAGCTTGAAAAACCATAAATTATACCAAGCAGATATTGAAATGCCTTTGAGGCTTACACTGAATACACTTTACTACAAGCCGCAAAAAAATAGCATTGCTTTTCTATCACTTGTAAAATCAGAACCTGCAAACAGAAACAGTAAATGACTTGTAAATTGTCATTGGAAGTCGACACGTAAACCTTAAAAGAATAAAACGTGTGGAGGTGGAATGGAACAATCTCTTGTTTCAACATAGAAGTCTAGACATTAGAATCAAAGAAACCATCCTATCAATTTCACTAAGTTAAAAAACCTTAACCCATCATCAAGTTTTCCCAAGGATTGAAAAAAAGGGGGAATTTTCCCCTGACCTGACCGTTTTTTACAAATTAAAGCCTGAATTGTTTAGAAGTCCTGAGAGAGTGAAGACTCGTTCCAGCTCTCAACTTCAATGTAAAAATTTTTCCCAGTTTGATTAATTGGCCCGACAAAAGCCGCTAATGATAAAACCTGTGAAGTAAACAAGGGATTTTCTGGGCCCATTGACACTTGCTACTTGGGGAATCTGCGAGATTCCTCAGGCTCACTCCCAAATTGGACCACGAATATGGCCTTCCCAAGTAACTTTACACCTCCAGAATGTGATGTCCTAAGGCCTGGCTTTCGAGTCAGCAGATCGCTAGTCATTGTATTTTATGACTTCATCCATTTTGAGAGGAGGTTAAGAAATTCCAGGTGGTTCTAAGAGCCATTAAATGGACTTGAGGTGAGTTATGAGATGGGCAGAGAGGGAGGAGGTCCGTCATGACCTCTGAAACAAGAATGAATTTTCAACGAAAGGCCAAAGCTCACCCCCGTACCGCGGAAAGGAACAGCTTGTTGCTGCTATGGCAATGAACAAAGAAGGAGGGCTGTGCACCAATGAAAGGCATTTTGAAATGCCCCACCGCGAGTGGACCTAGTGGGCCTAAAATTATGGTCCAAAAATTTCCAGGACCATAAAAACCTTGTTACTATAATCTTCCCATGATCACGTGACTTTGTACGCGTGTGTGGGGAGACGGGTGCGTGACAGAGTGGCACTATTGAATGTGCTGCTGCGACTGATGCTGGAGACAGACTACTTAATGGCATTACTGACTAGCTTGCAACGGAAAGTACTTTGACAATGTCGGAAACGATTTAGCAGGCCTCTAAGACATCCTGATCATACGCTCCGACTACGGCCTCAGTAGCACTAAGCCCAACCAACAAGTTCCTATATTGTGGCACCGACTAGTGCTTTAAATAAAGGCACTCTGGGCATTTAAAAAGGCCTCTGATGAGGATTCATTAAAGATTTCTCATCTGTGCAAAATGAAAGACTAAAATCCTCAAATAGGGTCACAGGAAGTACTCTTCTGACCTTTAGTTCGGCAAGACCGTATTTTATCAATGGATTGGATTCGCGGACTCAGGTACGGAATAACTTGTGGCAAACACAGTTGGAAGGTTACTTTTAATCCTTTCTTTTAAAGTAAAAAAATTGTAGTTTTTAAGGATCACATAAGACGGGTTATCCGATAGAAATGTGAATGATGTGGATCAACAGATTTACACCATTGGTTTACCTTTTTTCAGGCGGTTTAATAAAAAAAATAAAAATGCCTGCCCCACCTCTTTGCGTGGTCAAACCAACTCGAAATTTGTTACTTCCATATTCCGATAATCTGAACCCGCATGAGTCCAGAACACATGCGGCGCTTATTCAGTAGATGCTTAATTTTTATAATCAAAGACACTGTCTTTCACGAGCACACCCAAGCCTACGACTGGCATTAACCACCAGACACTTTTTGATTGACGCCACAATTGCAGTATTCCACCTTCATTTGGAACCAGTAAATCGTTTGATTGGCATTGTTGCTTGACATCATCTTTCGCAGAGACCTTGATTAATTGTGAGGACCCAATGCAAAAAGCTTGATTGTTCGTTTAACAAATAGCCTGCTAATAATTGCACTTAAGTGGCGGTTTTTCTGCTTCAGAAATTGAAATACAAAAAAAGCAAAATTACCTTACGATTTGATTAGCAGGAATGACAACATAGAGATAAGACCTACTACAGAAATAAGGAAGATTCCTATAAAAATAAGCAGTAGCTCAGAAATGATACAAGACGACGATACATTTGTAGGTTATCGACAAAATTCCCACCTTTTGCATTTGCAAATTACCAAGGGGTGCCAATTTCGAGGCAATATCGCCATTGCTTTCGAAATTTGCTGCAACACAGAATGAGGAAAATTGTTCATGAAATGTTACCCCCGGTCAACATCCTTGGCATTGACTTTTAGACTGATGCCTGTTGACTTCTACCCGCCCCTACTTTGAGATTTTACAGGCTGCTTTTTCGGTAATGGTGGGAAATCAATTTCCGTTTCAAATCCCATAAAACCGTAGCTTAAAATACTCACGGTTAATAAGAAACCCCATTTTGAATGGCTTGATACAAGAGGCATCAAGTTAGGATATTTCTGCCCTCTTTCTATTTCATGATCAAACGTTGTCATCTTACTGCGCTAATCCCATTTAGTCCAGCAAAAAAACATCGCACTGTAGATAGAGTCCTATCCTTGCAATTGCCTTATTTTACTTTCTGGAAGAGAATGAAAATGCGCTCATTACCTCCCGCGTTGTGTGCTCGTGTGAAGTACTCCAGAGCACAACAGTCGAGCGATGGTAAGCATTACCGTCTTGAGTTTAAACATGTCGAAAACCAAACGTCTGTGTGGTGCGCTTAATTGTGGTACACAGATTCCCACTTAATTTAGTAGTTTATAAATCATAAGAAGACTTGGAAAAGCATCCTACCAATCTGGTAAAAGAAAAATTTTCATTTTAAAGTAAAGAGCACCTGAAGGAGATGCACTGCAACGACGTCTAAATTAAGGTCTTGGATTGGTTATATTGTGAGTGTTGATTGTAGATAGCTTTTATCAAGCTTATTCATTTGGATTTTACGTGACAACTAACGTAAAAATGCATTTATCGGGATCCAAGGCATGCATAAGATGTTTTTTGAAACTGGATCTTACTTCAAGCCAAATTCTACTTGACCCGGATGTATTTACTTTCAAAAGCAAACAACCGACCAAACAAATAAGAACCATCATGATCGATTCTTGAATAAGGTAGCACAAAAAACCTTAAATACCGCGGAGATGAAAGAAAATCTAACACATGGGGAATACGCCTGCTCTCTTGAAACGGGGTTGTCCAAATCGATCTCACAAGAGTAAAGTAAGTCGGGGTTGAATATTTACAACCGAACAGTTGTGCTGGTACGGTAACGGATACCGGGATTTGGGGACTCAGCAACGTTAACCTTATCAAATGATGACTAACCTTGGTATTGACGATCCACTCCCTGTCACCCTCCGCAGGATAGCCTAAGACTTGAAGAATGAGTGTCAACTGATCGACATCTAGATGGAGGAGAAGAGTGGTTTGGAAGATGTGAGGAAAGAGAGGAGGTAGTAAGGGGTCACATACAGTGCTTGCCGGGGAAGAGCGGTTGGCGGTCAAACATCTCGGCAAAGATGCATCCAACCGACCAGACATCGATAGCGTGCGTATAACCCTTGGAATTGAGCATAATCTCGGGCGCGCGGTACCAGCGTGTGGCCACATACTCTGTCAGCATACCGTTGTGGTCGTGCATCGGGTCGTTCAGTCGAGCTAGACCAAAATCGCAAATCTGCGTCGAGAAAACGGAATGAATGGATGATCATTTCAATCAGTAGATGGATTACAGGTGTTTGGGGTTCATTAAAACGCTTGTGTAATAAATTGTAGGGTAATAATCTTCGTCTTTACTCTCGAGCGATTCTACTACTACGCTGCTTATACTACCTATGTGACTAGTCTCTCACCCCTTTTGTGTCGGTAAAAAAGCAACTTATAGACGTCTGGGTGGTCATAATGCCTTCGGAGATAGGTCGAGTGTTACAAAGTATTGTTATAAGTTCATGAGATGGCCCTTGTGTTGTGGTTTATGCCAAATTTAAGACAAAGTTCTCGACCTTAGCGTTCAGTCGATCGATGCTAGCATATGTTAAAGCTGGTATATTTATAATTTGCAAACCAGAACTTCCATTCGTTATCTTTCTGTGTTCAAAAGGAATCTACCAAAAGACAAACAGGTGTCTTACTGATGTTACGATGCAAGAAACCCCGGTTTTCTCAAGTCGATTGAAGCCTAAATTTCAACGGCATGACAATTTCAGACGTTTAAATAGGAAATATATCAAGTTATTGCGTTGATAGTAACTTGAAACAAATTAAATACATTTCAGATTATTAATCCGGTACAGAGTCGACTAAACCCCGTACATTCACATTAAAAGCACCGACTGGAAGAAGGATCCTTTTACATTACATTAGTCATTGCAGTATTGGAGAAGAAAAGACCAAATGATTGTTCAAAAAGTCCCATTTCTGTTTTAGAATGGTGAGAAAACAGTCAGGAAACAGGTCCCGCCCCTAAATGGGGTAGAAATCGCAGGCGCCTTCAACATCCTCGCATTTGAATCGTAAGTTCAAAACCACAACCAATGCCAAATTGGCGTAGCATAGGCTTAGGGCCAAGTTTATCGTAATTTCTGGAAACAGACTCGTCGGTTTGCTAAAAACGAAGCACTTTCTCAATACCAAGTAATTATCTTCTCAGAAAGGGCAAAAAATTGTAATAAGAACGTTCGAACGTGGTTTCCCAATCATTAATTTACCGTTTTAGATGGTTTCGCAACACTCAGCTGCCTTTTGTTCCAAAAAATGCTTTCTTTTCTAAGTTGTGACTTTTTGAGTGGGCAAACTACAGTTTAGGGGAGATTAGTTTATTATGAAATGAGTCGACTTTGGTGAAACAGAATCGACGCAAACGTTAGCTTCTACTTAGTGGTTGTGTGTAGAGGTCATTTTTATGTCATCTTCGACTTTTCTAAATATTGAGTAGTAGGAGGATTGCCTCACAGGAATTGTGAAGAACCATTCAAGAACAAACCAAAGAAATTTACTTTGGAGTCAACACAGCAACACAGCCAATGTCTTCCTATAAACGAACAAATAAGTAGTGATTACGGCATTACTCTCCTTTCCCTTTGAGCTCATTTGATTACGCAACTTTATTGTCAAAGAAACTTCTAATAAATATAATCTTGACACATGAAAAACAGTTCAAACAAACCAATTAAAATTTGGAAAAAGACCCTAATGTTATAACCTTCAAAGCTTTGGGTAAAGCTTTTTAATGAATAAATTAAAGCCAAAGGTTATAATGAATGACCTGGAGCTACTCACCAAGATTTGCATCAATTTATCTTGCATAAAAAAAGGAAATTCACACAATATGATCATGAAAATGTGCATGCTCTGCAACTAAAGGCGGAGGTTTTGTATGGACGCAAACCAGAGAATATATAATGAAAATTATAGGCGCCAACTGCATTGGATAATTGAAGTAAATGTTGAAACAAAAAGTGCACATCACGATCCTCGCTGTACAAACCTACCGTAAATCATGTTGTCGTGAGAAATGTACCGTGCAGTTAGCGTACTTTGAGGCACAGCTTGGAAGTAAAATACCCAAACTTCAGTCATGTACAATGGAACTAGGCGAAATAGAATGCAGTAGCGATTTCAACTCATCAATTCGTCAAATTTGATTGATTAATAAGGGAACCAATGCAAAATGATCTTTACTTTGATAAACTCAAGACGCCTGGACTCTGCACTTAGCTGGTATCAAAGTGAGGAGCCAAACCCCTTGAAAAGCCATTTGATACTGTCAAAAGGAAAAGATTAAGGTGACAACTTCAGGAAGACATGACGTTTGACTGGGAAGTTCTCGTCAAGTTAGTGGACTGAATTCCGCACTCGTGCTCCGATAGAAGTAGTAAAAGGCGACGACTATTATTTTTGCTATTATCAAGACTGCTAACGACATCAAGTGTGAGGAGCGCAAACAGCACTAAGCTTCAAAATAGTACGGAACAAAGTCGAAGTGCTCAACAAAAGTGGTAATCAATCGCCTAATTTTTTTAATTTTCATTCGCAGACGTTTTAGGGGTAGAAATTAGACCACAATATATCAACACAGTGCGAATTCAGATAACTCCCTTGAAATAAAAAGCGCAAACTTTTGCAAAAACATTAAGCATGTTTATCATGAAATCGCAATTCATAGCTTACCCATTAAATCAGTGTAAATCTTAGGGATTTCATAAACCTGCTTATTCAAGACCTCCAAAGCAAAAGTGGTGTTCTAAAAGTGAGCGATATGACTTCGCACTCACAATGGTTCAACTAGGATGGCAGCCGGAAAGAGTTTGCAAAAGAATGGGTAAACTGAAAAAAATCTTTCCAGTGGCAGGAAGTGAACAAATTGTAGGATACATTAGAAACGAATTTTTACTCAAGAGCAAAGTAGACTGTTAGAGCTTCAATACCAACTGATGTAAAGGCAAATAATGGGCGCCGAGCAGGACAGGAATAAGGGTGAAAAGGTCAAAATCTCTCCCGCTTTGTTGTACGGCAGCAATAGGGCATTCAAAGTGGGAAACATAAACAGTGTTTTCGGGAAGATTTTGACGGAAATGCGTACTAATTTAGTTTTCGGAAATGATATTGAAACGGATATAGTAGTGGAAAACCGCACAAGATGCAACCTAGAAAAATGTGACTCCAAATTAAAGGGGAAAGTAAGAGTATGTCAAAAAAAGCGACAAAACAGTCTATTTAAAGAGACAAACAAGCAACAGTGTTCACTCTTTCTTAAATGAAATTATTTCCGGATTTCAACTGGGGATTCCGTGAACTAACGTCACTAACTCGGCCGTTTTTACCAAGAGTAATTTTACTTGCAATTTCGGAATAAGAGGTTTTCATGTAGGTTTGACTAAATCTGGAAATGTAAAAACGCCTATTGAAACCTAATTCGGCATAAATTTAACCAATTTTCATCAAATTTAATGAAAAAACATAAAATGACATTGAGTTTCAAAGTCACTATTAAAGAAAGCATGATTTTGCGACGATACTAAAATAAAGGTCGATCGTCCAGACGTGGCGAAATCTATTAATGATGGGCTCGATAGAGATACCAGGTGGAATTTGAACAAGTAATGCTACATTTAAATATCAAGATGCATTAACAATGGAAGATAACTCGATTCTGAACATAACAAATGAGGTTGATTGTACAAAAAACCACATGAATACGAAAAATGAAGAATACCAACTGTTATACCATGCAGTCTCAAGCACTCATTAGAATTCGTATTGGCCAAAAAGGTTGCTTTAATTCATATGCTTTGAGTAGTGTAGCTCTACTTACTCCATTTGGGTCTGGGATGAATAGATTTTCCGGATAAATCAACGCACAAAATGAAAGTTGAATACCCGATAAAATTTTTCAACAGCGAATCAAAAAGCTAGATGATAATTACAACGAGCTGATAAATCGCGATTGGGTGGAACTGTAACGGCACCAAGTCTCACCAGCGTTGGTAACCGAAACGAATGATAAGCTTCAGATGAGGAAGAGAAAGAGTAAATCTTCCTGCTTTTGTCGATGAAATAAAATTTAAAAAAGATTTTCCTTTTCTACAAAAAACCAAAAGCGTATGAACCCTTTCTGAATGCTGTCAAGCGATTAAAAGAAATAGGGTGAGAATAAGGAATAATCACAAAATTTAAAATGGTTATTTAAAGTGATTAAAGACGTGTTTTAGAAAAAAATGGGCAGATAAAGGAAAAGGCAATGGGTTGAAATAATTAATTCAACTGCATAAAGCACCGAGGAGATTAATTATTTGGTTTCCCCCTCTGTCTCCAGCTCTGATGCTAAACCCAGTTTGCGCAGATGGATTGGGAGGGGTGGTTAGGAAACTTTGCAATAGACAGGAGGGGAACTCACCAATTTCCCTCATCTACGCGCAGGATGATGGAGAGTTAGCTCTAAACATGTGGAAACAACTGTTCTCCAAAGCCGATACACCTGATTTATTTGTAGTTGTTAAAAATACCTCCTCTCTCCCTTTTGCAGACAAAATTCTTTAAAAATGTTTTTCGGTGGTATTATAAGAAAAGTTGTGTCCAAGTGTAACAGACTAGCAGCGATGCATTAGTGAACGCAGTTGAGTAGAAAGTAAACGTGGAGAGGTGTCATCCTACCGCGCAACAATTACGTGACCAAAATAAATTTGTGGGCAATGTAGCGTATCTTGATCAGATGCTTGAGCAGTGGAAATTCGCGTTGACGGCGACTGCGCTATTTGGTCGAAGGGCGAGGGTAAGATATGTTCAACAGATTCTTCAATGAGTGATGACTAAAAAAAGCCTAGCCAAACTTGAAAATTCGGGTTCTTAAACAGCTGTTCTCAACTTAGCACCACTTTTCACAATATTGGCAATACGATTTGATGATAGTATACGGGCTCGGAAAAGGCTGTCATCCTGAACAACTACAGGTCAACTAAACACCAACATAAAGTAACTTTTAAGAATTTTTCAATTCCAAAATATTTACTCAAAAATATTTCCATAAAAACTAACCTATTTAAGATGGAAGATGGTAAATAAATAAAATACGGCAACAATTAATCGGGGGAACTTGCACCAATTTTCGAAGACAAACAGGTGCATAAACGCCGCTGAAATGGCTTTAAGTAACACTGCAAATAGTAATAAAAGGCCACTTTGCCGTTATTCATGCAGCAACGACCACTACCACGCAGACAGAAAATAAGCCTCATCGCTGACCGGAAATGCCTTGAATGATTTTCTTTATGAAAAATACCCATTCGTGGATAAATTTCACTTATTCCAATGAGTTTGCTAAAATATTTATATAATAAATTATAAAGCAGTAGGAAGAGTGTAGAAAATAGGTGGATGATAAGATATTTGCTGAAGGATAACACAGCAACATGTCGAAAACAGTCTCAGAGCAACAGAGATCGCTTCTCTAGGGTTAATAAACCTTCCCTCATATATGACAATCTCACGGCATTTACTACTATTTTTCGAATACTAACGAAAAATTTGTCGGAACCGAAATGAAAATAGGAAGAAAATTACTTTCCGGTTCAGCGTTGTCCTTGTTGCAGCGGGCAACACAAAGTGAAAAGCGAGCAAAATGTAACACCTTAAAATCCGCACCTTTTCATTAAAACAAGTGCTTTTTTGCCTTCATCCCCACATATGCGCAAATATACGCTACGAAAGACAAGAGGAAAAATTTGACAACTAAAAAATAGCCACACCCTTACGTCCCCACATCAAATACGTCTTACCTCCGGGTGGAGATCGTTGAAGGTTAGCACGACAGATACTATGTTAACCAGACACCGCCATATGTCCGTACACCCTGTGTTTATCAACAACTAGCGGCTATTGTGGTGATGGCGGCGACTGTGGTGTCAGAACCTTTAAGGGTCAAGCGGTTGTGTTTTCATTCAATTAACTGCGGAGTTAGTTGCAAACACGGCGAATTTCTTTTCTGTGAAACTACCATCATTTGGAAAATGGAACAAAAAGTGAGGTTTCCTATCAATGCAATGGACCAACTCAAGATATAATGGATGGAAGAACCCACACGCACAAATATAACCACGAAGTTCATGATGATAGTGGTAAAAGGTTTTCCCTATCAAGGGAAATCACTCAAGGTCCTACTAGAACATACTTTAAGAACTTTCGCCAACTACTTGAAGAGGTAAGTTCTCCTTCAGAAGTTAAAAGAACATTTTAATTCGTTTTTTTTTGTTTCCAGACTCTCAAGCTTCCTCCTTCCTAACACTAAATTCAACCCAGCGATTAATATTTGTAGGATTTTACCGCCTCTAAGGACACTAAGAAGCTCTTCAGATATGTAACTCCAGAACTCACAGTGATTAGACCAGAAAAACATCAAGTATCCTGAGACTAAGGGAGTTTGGAATTATGCAATACTTTGCTTCAATAGACCCGTCTAGGATTTCAGCGCACTTTTACTATGAGGTGGTGAACATGTGCTTTTGGGGGCTGGGGCAGTGTGTTAGACCGTGAGACACACCAATCGCCTTTGTTGGAGAGTGCTCTCAGCGCAGTAGTTAGGCCCTGTGGGCATGCAGTCATGTGAGACACACATGTGAGTGCTGTCTGAGCCGCATAAACAGGCGCCACCCAGGCTGGCTGGTATTCATACACACGTATGCAATCCAACACATTTAGCCATACAGGTTACCGTCACTCCTACCGTCATCCCCATCACCGGCTGTAGGCTTTTATTCTATGGCGGAAACTTGCATAACAACAGACTCACAAAAATCGAACAGGAAATACCACCACAGATCCATCAACCCAGTCAATTTGCAGTCAGGATGAGCACGCAGTGATGATCTAGCCAATCGAAAACACCTAAGACTAAGGGAGGAAGTCAGGGAGCGGATGAGCGCCCAGTCACACTAATCACAGCTACCCAGACACAATCGGCCATGCTGCAGTATCGCAAGGGAAATTCTTCTCGTCCATTGACCCGAAACTCCTCCCTGGGAAATGACGAATTTGAAGCAGAGAACCTTAGTCTTGCATTTGAAAAATGGAAAGTTGAGACTCCGCCTTTCAAAGTATTAAATGCAAAAGTCCAATGTGTGTACAAAGAGAGGAAAGGCAACCTTGTGCCAGATAGTAAAAAGGGAAAAAGTTGGAAACTTCGACGAGCACAATAAGCTCGCTTTGCGAGGACTACGAATGGCGGAAATGTATAAAACATCAAAACTTGGCAAAAAGCAGAGTGAATAAAACCGAATTAGTGTCAATAAAATAGCGCTCCCGCAGGAGAAACCGGTCTTGTCACCCCACGGAGAAATAAGAACGGGCGAGGAGGAGGAAGCAAAAGAAGGAATGTAGAGAGCAGGATAACTGGAAACTAATTACACGTGGGCGCGTGAGCACAGCTACACGCGCAGAATGTTATGCTATGTACGCACACACAAAGGTACACACGCACGCATACGCAAGTGATGGCACCGAATTGTTGGATTATGCAGCATTAAATGACACCAGCCTTGGAAATTGGCAGGTGTACACAAGAACATATGACCTCGGAATGATCATGAAACATGGATGCGCAGTCCCAAAGAGATCCGGGTGGGGAAGAAGAGAAAAAAGGCCCTCAAAAGTAGGCACGCAACTGAAGAGGGTGGAAAACGGAAGTGGAGACAACTTCTACCGAAAGGAAATAGGGTAAACACTCACAAGTATCCACGCTAACTCACGCCTTAAAAGGTGAAAGACAAGGAATCAGAGGGTGAGAGATGGATTTAACTCGGAATCAATAAAATGAAGGTGAATGCATTTTAAAACATCTGCCAGAAGATTTACACAAAGTATAAGTTACTGGAAACTACGAGTGAGCGTAACTTTTTTGGCCTATAACTAGCTAATGAGTGCAGAAAAAATGTTGCAAAAACAAGCACGACTTATTAAGCATAGAAATGAATTATGCTAGCAGCTTGAAAGCTGGTGAAAATACTTAAGGATAAAAAGATGAAATTGATCAGCCTCACCCGATATGATTTGGTGCTATTTGCATAGCAAATGAATTCAGTAAACTAAGAACAGTCACAGATGACATCTGGATTATCCAAAAAAACTAAACCAAGTCAACCTGATATTTAAACGAAGTAAAAAATCAAAAGGAAAAAACTCCCAGATATGGTAAGGCAAAAATCCACCGGGAGTAAAGTAGCAATTATCAGAAATATTAACTTACTTTGAGGTCGCAATTAGCATTAATAAGCAGGTTGGATGGTTTCAAATCACGGTGTATGACATTAGCAGAATGGATGTATTTGAGACCTAAAGGAACTATGGGGTAAAACAAGCATGCCTCGTAGAATTTGGTACAGAAAATAACATATGTGATCATTTGAAATGGCTTGACTTTTCAGCAACCGATACAAATCAGTGTCCATACACGTTTGAACAATGTATCTAAAGACGGAATGAGGGGAAAACAGGGACATACACATCTTTCATAGTCTCCAGTGTGTCTCCGACGAGTATCACATCTCTTATATCAATGATCTAAAGAACGTAAGATACTATGGAAACAGCAACTTAGAGAATGACAAATACAAATACGGAACCAGTGGCTGCAACTATTTTCCTTCTGTAGATAGGAGCACTAGTAACAAAATTACATTAAAACCTCACACGATAAAGAGAATAAAGTAAAATACATACATCTATGACTCGATAGTCATAACAGATGTAGAAATATGCCAAAATACAACCAACAATATCTATAGAAATTTGGGGTAATAACAAGAACTATCAATAAGCATACGAAACAAAGAAAAACATACATTTTCGTGTTTGAAACGGAGTAATATTTTGACCTCCCTGTATGTTCTCTGACAAAAGGTTTGGTGTTCGAATGGAGTTGATTTTTTTATGGCAACGCGTTCGCCAGACCGATTATCAACGGCTGAACTAAAATGGAAATATAACAAGACAACAGGTACAAAACAACGCCGTAGGCTCCTTCTCCCAGCATTTTAAAGTCTACATAATTTGGCCCCACTTCAAAGGTGGCTGACTTAGCCGAGGTTTTTGAGCTAGAAGTCATGGTTTTCTGCGGAAGGTGGATTTAAATGCCAACTATATCAAAAGTTCGCGATATTCCGACCAATTGTCTGTATGCCTGTAACCTTGAAACAATGTAAAGTAACAACTATGTTTCTGCGTTTTTTATAAAAGTAGCTTTAGATAAGGTAGTTAAAATTGCCCTAATTATACCAATTTTACAATTTTAATATTTAATTGCAAGTTTTTTTGTCAATGTAAAGTAATTTTGATGCCTTCATATTAAGAAATTAGCCTCGATAAAAATGCATGTCATGGACCAGACCAGCGGCCCCATCCCTTTCATTTATTTGCTTTCTTTTAGTTACACGTGTGAAAAGCCATTTGATTTCGATGGTGGTTAAGATTCTAAACGAAAATATTCCTATCTTTTAGTTCGTATTGGCAAATCAAAGAGTAGGTAGCGGTGTAATACTTTGCGATTTACATAAGTGCATGATTGCCTACATGGGCTCTTAAACACAAAAGTTTATGTTTTTATCAAAAGTGCAGCCCTCCGGTCATGTCTATGGCTACCAAGTCTTTCAGTACGTCCGTAATGAAGCCACTGCAATCCCTGTCGTTTACGAAAGTAAATATAATTAGTTCTGCAAAAAAGTGACTGACAAACATCTGCATAAATGCAGATGTCTAGTTTTTTTTCTTAAGTCACAGGCATTCCCATAGGCTTCAGTTAGTGGCCCGACCTCCTAAATGCAATTTAGCTTTTTCGAGAAGTCTGTCCAGGAAGTACATTTTACATGGTCGAAAAATGCTCACCTCTTACTGAGTTGTAAAAACCATTTTACCTGGCTTAAAGCCAACCTCTTAAATCGAGTTCATTAAGTGACTGGGTCTAGTTAGAACAAGGTGCCATCAGCTTTGTTTAAAATGCGGTAAGTGGTAAATTTGAGTTCCACAAAAACAGGAAAGCAAACGTCGCGGTTATATGGGTTTGCAACCGTTCCTCTTTGCCACGTTGTTCCACCTCGGAGCTGGTTGGTTATATCCATCCGGGCCATATACAGCTGTGCGGTTACGGTAGAAAAGTCTGTAGCAAAGCTTTCATATGGTGTACGATTAGTGTCGGTTCAGTTGTTAATGGCTTCTCTGCAGCACCCAAAAATTGGATAGATGCCGAAGTTAGACGACAATTTCAGCCCTTCTGTTCGGGGTTATTACCGTTCTCCCCTCCGCCGAGCATGCACTTCTACCTTCCAGCTAAGGTTTATCACCCAGCAGTGAAAATCAGGATAGGTGTTCTTTAGGATCGGGTTCCCTTTCCACTGAGGTCAATGCAGCGTCCCGATACCTTCCCGAAGACGAAAAGGAACATAGTACCTCAGGAAAATACATACATTATGCGTACAAAAGGTATCTAAGCCACTGGTATGACCAGGGACCAGCCATCGGGCAGCTACAACGACCACATTAAAGGTGGCTCTCCACCAAATGAGAGAACTAGACAACCACCGAAACAAAGAATTGATAATAAAAGCAACAGCAGGATGTGTCTGGCACATCTGCTTTTGGAAGCGTCTTAATATTTAGAAAAAACTTTTTAGGCGCATTATTTTTATGTGATTTATTGATATCACCTGACAAGGAAAAAGCTCTACTGCATCATCTTCAGCGTGATAAGAAAAGTGAATGAAGTTTTTGAAATTGCAATAATTCACACTACTATAAAAAAGATTAATTAGTATGTAGCTTCCCGGGACTCCCTGAAGACGAAAGAAGATAAAATACTCGGGCAGAATACATATTCAGCGCAGAGAAGTTGTCTGGGCTATTGGCATGGCCCAAAAGGCCAGCCCACCCAGCGAGGTACAAGGGTGCTGATTCAAAGTACAATAGTGGTTTATCCCTCACCATTGCCGAGGGATAAACCACTATCGTATTACAAGCATTCTAGGGCACCCTTAAAATTTAAAGACGACAACTACGTGGCAAAATTGATATTTGAAATAAAGAGATTTATGTATTCAGGCTTACCATAAATAAACCTTAGTCTTGCAATGCTGCGATAATTTGCACAGTTTTTAAGTGTAGACAAACACTAGTTCTTTTGCAAAATCATTAGGCCTGTATGCTATTGCTTAGAAGTGGCTAGTAAATCCACGATGAAAAACCCTGATTTTATCTTGAGTCAGGACAAATGTCACAATTTTTAAACACTAAACGCAAATTCTGTACAGCTTTACTCAAGCAACAATTAAAGCGGTCTGATTTTGGTGCTTTTTATAACGTAGGTTTTGTAAAACAGAGATTGCTTTCGCCTAGCAAACTGCTTTAATTGTTTAAATTTTTTGCTTCAATTTTTTTTCTTTTAGTTAACTCTAGATAATATTATTTCATTTATCTTGTTTTAGTTACCCAATGGCACCATTTCCTGCGCTTGCTGGGACATCTTGGTTTTCGACTGTCGTGTTATTGCGATGGGCGACCGTGATTCGACTTGTTACGCTTGTGGGGAACCTGGTCATTTTGCTCGTGATTGCCCTCAGGGTGGTTCTGGTGGCCGCGGTCGTGGAGGCGGTCGGCGTAGTGGTTATAGCGGTGGCTATGGCGGCGGCGGTTATGGAGGCTATGGTGGTGGCGGTGGAGGCGGCTACCAGGGTAAGATTGGAACTGTTATACAGTCCAGATGCGCAGCAAGTTGTCGCGCAAACTTTTGCGATCCTTCCTGACTGGCTTGCCGGCGGCGGGTCGTTGTGGTTAGACAGTTTTGTGTTCAGAATTTGGCAAGTTACGCGCCCATTGCCCTTCAGGCGAAGGAGACTACGAGGGTTGTGAGCACGATCTTGTCAAACAGGACATTTTTGTTGATTGAGGTGTTTTTGTTGCTGCAGATGGATGCTTCAATTGCGGAGAGTCTGGCCACATCGCACGCCATTGTAATGTCCTGAGAAATCAGAACAATGGTAGCGGCGGTGGTGGTGGTGGCGGTCGTAGCTGCTACAATTGTGGTGAGGAGGGCCACATCTCGCGGGATTGCCCGCAAGGTGGTGGCGGAAAAGATAAAGTGCAGTGCTACCGATGCCGTGGCTTTGGTCACTTTTCTCGTGAGTGTACACAAGGTGGTGAAGGTCCTATTTGTTACAAGTGCAAAGGATACGGACACATTGCCAGCCAGTGTAACGCATGATGTTTTTGCATAATGAGTGTTGTTGAAGGGTCAACTACCGCGAAATAAATTGCATTTTCCTGAGGTTTGTCTGAGAGGGAGTCTTTGGTCTAATGAGTTAAGTGCTAGGTTATCGTAGTCATTGCTGTCGTAAGTGGATGTGAAATCTTCCGTCTGTCCGGGTCGGCACGGACCTGTTGGATGTGCTTCTGGCTTCGGAAGTATCACTGATGGTGTGTGCTGCGTTCCGAGGTGACGCTTGCTGGCACGTGCGTTTGGGGTGCCCATGGTTTTGTCTTTGGTGTGTTTAGTGTCTATTGCCTGAGTAAAGTACCGTACGTCGCAGTGCCTTCTTGCTGTTTGGTTCCCCGGAGGGGCATCTTGGTTGCCCATTCGCTGTGGGTTAAAGCGCCCTTTAACCTGCTCTGTGGTTTGCGACATTGGCATGCTCGGACACGGCGGTGTTGCGCTCTATCAATTTGCATTGTTTGGCGCCTCTGGTCGGGCCCGGTGTCTCTTGGGCGCCGTGCATTCACGCCTGGCCTGCTCGGTTCTGGAGCCGTGGTCCGTTCCTGGGGTTGCAGTTAGGATGCTCCTCTCGATTGATTTGATGCCTGGGTTCTAGCCCAAGAGGTTATTGGAAGGCCGTACGTTGGCGTCCAGTTTTTGACTTCAGCTGTTCTGGTGTCCGTCGGTGGTGGGTTCAGTGATGCGGTTATTGTCTACCGAGATTTCCAACCCGGCCGGACCGCTTGCGGCGCCGGCACTTCCCTTCTCAATACAGCGGGAATTGAGGCTGCCTGCACTTGGGCTGAGTGCGTGACTTGGCCGGGGCTGGTGCTAGTCGCAAAGGTACCTTAAAGTGGTGTTGGGCGTTGGACTTCATGGGTGTCGGTTGCGCGCTCACGAGTGGTCGGGGTCCCTCGCTGCCCGGGTTAAACTCTGCTGTTGTCCACTTTCGCGTCGCCTTGGGTGCTCATCAGATCAAATCTAGTGCGAGCCGAACTGTCGTAGTCCGTGAGTGGTAACTCCATCGTTGAAACCTCCCAAAGGTCGTGAATGGCTTGCACTTAGTCGGCGCTTGTGCTCGTGTCCTCTGTCGGCAACTTCGTCTGTGTGGCTGTACCGTCAACCGCACTTTCAGTTGACCTTCTTGCGGCTGCTTAATCCTGTTTGATTCCCTAAGCGGATCATCGGCAGCAATTGGGACACCTTGATATGGGTGCATCCGAAAATCCTTTTACAAGTAAGCTACCTATTTCGAGGATGCCCTGTTACTTTGGAAGTAGTTTTGGTAAAACTTACGAAGGGAATGGGCCACTCCACCGAGTAATGGCTTCGGTGGGATTGTTTCGTTGCATTGTCTGGTTTGCATGGATCCTGAATGGAACTGAGCTGCAGCCTAATAGATGTTATTGGTAGAATGAACCACTCAAAGGATCAAAATTACAACTTAAATACGGTCTGTTGAAATGATTGACCGGATAAGCCATCTCACGATGACACCTGTTCCGGGGCCAGGAGAAAGTAAAGGTCGTGACTGCGCAACCCCTGTTCTGCAGATTACGAAAAGAGGACCATTGGCGGAGGGCATCATATTGTGAGGTTTTAATTAGTAGTCACACGTAGTCTATTGCTGCAGTAGTGAGGCTTCGATACTAAATTGAAAATCAACAAGAAAAAAATGACGTTAGCAAAGTAGGGTTCCATTCAGTCTAAAAGTGTTTAGCTGCCTGGCTTCGAGTGTTACCGGCAGCATCTCCGTATCTTACTAGGTCGGGCAAAGGGGTATGATATGCAGTTCTGGTTGAGAACCCTTAAATTAGGAGTGAGTCGTGCCATAAGATCTTACGATTTTTGGATACAACTACACTATCTTACTGGAATAATGATCGCTGTGTGGCATTCAGACCATCTCGGTACGCGGTATAAGATACAGGCGTACATGCGTCCATACTACGGCGCACCAGAGTGAGGGACGTTTACATTAGGATCCGGGCCAATTTTTTACCAAAGTAAAGGCCTAACGGAAGCAGGCCTCTCTATAAATAAGGCAAATGTCGATTTCACATACGACTTCGGATCTGCTTAAAGCACTTTTTGTAATGAGCCCAAGTTGTGTACCTCAGCGTAAAAGTCATAGTCGAGCTGAATAGGGTATTGAATAAAACAAACCAGCAACGAAATATTAAAATCTCCGAATTCATTTAAAGCGGTGGACTTTGGTGAAATTGCATCCACCATGTCCCACATTAGGCGAGCTAGAATTAACCCTGAATTCAAAGCAATGCTCGGCGTTTTGCGCACTTGATGTAGTAATCAACTCAGATAGGTGTTATTATCAAAAGGCCAAATTTGTGGATAATTTTTGGCTTAATATTAGCAAATAATGCAATGCATTGTAGTCCTCCTGTCCTCACTGAGAACGTTTGGCTAATTATGATTATGGATAAAGGTTTGTTGCAAGTGCGCACGAGGGTTGGCGGGCTGTTGACAAAAAATTTGATGAATGGAGCACCAGACTGATGAGGTGGAAATCGGGACTGTAGTGGCTAAGGTGTATGAGTAGCTAAACACGAAAGTTAAGTAAATGTCATTCTAACACATGATCTTCGAGCCTTACTCGTAATTACAATGTTTGTACAGGAAAATTGCCCACCGTTTTTGCCTGGGAAGGTTAGCGGGTCTTGAGAGAAGAGACCCAAACTTTTTGGTCCTTCTTTCTAGACGCTCCGCTGTAATGCCATTATTAGCATAAAAGTGCTCCAATACAAATTGATTATCAGTTTAATAGGATGAGGTAAAGCACGCAATCCTACATTCGAGAAATGTTTCCGGACAGAGTAAAACGCACACCATATTATTCCAGACTCATACCTGTTTTAATCAGACATCTAACTACGCAGTCTGCTAAGTCTCTCAGTTTCGGTTTCTATCTTCGTAGTCTTACGCTCCTCCGCCCGTGTCAGTTATGTTAATAGGCCGCAAGACCTCTAGCACATTCCCCAAAAAGTGTATTTTCGAACGGGGCTACCAAGCGCTGCAGCAGAGTGCTGTTAGTGGCTCTAAAAGCATCGTTAGGTATTTCTACTTCAAAAATACAGAAGGATCAGAAGATCGAGAGATTAATTGCACTCAGGTTGTTTGAAGCTAAGATGAACTCGGTGAAACGGAGGAAGTGTCATTCGTCTAATATTGTTTACTTCCGTAAAGTGCTTCGGTGCGGCTCCATAAGATAATCAACTGCATCAACATATTTACAAATTTATCTAATTGCACAAAAAACGGATTCCAGTCGGTTTAGAATCGGCTAGGCAATTTGTATGTCAAGCAATGCAAATAAAAACTGGTTCGAATACAAAGGACCAGGGTAGGTGGTGTAACCTATGTTAATGCTTGCGCTTACTAGTAAGACTCGATCCAAATTTCTCACGCGCGTATCAGCTAATCGAAAAAACTTGGATCGCGCCGCTAAATGACATATGGCTAGCTCAAACCGGAGCTCATGTCAACGCCATAATTAAATCGTATTTTCATGGTTAATGTGATTGTAATAAAGTGCTCTTGACGAGATCTGGGTAAATATTCTATCTCCGTGGGACTTTTGCCTGATATATTACACAGTTTAGCTGGGTACCAATAATCTGCTTATCATTTACCCATCTAGCTCCAGGTTAATCTCACTTTCCAATCTGAAATATGGCGATCAACACTAGGAACCCAAGCATATATAGGATATTTCAATTTGTAACAAATCATTTAATCATAAGGGACGACTTTGAGGAAACATTAGGAAGGCTGCTTCTGTCGTTACAGAATCTGCCTGATTACTTATTGGGCACCATTAATTGCAGTCAATATGTTATTCATCTCCTCTTCTGCAAACATCTGAAATTACTCACAGAACAGTGAATGAAAATATCTAAAGTTTAGTTTATGATTCAATGAAGGAGTTCAATAAAGAATACTCAAAAAGAGGCGAAATTTTGCTCATAATTGCATAACTATTCTAAACAAACTTCACCCGCGTGAATCAGCTCCAACATAGGCGAGTCGCAGACCTCGATTGCAGGCACTGGCACCTGTGACCAATGGACAATTAGCCTCTGCATTGGACAGGCAAATCTGGGCACGTAAAGCTATAAAAAGGCTCAAATTACTTGTCCCTTCCCCGAATTTATTAAGACGCCCCCTACTATGCTTACCAATGGCAAAGGCGTAGCGCTAGTGTTGCCTTGTGCGAAGCGACACCGAAGTGACTGGGTGAATGGAGAATCAATAATACGTGTGTGTGTGTCAGCCATCGGAAGGTTGCGTCACGGCTCATGCACAGTGGAAGGGAGCTGTAATGGCACCAGACGAAATTCACACCTGTACACACACCCCATGGTAAGTGGGCGATGCAACTCATAAATAGGCCCAGGTTATGTTCAAATGCCTGCACGAAGTCGCGAGGCTGATGTATTGGCGCATCGCACGTGCTTTTGGTGGATGCACTTGTGCCCGTGTTCGTGCACGCCTGTTTGAAGCACACGCCGAGATGAACCGCCTTCCTGATGTGGTATTTCGTGTAGAGCTTCATACGGGCTCCTTATCACGGCAATTTCAACAGTGTAGGTCTGGCAATACGTTGCTGCACAAATTTGATTAGTCTAACACCCACGACTATTTGTCTGAACAAAGGCACTAGGCGTTTTCCAAACTAGAGCTAAATATTCAGATTCCTATGGAAAATCGGCGAAAGCCGTTGCATTGAAAAGAAAATCGGCAAAGGAAATTTAGTGCTAAATAACAGTCGCCCCTAAATACGGATTAGTCGGGAAGAATTCGTAAAGCAAGGAATGTCGACCCTGGGCTCAACTGACTAATATAAACCGCACTTGAGGATTGAATACGGCATAGTCTTCCAACATTCATACGATATTTAGTGAACTTTTCACGAAAATGCCATGTGCCGCAAGAAAACCTGCAGTTCAACACTGCGGTGTAAATACAAGCTTTTGTAAGCTATTTTTACATTTGCTGTTGTAGGGTGTGTTCAGGCACCAGAATAAAGTACTCCCTGGTTTACTTGCATTCTTATGTCCGCGTCTTGCAGTTATATGAATCATCTGCATTATTAAACCATTTCATCTAACCCGTTAACTGCACACATAAACGAATTTTTCTGATAAAACAGTAATAAATGCAGGGTTACGCATTTTATGAAGGTATTCCACTCTAAAGTTTACTTTGGGCTAAGTTGGCAGGTGAATGAGACATCGTGTAACAAAATATTCGCGCTTGTTCGTTGTGAGAGTTTATTTTGAAAGAAGACATTCCAAATCGCGCTAAATGAAGTGCACTCGCTTCTCTAAAAGATTTTTCCACACTCACTTCGAGATGAGGGCTGCACGTGTTCTGGCAGAACTTTAACTCCTACATTGAGTGTTTTCAAAAGCTTAGAATGAGAGGTGACTTTGGCGTTAATCCTACTCCAAGCGCACGCTGTTGCTCAGCCATAGATAATGGTGGTAAGGCATTACTGGATATCTGAGAGGACGCAACACGGTCGTTTTTAAAGGCACTAATGACGGTTTGGCAAAATTTGATGTGGGTAGTCAATGTGAAAAAGACCTTTGAGAGGTAGATGTTATTAAGTCTGTACTGATTGGAATAATTGACTTCGTCATATAGATCAGAGAAGGTATTGCATGATCTCATTTTCATGGTCAACGCTGAAAAATATTTCAGCAATTAAATTAAACCCGGCGAAAAATGCAAGTGTTTACAGCCGGTTTCGAGATCATTTAAAGCCCAAAATCATCGCATTGATAGATCTAAAAACTGGAAGAATTCCGACATTTCTCGCACTTTTTTGCTAATTCCACAATGATATTTAATGCATTTACTTACGAACATCTTCCGTTGAACCATAGAGCGCATATCCAATGCAAGCCCTGGGGAAAGCACTCCAAGGATGACACGGAACTTCCACGACTCCCGGGAATTCCCAAACGTGGGACCGCACCGTTGGCCAGAAATCGGCACCCCACCCCACCGAACCGTTCACACCGCACCTAGATTGCCCGAACAACAAGCACCGTCGAAACCACGAAAAGTTGGCTAAGCGCAAGACCTCGATACCAACCGGAGGCAGGACGAGAACTTCAGACTACCACGCAGCCCCGGCGCCGAGAGAGTTCACAAGTGGATAAACCTAATTCAACCTATTTTACGAAACCAAATCTTAAGCCAGGTAAAAAGCTCAAACCGCCATGCACTAAAACTAACAGAGACGGTCCTGGGCTTGATGAATCAATACATCAAGGCACAGAACCAATCAAACATGAGGTGAACTAGTAAATCCGCCACGCCTCATCAAAGCATGGTAAGATAGGAGCCCAGAATCATAAGCAACCTTCATTTGGGCAAAGAAAATGCACTATATTACAATAAGCGCGCGTAGTTCAACACCTGCGTATAAATATGAAAACCAATCGGAATTTTCATAAATGGCGTCAAAACTCCGAATCTTTGGCCTTTAGTTATTACGCGGTTCAGGGCAGTTGCGGGAGATGTGACCATAACCCTGGCAATTATAGCACTGAACGTCGCTACGACCACCAGAGTTGTTCTGGTTTCTTGGTGCAGTGCATTCTCGAGCGAAATGGCCGACTTCTCCGCAGTTGTAGCACGTGGATTCTGCATTAACAAAAAACAATTTACCTGGGTAAGGAGGGTAATGAAGAGAACTGCGTGGCTCAAGCTAAAGAGACAATATCTATGATAAGCAACACAAGCAAAGCATTAAGCTGGTGCATCAACCATGGGTGTGCATTTAATGCGACAGCTAAATTTATCTTATAAGGCCTACCGCGGCCTCCGCTGAAGCCACCGCCGCCACGTCCGCGGCCTCTGCTAAAACCACCGCGGCCACGACCACCACCAAAACCACCACGATCAGAAGCCTTCTGGCAATCTCGGGCGAAATGACCAACCTCACCGCAATTAAAGCAAGGACGATCAGACATCACAGGCTAAAAACACGCACGCCTAAAAAGTAGAGGCACTTGGAGAAGTATTAAATGCCAAGTAAAACAAGAAGGTTGAAAAATAAGTAATGGTATAAAGAAATAAAATTGCATTTAAATTGCAAAACTGATCGTGTTCAAATTTCAAAAAGGCAAAAAATCCTCAATAAAACCTTTAGGCGGAAGAGAATTTTAAAATGGGAAAACAGATTAACGTATAAAATTTAATGTTATTAAGAACTTTTCTGATGATTAAGCCTTTTGCAATTTGTGTAGAAGAAGCAGGTTTTTGTAAATGTTTAAGATGGGTGAATACTCGAATAAGCCCAAAATTCGGTGCTTTATAAATTTCGCTTCTTGTGCAAGTGATGTAAAGTCTTTTCTCCGAAAATTACAATAGTTTTAGCTTCGTGAATGTAAAGGCTACTGCAGGCAGCAAGTGCCAGGTTTAAAAACGACCATTTTTTAGTAAGCAGATGTGTGAATGAATACACTAGATATCTCGTCAATATATATAGGATTCTCAAGATATAATTGTGACGCTTAAGACTTTTGCAGAGAAAAGAGGACATATAGTCTGGGCGAAATGTACACAGTCGAAACGTAGAAGTTGTGAGGGCTACTCGCATGGACTGAAGGCTAGTCCACCCACACCAACACAAGCGCACATTACCTAATAATGCCCTAAAAATTCCTAACTGAATTAAAATGGCAATCAAAATGTAAGAGAGAAACAGCTTTTAAATACTTGAACATTGTTGGTTATTTTATGACATTATTATGATGCTATGATTGTTTGCTTGAGTTTAGGTTTAATATTACCAGCACATGGTTCTCCTTGTATTGCACTTTTATTCTGCAATTAATATTTGCGTAAGGCCAGTAGCTTCTTTGCCCTTCTGTACTTTAGCGATACATTTTCTGTCGTACTACTATTACTTTACTTAACTTCCTGGGGAAATAAGGAAGGAGAAGTGCACAGCACTCGGGTAGAATATAATATGACAACGCTTAGAAGGGCATGAAATATATTGGCATTGCTTTTGTAATACGATGGTGGTTTATCCCTTGGTTTTTGGTGAGGCGCCACTTTTGTACTTCGAATTAGCCTCCTTGTACCTCGCTGGATTGGCTAGCCTTTTGGGCCATGCCAATAGCCCAGACACCTTCTCCGTGCTAAATATATATATTTTGCACGAGTATTGTGTCTTTTTTGTCTTCAGGGAGTCTCGGGACGCTACGCTTTGAGGCCGGACTACCCGGCGGGGCCCTAAATTAACCCGTTATCAAAATCGGGTCTCGAACACACAATCGAATCATTACAGTGTACACAACGTGTGTTTTTGACACAATATCCATTTCAATGATAAGAGAACCGAAATTATGCCAAATATTTGTATGCTTGTGCCATTTAATAGGCTTGAAATAATAGTACATATGTACACTCAAAAGACGTTAGACAGTATTTCACAGAGCGACTAGTAACTCACGCACATATCTTTAATTATTGTAATTTTATGCGACCGTATCACACTAGCCTTATCAATACAATGGTACACATCACAAGACCTCTCCTATGTTAGTTACCGTGATCTGATTTACTAGAGACAAAAAAGGGATGGGGAAGAGAACAATATGAGAATACTTCTAAATCATTTGACTAATAGCGTTTATTTAAAAAGAATTGTGTCGTAAGCTCACGTCCTGCGTTATGCTTTTGGGATTTTGCTTGGGCTACCCTGCTCAGTGCATTCAAATACTCTTATCCAACTCACTACTACATGGTTAAAGATTTTGTCAAGTGTTGATTGCATCTCTAAACAATTCGTTTGCAACTGCTTTTATGAGTTTAAGAAATCTATTTGCGTCTTTCGCTTTCTTTAGCAGAATCAGAAATGTTCGGACTAGTCTTATTAGTTGCATGATCTCGGATCTCGCCGACAGTTTAGCCAGCGCTCTTTAACCCGTGTGAACATTTGTCCCCTTGGTAGATAACCAGCATGCTTTGTTTCGGGAAAAATTTCGCTAATAAGTTGACCTTTTGCCCTTACAGCAAGGCGTTTTTTAATCGTAAATTCCCTAGCTTGTTTTCCGCCGCGGTTCATAAGGCTGACGAGAAGATGCATGCACTGACACTTAATGGGGACGAGAAGGAACATTCATCACGTATCGTGAGGATTGTTGACGAGATCGCCTCTTTGACTCTGCTTGAAGTCGCTGATCTGAACGAACTCTTGGCCAAGCGGCTAAATATCAAGGTAATTTTTCTGGTCTCTCAGCACTGTCTCGGATTCGTAAGCCAGGACACTTCTACGAATTTAATCGAACAGTAGATCCTGAGCGTTTGATTCCAAAAGATTATAAAAGCATGGCTTTTGCACTAGGCGGCATCTCGACTGGGCACTACATCCATAATCTTGTGTACAATGCTCCATTTCGCGTAGACACTGATCAAAACGGTTAATTCTCTGCACGTGTGAGAAGCGCTAGAGGAGCATCGATCCCGGAGGGCTCTTGAACTTGACGAAATGTTTCTTGGAGAGTCTGATATTGCAGTTTTAAAAATTTATCTGACCAGGCACCGGTCCACGCCGTGACTCCCATGTCTCCACAGCCAGCCTCACCAAAGGAACATGAGGAAAGAGAGGAGGTAGAACAAGCGCCCTCAAAGACCGCTTACGCCGTTAAGCTAATGAAGTTTGACGCCACAAAGAAGGTAGCCCTGATTAAGGAGATTAAGAACATTCTTCCGGACATGAATCTGGTGCAGGCTAAGAAGTTTGTCGAGGTGAGTGCATGTAAAAAACCTTAATCTCCCACTCGTACCACTGGGACCCTTATATTGCTCCAATCCATATCGCTATAACTTTGTCGGCGAGAAACTAAACCGAGCGACATGACCAGATGCCTCCAAACCAATTGATTCCAGTGAAAATATTTGCCGTTACTTTAGCCAGGATTAAACCCAGCCGCTTAAAAACACTTAAGCTAATAGGCTACCCTTAACTAGCTCCAGGAAAGGGGTGCAATGCAATTTGAGCTGTCACCAAATGGTGGATGCACACCTTAATGTAACTCATCAATTTCTGCGTTTTAGGCTGCTCCGGGAGTTTTGAAGAAGGACCTTAGCAAAGACGAGGCAGAACAAATAAAAAGGGCCCTGGAGGCTTGCGGTGCCGCTGTAGAACTCGAGTGAACAAGACCCAACCAAAGTGCTAGTTTCCTAATAGGCACTGTACATAAATTTTCTACAATTTAAAACGGGTCTTGCACTAGCGAGTAAGGTTCCTCAAATAATCGTATCTGAGTGCGCGTTCCGGAGTAATAAGTACCCTTTTACGGCGTCGGGTGGGAGGTCTTTGACCACGCGGTACTCATCGGCGCTGGCGTAGCGCAGGTTTGTGGCAGGGTCCTGCAGACTTGTTGGGAGTCCACTGATGTCGGATACCTTTATGCCAGGGCGAAGGCTGGGCGGCGCTTCAATTTGGTTGTAGAGGACGGAACCCGGAGGCCAGTGGTATTGGCACTCAGCATTGATAAGCTGACGTAAGGTGCGGGCGACTGGCTTCTTCTGGACTTTGTTTAGCGCCTGTTTCTTAAATGGATATAGTGGCCTCTCCATTTATGCCTATGGCGTAGAAGGAATTGTGGGAGGGTTACACCTGGGGAAATGATATCCGAGCTAATAATGTATAGAATGTGCCTCAAAACATGGTTTATGAAGAAAAAAACCAGCTAACCAGCTTGGTTTGCAAATGAAACTGCAACTGCCTAATTCACAAGCTCCCGACACCAACGAAACCGCAATCAATTTTGACCGCCATACTATAGGCTAACCAAAGATAAACGTCGGGTGACCACCGCTTGAAACTCGCTCCAGCAATGTAGTCTGGCCAGCCACAATAATTAGTCCTTTTTAAATTTTAACGAGTAGAACAAGCCATTTTCTGAAAGCAATTGTTTTTCAAGGTATAAATAACAGTAAAGCGTTAGTTTACTTTACATTAGCACAAAGGAGCCTAGAAGCGCCATGGTAATATCAGATGAGAATCGTAAATATTGCTTTGCATTTATTTAAGTACTTACGTCCAAATATTTTTTTTGCATCCATTACTAAAAAGCGCTGCTTATCAAACACGATAAGCCAAAGAGGCGGATATTGCCAATCGGAGATTAAAATCAGGTTGCCTTTTTTGTGCAACAACTGTATGAATTCCAAAATTGGGTTTGGCATCTAATGCATGGTTGCATTTAGCATTTGAAAAAAACAAAGATATTCCTAGGTAGCTATTTTTACAACGCAGTCACGTTAGTTTTTATGTACGCCAGCATAAGAAAATCTGGATTTTTTTGCACTTAGTACTTTCTAGCTAAACATGTTTCAATGGATGGAACTGAACAAATTTCGTGAACAAATCCAATAGCTCACTGCTCATATGATGGGAACGGCTTCCTCTTCAATCTATATTTTTCATGGCCTACCTATTTGCCATTATTTATATGCAGTATGCATTTCTGACGTCTTAATTTGAGATATCATTCAAGGTTTAAATGCCAATCCGCAACTGATGCCATTTCGAAGGTCAGCCAACTATTCCGTTGCCGGCGGCCTCCGTGAGTTTCATGTTTGCGGCGCTTCTGACAGGACAAATAGTAATTTTCCCTTCCGTTGTTTCCAAATTAGGTTCAATCGAATTTCTGCGAAGTGTCCCCTGGAAGACTTCTTTTGGATTTACCACCACTTGGCAAGAGCAACCATATTGTTGTGTTTTTGACTGGGCAGGCTCCATTTCCTGAAGGATATGGGGCTGGAGGTAGGTTAAACTAGATTATTTCTCACTACATTAGTTCACTTTGGTCTAGTAGAAAATGGTTTAGCTAACTGGAGTTATTTGGGCTACCTTTCAAATGATCGTCCGAGCGCAATTTTCAAGGTATCTGGATTAAAGCCAAGTAGGTCTAACTCTTGATTTTGGAGGAATGAGTTTAGATGCACTAAAGCAGGTTGTGAATCCGTTTCAAAATATTTCGAGTTTGCCTACTGGGAATATGGTGACTGCACAAGTTGGAATTTCTCTCGAACCTTTGGTCGAATTGGCAGGACAGACGTCTGCGATTGAAAATTCTTCCACTTCCGCAGGTGTGGATGACGAGATGAGATTTACTCAGTTCGCAGCAGAGAATTTATTCCATTTTGCGGCGGGCTGTGCAAAAGAGTTACCAGGAACATCCGAAGTCTATGTTCCTATTTCGGCTATTAAACGTTGGTTTGAAACAATTCGGCGCAAACTGTTGCTTGATCCGAACTTTTGGCAAAAGTGATCTGTACGCTTTTTGTATTGTAGGCTTTTTCGCAATCAGTCATGCGTTTTCTACATCCCTCTACCTGTTGGAATAGAGATTGTACGCTTGATTTACTATAGCAATGGCAGTGCTTACAACTCGAACTTTTCACGTACGTATCAAAATTGAAGCGTATGGCCTTCGTGTGTTGATGCACTTTTTATCGACGCCTTTTTGATTTAACAGGCAAGGAGGTTAAATTCGCTTATTAAACTGAATCTGACTGCGGCCCATATTCGATTGCTTTATAGTTCACGTAGGCGCAGTAACTACACGGTACTTTGAAGTCCTAGAACCTTGTTCTGAAATCTCCTCGATGGAGGTAGGATATACCTGATCTACTCCCAATTAAGAAAAAAGGTTCTCAGTAGCATGACAAGAGAGTTGTAGTTTAGTTTTGTTCGAAAATAATTTTGTACACAGCGGCGAAATGGTCATACGCGCTTAGAATTGATAACTTTATCTGCTTGCATAAGGCTCCATTCAGAGGGCATTTCGTAATTTGAACTTGATTGTTACCGCTATCGACGTTCATTTCTACAGTTGTCTGATAGTTGGCCGTGTCATCAGGGGCGGTCTCAACCTAACCAATCTTACTAGTTTGCTTATCATACCGTAAAGGACTTAATACAGGCAGAAACTAGTTTGAGGGAATTCAATATCGTTTTAGAGTCCAGCGAGATTATCAAGCACTGCGGGAATATTCCCGTAGTTAGCCAGAAGTTGTTGTCCTTTATATTCAATACATTCTCTGCTGGGAATTGCTCATCATTTGATGTTGCAGAGATAACGTGGCCCAAGGGTTTCATCGCTGGTGCAGTTACGTAATATAAGGTCGTTGCTATGGCTTGGGTCTACCGGAGCTGCCTTCGGTGAAAGTGTAGTTTCATGTGCCTGAATGAAACTCTTTTAGAGTAGAGGAATTACTAAGTAGAACTTTAAATGTAGTGCAGTGCATTAAATCAAAGTCGCGAACTGAGATATTTAGGTGATGCACTTGGGTTTCGCTATCAATTCCTGTTAAGTGAAAAAATGCATGAGTTGCAAAGTAAAGGAGGTTAAAAGATGCAAAATGTGTTCTAAATTAATGCTCCTATTTTAAGTAGAGACCTTAAGACCTTGGTGCTTTAAAGCCGCGGACTGCGACAAAAAGTCGAAATTATATTCCTCTGAGATAGTAAGCAACATCGTTTGATTGTTAGAGCAAAAGATAACTACTCTTACCCAAAAAATGTATGATTCAAACAATTACCTTTCTCGGTTTTAATGCATCAGTAGCCCTATTTTACTTGCGAGGCGCATTTGTTGAGCTGTTGCGGCCTTTCGAAAATGAGTTCCTTGATCGTATACGATACCCCTTCGCAGCAAATATCGCAAAAGTAAATACTTATACTTCTCTTAGCTTGTCTAAAGAAATCAAGAGCTGCCAATATCTAGACTTTCGGATTTCTTTATTGGTCGTCCTTTGGGCACTGGAAAATTTGGAAATGTTTTCCTTGCGAGAACCAAGAAGGAAGATTTCGTATGCGCATTAAAGGCAGGGTTTGATGGATTCATGATTGATTTAGATCCTTTCTAAAAAGCAGCTTGTTAAGTGTGGTATGGAACATCAATTGCGCCGAGAAATCGAAATAATGTGTCACTTGCGCCACCCGCACATCCTTCAATTGTATACATATTTTCACGATGAGTCTAAGGTGTACTTGGTGTTAGAATATGCGTTTTATGGCCAGATGTACACCCATTTACAACGTGACAAGCGTTTTTGTGAGCGGAAGGCTGCTACGGTATGTTTTGCGCAGTGATATTCATGCGTTAGTATGTCTACCAATTATGCGATGCTTTGAAGTACTGCCATGCACGTAACGTCATTCATCGAGATATAAAACCTGAAAATCTCCTCCTTGGTTTCTACAACGAATTGAAACTTGCTGACTTCGGTTGGTCTGTTCACGCACCCTCGCTCAGGTACGAAACTTTCATGCTATTGTTGACCTACATATTCGTGTCATGACAGCCGCAAGTGTTCTTATAATTCCTATATTAGTAGTCCAAAATTGGTACTTTACTTGCAAATCGTAAAACCCATTTTATATGTGTGATAGGAGGGTAATGTCCTTTCCCACGCTTTTACGTCAATGATTTCATTAAGCTACTTTTAGGCGCAGAACAATGTGTGGAACAATTGATTATCTCCCACCCGAGATGCTTCTCGGACATAACCACAACGAACGAGTAGATCACTGGGCAGTCGGAGTTCTGTGCTACGAGATGCTGAGTGGAAATCCTCCCTTTGTGCACAACGACACAACGGAGACTTACGCTCGTATCAAGGCCGTAAGGTATAGGTTTCCCTCGGTCATTACCCCACTTGCACAGGACTTGATTTCGAAGGTGGGTCATCTGCCCCAGGAAAGGTAATCCCCGAAAGTTTGTGACCTACGACCGACTGACTGACCTTATTTTAGATCCTTGTCCTTCAACCTTCCCACCGGCTTGATATGGACTCTATTATTCAGCATCCGTGGGTCCAAGCCTACGCCGAAAGGGGCAAGCCACCACCGTGACACTTTTTCTGCTTCGCTGTGCAATCGATGTCTTAAGCCTTTTATATCGTAAAGTATCTATGCGGAATGTTAGCCGTCTTTTAAAACCTGTTTTCTGCGTCATGCTTCTTCCTAATTTGGGGTCCGTTACAATTTACCGAATGATGGGTTCGAATGCCTTGCGACTCATCCTGTTGAGCATTACAATACTTTTGTGATGAATGAATACCACGGAGTTGTGAGGAGGACGCAGGGCGCAAGAACACAGGTTTAATATTCGCATTATCTATCACAAAAGCTGGAAGCAAACAACAAACCAGTAGATTATGCGACATCAGAAGTGCGTAAGGTGTGCCAGAGATATTCACTGCACATTCTTGGCGTTTCGATGAACCACGGGGTTGACGGTGAGAACCTGAGCGATGATCTCGCCTAGTGCGGTCTCCTTGTTTTCTTCGTAACGTTGTTGGAGCCTCTGAATGGCCTGTTCGGTAAATGCTTCGACTCTGCCTCCGGTCTCGATGTTATGTTTAGAATGCTAAAGAAATCAGATAGGAGTTGCATACCCTCTGCTCGAGTTCTTTTATAGCTGCTTCGCATTCGGCCTTGTACAAATTCGCCTCGACTGCCGCTTCACTCTTTGCTTGTTTTAATTTTTTGATGCGTCCTAAAAATAATGTCTAACTTTTGACATCGCACTTGTCCTTGCTTCTTCGATTTTTGCCGTCGCAGCTGCCTTGGCGACCTGCAACTGGGCCACACCGTCGAGCTGTGCGGCAGAGGCCATTTTCAACTAAGGCACGTTCTAAGAAAACGGATTCAAACAAATCCACATATTTTAATTAATGTTACCTTTGTCGAAGTGCAACTCGTAGTCGAGTGCTGTTGGTATTGGTGGTTTAGTTTAGATGCAAAGAAATGTCGTAGCATTGGGAGCGCTTTGTTTATGGTTTTCTGATTCGCGCCAATTTGATTGCTAAAGTCTTGTTTATTGCCATTTGAGTGTTTCGTTTTAGTAGCACACAAGCATAGAGGTTCACTCTGTTGGTAATTTATTTTATAAGCTAGTTTTTTTCATCCATCCCAGTGTATTTTCCCGGTTTCGTGCCTTCACGAAGAACAGCTTGTTATTCGCTTCGTATTACTTGTTGTTTAGACCACCCGTCCTGATGAATCTCCAGTTATTCTTTTTTACTATCCTATAGATAAGCCAGGTATTATCCCATCTTGATTCTTAGCACTGGTGACCAATGGCACTAACATTGATTAGGCCCCTTTGTGAATGAGTTTTCAATAGACTTATTTGATACTGTAGGTATTGACAATGCCATGAATGGTTTTCATGCCTTTCATCGTGTAAACTGTGCTGTTGTTGGTTCTTATTTATTTGAGGTTGAGGTATCTTTTCTAGGGATATGGGTACGTTGCTAGCTACGCCGATAACGGAAAAGTTTAATGAATCCGGTGAGGGTAATAATCTTCGTTACGGACTCTCCAGTATGCAAGGGTGGCGTGTCTCAATGGAGGATGCCCATTGTGCCATAACCAGACTTCCCGGCCATCTTAAAGATTGGTCATTTTTCGCTGTCTTTGATGGGCACGCGGGTGCTCTCGTTTCGGAACGATGTGCAGCTGAACTTCTCAAAGTATGTTTCCTCCTTGCTCACAGTCTTGATTCTATACTGTGATGTGATTACCTTTTGAGTGATAAATGCGGTTTTGTATTTACTTTGGTGAACAAATGCATTCATCTATACGATTTAGCGTACCTTAAATTTTGTGTACTCCGAGGGGTATAGTTTTCTGACCCTGCCTTAATATTTGATTTTTTCCTTTCTCAAGAAGCAGCATCATGTCTCGAAACAATTCCTTGAGAACCGGCCATAGTAATGCTTTTTGTTTTAGGTTCTTTTATCGGTTTTGCTTGCATATTATTTGACCCCTTCTATTTATAGGCCATAATAAGTTTTCCTTATATCTTTTGCGTTTCCATTTTTTTGCCTCTTAAAACATTGTAGGAAATGATGAAGTGCTTTTTATATAATTAAGTCAAAGTGCCTTCTAGTGCTGCATTTCGTTCACGGCTTAATCATTGACTTTCTCCCATGTTGCCGTTTATTTTGTAGGAACTTGTTTACGAATCTGTCTCACCATTTCCAGCATATATGAATCTGATGATAATTTCCTGAGTTGTTGATTAGTTTGCAGAAAGAATAAATTTTGAACAGAGGAGTGCGTCTCACATGGTGGCTAAGACGAAGTAGATAAAACCAGTTACCGTTAATTAGAAGTTTTGAGGCATCACAACGTTTAGCCCGGATAAGCTATCCTTGTGGTTAGGAAGAGATAAAATCGCCAACTCGACAGCTGCCTTGCACCTACAGCGCATTGTGGATACGGAGGAGTTTAAGAAAATCGATCCAGAGCTGGCGCCGAGTATCCCAGAGGTGCGCCAGGGCATCCGCGAGGGCTTCCTTGCACTGGACGAGGAGCTGCGTAACTTGCCGGAGATCGCCAACGGCTCGGACAGGTCGGGTTCCACGGCAGTATGTGTGCTCATCACACCGAAGCACATCTTCTTCGTCAATTGCGGTGACTCACGTGCCGTGCTCATTCGCGATGGGGAGGTGGGTTTCGCCACCACCGACCACAAACCCGCCCATCCCAGTGAGAAGGAACGTATTCAAAAGGCCGGTGGCTCTGTCATTGTCGAGCGCGTTAATGGCAATCTTGCCGTCTCCAGGTGGGCTTTCCCAGCAGTCACATTTCCTCACAACCTAGAAATGCTGTTACCATCGCGCCATCAAAGCTAAAAATCTAGGATTTACTATATTCGTCTCCAAGTGGAATGAATCTTTTGGGTCTAGTTTCTAAAAACTAACGTGAATCTGAGAGATGGTTATTGTTTCCACACAGTTCTAGCTCAGTCTTACTAACGTAGCCTTTTGGTGTGAAATTTTACATACCTTAATTTTGGGGGAATGTACGCGAAATATGCTGACTTTGTCCAATTTATTATTTGTTTCCTTTCGGTGAGGCGGTGAAAGATCCGTATCATGAAATCGCATTTCATTCAGCTGAAAAACTTCGTAGCTATTGCGAATCCACAACATTCACTAACTGTTTATAGATTATCTTCATTCGGTAGCTCTTTTCTCTATTCCTGCGCACTGAAGAATAAGTCATCTATGGAAAATATAGCATGAATGACATTTTTAGGGTCGTCGTGTTACGTACTTGTGCATCAGATCGTTCATGAGGTCCCTTTTTAAGTCATTGTCGTTGGCTTCTGCGTTTTGGCAAAAAAATGGTTCCGAGGAGTATTTTGTTACCCATCCATTTTACATCAATTCAAGTAAGTCATAGCCGAAGAATTGGTCTTGGTAGAATAATTTGTTCCCCCACTTTCTTACTGCTCAAATGTAATTAGCCTATTCTCCATATTATATGTCCGCCTTTCGTGGTGTGTTGCAATAGGAAAAAATAATAAGCGTGGTCTTTTTATGGAAGTGAGACAAAAGTTGTAATCCGTAGCACTTTTGCTTTTAACTTATCCAGTGATCCTATTCTTGAAGATTACTTTTTCTCAAAATAGAAACAATAGTTGCCTAAACTTATGCTTGTAGAAGTGTGAAAATAACATCCATTACACATTCTCAATGGTATGAGGATACGTTCATATTCAAAGCGAGCGAAATCCTTCTTTGAGATAGTCTCTTTTCTCGTATTTTTCGTTTCGTTGCGAGATCAACCTAAGGCGGAATTTGTCGCAGCTTTCTATTTTAGCAAACCAGCCACTACCCTTTGCTGCTGAAGCAAGTCTCATTTCATGACGATCTTTGGGACTTTTTTCCTCTCCACTGTCCCAGGCCTGCACAGTAATGCTATTTGATAATCTGATTGCCAGACTTTTGCAGATTTAGCTTTACAATTTCACATGCGTGTTTCCTCCCCATTTCCTGCATCGGTGTTGTCATTCTCCTCCAGGAAGGTGTTTATATTTTCCAAGCATAGCCTTTGATAAATGCGTGTTATGCAACACGTTTTGTTAGACGACGCTGAATTGCGAGTCGTCTTCCTCTGGATGTTTCTTTGTGGGCAGAAGTAAGGACATTATTTGGACCTTGGAATTAGACCAATCTTACTACATTATGACCAATGTTAATGAGAAGTTAAACAATGTTTTTGCAAATAATTGGAACCATTGAATGTTGGTGCTGATGGGAGATTCAGGCACAATATCCCGCCCTTGCAAGTGTAGTAACAGCGTGAATCTAGATTCTTCGAACTACTTTTTGTTGTGTATGGATGTTTGCACGTTTTCATTATTCTCATTTTAACTGAAGAATGGTGACAGTTGTTTTGCGGTTATAATCTTCCTCTTACCAAAAATCCTTAGCATGTTAGCATTTTCCTCCACTTCTTAATGGCCTATAAGGAAAATAAGCTGAGAATGCCAAATTCACTTTAGAGAAATCTAATCATTAGCATTGGGTAATCTTTATTTTGGAGTTCTCTTCTAAAATTGTAAATGGAATTAAATAAAGGCTGGAATCTTTTTCAAAAAGCTGTGTAGACAATGATGTAACGAGTCGCAAAATAATGAACGCGTGGGTCGACAGGAAGTGTTCATTGTTGGATTTTCCTGCACGTTTACGTTTCTCTGGCCATATGCCTCTAAACCAACTCATAATCAATGGTGGTTTCAATCATTTACCTAATTGATCAGTGAATTGCAGAACAAGTGAGTTCTCAGATTACTTTTCTTTTGAGAGATTTGGATAACACCAAAAAAAATCAAGCGAATGACAAATGTACGCCGTTTCTGTTCTTTCATAGTTTCATGAAGTCAGCCATGGTCGTTTGCTAGTGAGCACTGGGACGTTTCATAGTTAACGTTCTTTATATGGTTTTTCGAAAAGGAAGAAATTGAAAAAAACGAGCATTGATGAAATGAAGACCTGTTCTTTATTATACTTCAAATAAATGTGTAAAAATAATGTATTGTAAATTCTTTAGGTTTCTTGGTTGAAGGGAATGACTAGAGCGTTCATCGTGTCCATTTGACCAGCGCCACTTCATGCTGAGGCGATAGAAACCTTATATTTATCAACTGATGGAAAGGTTTATGATAAAACGTTCCAGTCTTACAGAATTGTAGATATATGAGCTGTTTTCAGATGTAGAAAGTGCCGTGTGGTTTTGTGAGTAAGAACGATCGAGGCGTTGGTTAGTGCGGAAGCGATTTGTTCCGCAGTCTTTTCACCTAACTACCACAAAAGGTTAACTTGGCAGAAGAGTAGGTGAGCGAATTGTGAGGGGGGCTTTCACCAATGTATTTCACCTCTGAATTGTGCAGATCGCTGGGCGACTACTCATACAAGACAGCACGCGACCTCGGCCCGACAGAGCAGCTAATCTCGCCGGAGCCGGAGATCACGGTAATCGACCGGCAACCGGAGCGTGACCAGATGGTGGTGTTGGCATGTGACGGGGTCTGGGACGTGGTGAGCAACGAGGACCTCTGTTGTGTAGTCAGCGAGCGTATGCGCAGTGTGGGCGACCTCTCAAGGGTCTGCAACGAGGTTATCGACTACTGCCTCTACAACGTGAGTCTTCGGTCAGGAGCAGGAGTAGGAGGTTTTCCTACACCACAAATGTCTTATTGCGTCTTTATTACAATAAACTGGAAGCAGGGCAGCGATTAATCAGGTTACAAGCGTTTCGACCACTGTAAACTTATGACTTTTGCAACCCAATATAGGTGATTTTTAAGTCCACTTTTTTAGATTTGTTGCCCTATCGATTTGTTTTGATTGGCCAAAGATGTTGGAAATAATTGCATCAATCTTCAGTGCTGGGTTGTGTGTGGTTAGTGGTGGATGGCTCTGCCTCCCCTGCGTCTTCCGGCCTATCATTATACTTTAGGTCTCGGTTGAACTCTTGCGTATGACCCATTTGTGACTAGCAGTAAACTTGTCTTCAAGAGCACAACTCTTCAAATCACGAAACAGTGTAACCCGCATCTGTTAGTCATCCCCACTGACCACTTGGATGCGCTGCATCGCCACTAGCACTACTTTTTGGTTATCATATATTCCAGCAAAACCATCGTTCAAATAATTAACATAACGGGAACTTCCTAATATAAAATAGCTTTTAAAGTCGTGCTAATAAATTGTCTCAGTAACAATAAAACTGGGAATTGTGTGAATGTTATTAACTTATGTCTGGTACCTGAAGAATTCGGACATTTTGTACTGAACGATCTGATACAATAGGAGTTGCCAAATAGTGAGTCAAAATTCATTTTCGGACTGGTTATTTATTGTGGTAAAAGCGATGTGTGGAGCGAACAGAATGTTTGCGATTTATCATATAATACTGTTAAAAGTTATGAAAGGGAACCATGTGATCTATTTTCAATCAAAGGAACTTAAATTTTAAAGTGGAAGTAAAGATCGGAATCGAGCACTTTTAACGAGCCCTTATTGACTAACAGGAGGTGATCCTGCACGAAGGTCGCTTTCGGATATTTGAGTGGGTAGCATATTGGGGACTGCCTATCCTCTGATTTCTTATCGCTTACCCATCTCTATCTCAAGCCTGCTTTACAAAAACTAATAAGAGCGTTTGTGTTTGGGCTGAACAGTTCATCGTATGTTTCTGTCATCCTCTCCATGACTTCAGGTCTATTTGAGGTGTAACGCATGCAGAATACCTTGACACTGTTTGAACGATGTGCATGGTTTAACAGTTTAAATCATGGAACATTTCGCGAATAACTTAGTTGGAAATTCTTCCAGAGGTATGTATATGCGCGTTAGCATTAGAGTAGCATCCGACTCTTCTTAGTGGAGTTTTTCGTGGGTTTTTAACTGCCACATGAAACCATCCTTCATTCATCAATGTCTCGCAATCCCAAAACCCCCCTATTTATATGAGAATAATGTGATTAATAGGAACCTTTGGTCGCTTAATGTATTTATGTGCTCCATGTGGAAGAGCTAAATCTTCAAGGCGTATCCGTGAGACCGTGAATTGCAAGTTTTCCCAAACTTGGGGTGAATTGGATTGCATGTGTAGCTTTTTCAATCAACAAACTTCGTTTTTCTTTCAGGGCAGCTCAGATAATATGAGCATGGTTCTCGTTGCTTTTGAGCCTGCACCCAAGGTGGACCCAGAGTTGCAGGTCAAGGACAAACGTCTGGAGGAAACTGTGGAAAGTATGGCAAACGGTGAGTCCTGTAAAAATTGTTCACCTCTCTTGACTCATTCGAGCAGACTTAATCACCGCTTTTTCGATGTAGCCGCTGAAACATCCACGACATCTCGTCACGGTTATTGATAGCCACTGCTCAACGCATAAGATATAGTAGTAGTGCCTTGAGGGTGCCTATTCGTTTACCGCACGGTGAAGCAAGTTTTCGCATCATGTCGCCTTGGTCACTTTCTCCACGAAAAGAATGAGTCGACACGATAGTTGAGTCAGGCAGTGGGACGGCGGGCAGTGACCGCGTCCAATTACTCTTTCTAAGAAGTAGTGGTTAGGTGTTAGGTGTTGGTATGGAGGCCCCATTCTATCGCGAACAGATTCGCAATTTGTCGTCTTTTTCCCCAATGATAATCGGAGTAGTAATTTGGCCACACCAACTCCACCTCCTATCATAGAAATGGGTAAGATTCTTCTTCTCCAATTGATGAAACTAGTTCTGAGCGAGTTTCTAGGTATTTCACTATTCACAGATTTTAACCTGACATAATTCCTATTTTAAATTCCAGGTTAGTCATTCCATAGTTTTGCCATAAAATTGGTTCCTCTTTCAAACCTTCTGTTTTTTTCTAACACATGATCAGTTCTGCCCTCTCCAGTCTCTGTTAACTGCCCATGGATTGGTTAGGCGAATTGAAGAAAATCGTTTTTGAATTGTTTTCGACTATATTCATTTTATCTCCCATTCCGCTAGTCTGTGGCTTTATTGATGAGAAGAGAAGAACACCTGCTTACAGCACTTTTGTTCATTACTGTGAGACAAAAAAGTAGACCATTTACGGTTCTTCCGGTCTTTTGCTCGCGTGATATTGAGTTATAGACTTGTCCTTAGTCGATGTTATTGCTTAAAAATTGCCAGCCTTTTTGCACTGGACGAGATGAATTATGTATTGGCGAATTGGATTCTCGTCTTTATGTGGCCTCTTCCACCGCATTTTGAACATTTGGTTATGTGCCGCAAAATTGCGAATTTTACTGATATTAACACCTGTTGGAAGCAGTATCGAATGTCAGACCTGGTGAGTGTGGACTGTCATCTTCGCATTTCATTCCCTTTGAGAAATGCACAATTGTGTTTGAAGGCATTGATCTGGCCATGGCACTTGTCAAGCGAAACAGCCCTCGTTACTATGACCACGGGAGTCAACTTTGTGATGTGTCATATTAGGGGTGTGCGAAGTGCTAAAGTTTTTCCCATTCGCAAACATATTGCCAAACGCTTGTCAGCTAATTAAAAATGAAAATTTTCTGACATTTGTGCGGAAGCTCTTTCCTATATATTTGGGACGTTTTTCCATTCAGGACTAGGGCGTGATTTTCACTTCTTAAGACAACTGCTTTCGACTAGGAAAACGTGCATCATTAACCTCCTGCCCATTACGTGTTGAACATAAGGGCAGCGGTTTCTGCACTTGCCTTTTTGTTCGTGTTTGCTCCATATGGGCTACATGGTCGGTGTGCCGGCTGCGCTTGGACTCGTTGGGTCAGTCATGTGACTGCACTTCATTCAGTTGAATTCTTTCTACTGCTAATGTCCCTAATATTCCCACTTTTCTGTACTGGCGGACGATGGAATGCTCCAAAAAAAATTCGACTTTATTAGACCCCTATGCCTTTTTGTCCAAAGCTCACGATTCTCAAATTCAAGGCTTAGCTTTTCATTGAAGGAAAACTTGCATTTCTTTTAAGATTTTTAAATGAATCACTGATTGAAGTACGGTTACCTAACTGAGCAAGTGAGTCCGAGTGATTACTCGAGAAGACCTCTTTTAAAATGAAAAGCTACCTTACCGAATGGGATAGACATTCTGTTCGGGCTGTTATGCGGATTCTGCGTGTCATTCACTGACATCACGCATCGAAGTTGTAATCACTGAATTGGGTTTTTAAAGACTGTGAAACCTCTCAAACCACAGGGTATTTGTGGATATGCTTTTTAGATTCCCTTTTTGTGGGTTTTTTCTTAACTGAAGCTATTCTTCTTGTCGCCGCAGATATTTTGAATAATGATGGCTGTCCAAAGTCGACGCCAGTTAATCATCTCCTCAGTCGTATTCGCAACAACCTGAACGGCGAATTTCCTCCCCATGCTGTCTACTGCAAGTGAGTGCGATCTCCATTTCTTACATCTGTTCACTTTCTCCATCAAACCCTTCTCTTGTTTATTCACTTTTCTTTTTAAAGAGGAGGTCTAGTTCAACGAATATTGGACGCTCGCGGACCTTCGACCTCGAAGGGAGGATCTGAATGCTCTCCTGATACAAGTTCTCGGTGAGACCTCGTTTTCTTCTCCGATTTCACACTCACGCGCGTACATGTATCCACTTTAACTATTTTTAGTCATTACCTCTTCACTGTCTATGACGTGAAAGCATATTTAAGCATTTGTGAGTGGTCTAGGGATCCTTCTTCAAGGCTTTGTTGTCGCCCCAAAAGTGATAATGGTGGCATCCTTCTGTACTTGCGAAGTTCTAATGAACTGAGGAAGAAAGGTGTTTATTACTGTCTACTGGGTCAGTAAAATGTGGCCTTAATTTGGTTGAAACCTTTCCCACACTGCAGTTGGTATAACAGCAATTTTCTTTTTTTAAAAAATTGTGTAACACTTGCGAACCCTTCCCAAATCTCTCATGTAAGCTCTGTAATTCGGAAATGTAGCGTTTGTTCTGATATTTCACTTTTAAAGTGATAAATTAGGGCAGAAGTGGTTTTCTCGGTGCTAGATCGAACAAGACGCTATCTTCATTCACGACGTAATTCTCGCTAAGGGAAAGGTTTCTACCCCCGACAGGAATGACATTCAAATCATCCAAAGTCAAATATAAAAAAGGAAAGGTCATAAACTTGCATTTATTAAATGGGGGCAATTAATCCAGGATTGATACTTTTGGACCAGCTATAGTGACTACGAGTCGGTCGAACTACCAATATTTAACGCTGTTAAAAGAGACAATGGTTCAGCTCGGTATGAGGGTCCCTTTTGATAGCGATATTGTGACTGATTGACAGTGGGAGGAGGATCGTGGCAGTGCACATGCCAAAAACGAGTCTAGACCAACGTCGGGGGAGTCATACCATCGAGCACATAAAGTAAAAAAAATCAGTTCTTTTCTCAAGGCCGCAATCCGATTTCACCTTTAAAATGGCTGCAGCGCACAGAAAGGTGTTAGTTCTTTATTCACTTCTTATTGATTTTTAAATGTGGGTAGAATTTTAACTATTCACTTAGCACTTATTTGTCTATTTGTACATTGTCTTATTGCAAATAAATTTTGCGTTGGCCTAAGCAAAGATAGTCCTTCATGTCTAATCAAATCTGTAGAGAAGTGGAGAAAGAGCCCTGTATGTCTGGCTGCATAGCAAGAACTACTTTCTTCTGTGTGAGTGTGTAACAGTCGCGGTGTAGCGTTGTGTCTAGTAAGGGCCCTTTCTAATCTCCACTTCCTCCTTTTCCCTCACTTGAACAGAGGTCGGAAAGCACAAATAACAGGCATCTTACCCGCTGAGAATGAAGTAATGGGCTATCCGGTACCGATTCTACTACTCATTCACTACCTGTTTTATTCACGGAAATCTGCGAAGTATTTTGGTAGGCCAGTTAGACTTGTGTCTGTTAGGGACTGAGGTCTTTTACTAAATGAATAACAACCCGCCCGTATCAACGACAACTTTTCCATAGGACCACCAGCACGACTTTATTGATGAAAACAAATCTCACATATGAGATCCATTTTTTGACCCAGTTCATGTGCGTGTGTATGCATGCGTATTTTGTGTGGGTGTGACACGATCGGTCAAATTAATCGATGGCGGAAGGTCATCATCGTCCATCAGTAGGTCGTTTAAAAGTCATTGTCCTTATTGAACCTTTGGTTTTTTTCTGAAGTTGAGGTAGTTCCAAAGCCTTATTAATTTTCGCTGTAAGCTGGTTTTAAATTTAAAACGTCTTATAGGATCCTGGATTCTTGTATGCCTTAAGTGTCGGTTTCTAGCACCGATTTTTCAACCCTGTATTTCCTTAGATTTTCATGTTCGATTCAATAGTTATTTCAGTTTACAAAAATGCTAGGTAATTGAGCGATGGAAGTGTGGCAGCAGGGCAGCTTTTTGTTTAGTCGTCTAAACCTAGCTACTACCTCGCTATATTTTAACCCGATATTTGCAGAGGGTGTTTTTCTCTTCTGAAAGTCATATTCGATTTTAATGAATGCAAGACCGCATTGCCGTCACCGAAGTGGATCTACCAGTGCTTGCCCCACGCATCTTAAAAGTGATATTGACTTAATTGTGTACAGGGGATGACATCAAAATTTACTACACTTCGAAAAAGATTATCAATTTTGCGATGACTTGTTTCTGCTTTCAAGTCTGGGTGTTTAGAATTCCATATCTGCTATCGACATTGTATCAGTATGGTCGTTTTAAAACCGTACTTTTGTAAACACTTCCACCACTTTTGAATGCCACATTGTGAAGGCATGTGTTGAAGGTAGGCTTGAGTGAAAGTCTCTTTATGGAATGCATTACCGCCCATCTAAATACATGAGGTTTCCTCGTAAGAAGCTTCCTATTACGGTCTGATTACGAATATACCTTGCTAGTACATAGTTTACTACATGGTAAACGCGATCTTTCCCAATGGATGTTGAATTAAAAATGCCTACGGATTTGTGCTGTGTATTCCCGAAAGCCATGGACCTTCAGTTATTTACAAATTTCCTGGAGGGAGAAATTCACCATTGCAGCTAACTCACCAAAGTGTTATTCTTCGTGTTTAACAATTCACCATGAAAAGATGGTAAGTCGTGTGCTCTTTGCAATTCGGACCGCAGCTGATACCTCTGGCTCAATAGATCTTAACAACAGGACACTTTCCCCCATCGAGTTGCTGTACTAATGTTTTCTGTCGCTTTGCGTGTGCAATACCTGATCGATCTTTCATAGATTGCTAAAAGGTCTTGATGAATATCAGAGGTAATTCCAATTTCATACCGTTCCATCTCTCGTTGTAGCACGGGATCTCCGATTATACCCTTATGGCAAAGTAAATTGATTACCATTTCACATTTTTATATTCCTTCTGATAAAGTTGCTTTTTTGATTCAGAGTTGTATTCACGTTTTTCAGTTGAAAAACAAAGGGGATATCCTTCCTAGGCTCCTTTTGGAGGATGTATTTGGAAATATTGACTACAAACATGGTTTGAAACGGTTGACCTATGGGTCTGTAGAACCTCTACCTAGCTATGTAATCATTTTTCAAGGAAAGGTAATGTGCTTTGATTTTCTGTGTTAAAACATGACGAAACACCTATACAACTATTCCAAAACTAGTCTTTGTGCCCTTATTAGGTTACGCAAATGTATCTAGGGTTTCGGTGCATTTTAAATGATTTTCTCTTGTTGAATGCGTGCATCTCCAAATGGGTGATCTCAAGGGTCTCAACGACTGCACTTAGTACACTTTAATTTGATTGTCATTTAACTAATAACTAAACCAAAAATGCTTTTCAGTAAATAAAGGAAACTAAGGCATAAGCGTCTTTTCGAAATCAAATAAACTCGTAAAAAGGTATTTGGCTATCGGTAATAGTGAGACTGGGCTGTTTTGCGAAAATGATGGACGATTTAGGAATTAATTTTGACTACTTCTACTTCTTTATGGTGGTTGTGGGTGCATTGATGTTGGTAATGATGTTGTCCCTGTAGGTTGTCAATGATTCAGCAGTTGCTGGCCTCTTGCCACGGTATTATACAGAATGGATCTTCGTCACTTCAACGCTCTGGAGTCGCTGAGCCCGTCGTGGAGTCAGCCGAGGAGGCCGTGGAGGAGAAGGCCACTCCCTCTTCAGACAATGCCACAAACGCTTCCCCCGTCACCACCACCGCGTCCCCAACTCAGTCTACCACCTAAACGCCATCTCGTCCTCTTCTGCCTTCCACCTCTCAGACCGCTCTCCTTGCGTAACTGTTCTTGTAAGTCCACTTTTTATTGACACTCGTGCTACTTGATTTGAATGCTTCGTGATTATTACGAGGCGGATATCCAAAAGGGTAATACGCCCGACACCTATTTCAATTTGAACTGATTTCCGTTTCTCTTTCATGTCAAGGAGTGCTATCTCCATCAAAAGGTGGCTTTTGCTAGTTGAGAAACAATCCTTTGTGAATTGCAAAACCTAAAATATTCTGATCTTATAATAAGCAATGTGTTTCGGTGGATTTCTGCCAGGAAACCATCCCCAACTTAGATCAATCCTAGCTTCTGCTCAATTTTGGGGTAATTTCACCACTGAGTACAAAATATGTTATCCAAAACTAGTGCACTTGGGTATGCAATTCACGATTTTTCAAGATCCAGTCCCGTTGAAAATGTAGAAGCATTTGAGGATTGACTGCCTCATTCTTTTACTCATCACATCAATTACCTAAACTGATTTGGTTTATTTAGAAATAAACGTATGGAGCACTAGGGCTGCAAGAAAACAGGTTCAATGTTTGGCTATCACGAATGTAAACTGAATTTAATTTCAGTGAACGCCTAGAGACCTGGAATTCCTTCTTAAATCAACTATCGGGCTTTTTTCGCGGTTTGGAATAGCCAACTTATGCTATCGATTGTTATGGCGTCCACCAAGCATATGGCATTCGACCGTTGAATGCCACCCACCACATCATTTGAATTAAGAGATCAATTGGGGACGGCTTTTTTACTACGTGCCTTCTCACGTAGAATTAAGATTCAAAGGAATTAGCATACACTTCCAGAATATGCGCTCGTTCGTAAAATGGTGAGCGATAATGCGAAACACAGTAAGTCTATTGTTCACTGCTCTACTGCTCCACTTATTGAAAACACTTTATTATTGGAAGGAGAACGCGCCTCACTTTAGTAGGTTCTAGTGTCTGATTCTAAAATAATTTTAAACGTCGTGTCCAGTGTCGTTTGGGATTTAACAGAATTGGAGGATTAATTAGGGGGTTTAAATGTCAAAAATGTGGAAGCAAGCATTTACTTCATTTAGTACGGAAAAGAATTATTCTAAATTGCACAAATAATGAGCTTTTGGATAGAAGACTGGTTAATTAAAGATATTGAAGTGAGAATGGAATGGTGCGTTGAAATGTAAACTGCGTTCTTATATCAAATGATTTACTATTTCCTGTGATTTGGGTTAGTATCCTTCTTTTTAGTGCTCTGTCGTGCTACCGTGCTTTTCCATCTGTACTAGTTGGTGAGAACACTCCACCTTTCTATCGTAAGGTGGGTAGAAGTGGAATAAAAGTAGCGTCGGTTTGAGATTGCCTGTAGTTAGACGTCATGGGACCAGTTGTTATTCTCTTTCCATGAATAACTTTTAACGCTTCACTGCTTTAAAGTAAAGGCTATGAAGTTTTCGTATTCGCTGGGAGAGATATTTATTACCGCAGCAGTTACGGAAATAAGATGAATCTGAATAACAATGGTTATGAACACTATGGAGAAAAGCTGAAAGGTAATTAAGTGAAACTGAAACAGACCTTGAAAAACGCTATTTTGGAACCTCGATTAACTTGTTTTTATTTACGAGTCAGTTCGACCGCAGGGGTAATGCATTACTTCTAGTTTTTGACGAATACAATTTCTGAATGCCGCACGCTTCATTATTTGAATCGGAAAGTCACTTGAGCACGGATTTCTATGTATCTTCGTGACGCGTTGGCAATGCTTGGCCTGCATTTTTTATCCTCTAAGGACCAGTCTCAATATCTAGCTAACGATTACACCACAGGATGAGTCCGCCGTTCACCTGTAAAGCGGAAACCATTTTAAACAATTGCAATTGCTGCCTTTGTCTTTGCATGAAACTCGGCGTTGATATGAACGCTCCAAAATTTGCAGCCGACCAAGTATTGAAGTCCAAAAAGGCTTCCGGCTTCCAACGGCATACGTCTTTTGTCCTTATACCGTTGGGTAGTTTTATAAATTTTCTTCACACAGCTGCTTGTTTAATAATTGGCTTTGAATTTTGTTTTTTTTTTTCCTTTGTAATGAATGGGTAAGTAATGAGGCCGTACACCGTTGCGATTTTGCCATTCCATATTCTACAAGTTAAATCAATATTATGCCAGTCAATTCTGGTGGCTCTCTTCATTCCATTCACCGTGTCGTCGCTCTCATTTTTCTCACCATGTACTTTTTAATTCTTTTGGAGTGGTTTTAATTTGGTGCGGCGTTAAATTGCACGGTTGTTTCCCATAGACGTGCGTGCAATAAAAATGTGGAAGTCGACTAAACCCCTTTAGGGCGTGTCGCATCCATGTTGTTGTGCAGTGTTGAGTAATATTGACGTCAGACGCTTCTCTTTACAGAATATTGGATCGTTGATAATGGTTTATTTCATAAGTGCATTACCATTTTTCAAATAAATCAGCAGCGCTCAACTGCACTTCGACCCGTTTCATTCCAGATCCAGATGTAACGCTCACATTGGCAGAAAGTTACTGTTAGCAAGGAGAAGAGGTCGCATTACTTGTGTCTAAATGTGAACTTTGTTCCGTGGTAGCATCCCTCTTTTTTATTTGGCCGGTTGAGTGCATAGATTTGGCGAAACCCTGGTTGGTGGTGCATTACTTTAGATTTTTATAAAATCGCTGACTCTGTCCGTTAAAAGGAAGTTCTTTTAGATCCTTTGAGTGTGTTTGCGGGTTAATACTGCAACACGCTTTAGGCCTTGCCCATTGTAGCTTTTCACAAGTCCTATGTTTATTTTTAAGCAGCCTATAAAGCATAGTTATTTGCTCAATTCTCCTTACTATTACTTATCCGCGTCGCTTATAGATGTTCCCATCGGGCCCAGTTAACACCGCGAGCCCTTCCTCGTCATCACCCTTCATCCATCCAAGCACCGCCTTCACCAAATCGTCCTCCTGTCTCCTGCATTATTGTCGTTGATGTTGCTGTGTTGTTGCCATTCCGAGCTGTTGGGCAGACAGCAAGACGGACAGAAAGACAAATGAGAAAGCGGTTAAACCAAATGTAAGGCTCTTCTCCTCGTCCCCGCCATGTACAGAGCAGTCTATTAGCCCCCACTCACGCCCTTGCTATGCATCTTGCCCTCCCCTCTAATACTCGTCTCGTGTTTCTGAGAGGTGTTGCTGATGTTACGCTACTCGCGCATATCCATTTTGGTGGGAATGATGGTGGTGTTTGTTGTTTGAGAGCAAAAGCATTTAAAAGTAACCTGGTTTTTTTCCGGTTTGGGGTGCAAAAAGCGCGTTTGTCACTAGGTCTGAGTGCGGGTGCAGTGTACGATTACTGTCGGTTTCCTTGGTGCGATATCGCCCGAGGAACGCAGCACAGCTAGAGCATCCTACTTGGGGCGACTTCTGGTCATCATTTTTGCCAAATTCGTTGGCTGTTGGGCTCCACACTTTAGTGGGCTACATGATGAAGATGTTTTGGGGGTTCGCTTGTGTACCTTTTGGTGCGCGGGGGAGGACTAAACTTTTGTCCTCCTGACATGGAAACTAGGTCGGTGGGGCGCGGGGGTGAAATATCACTCGGTCAAAAAGGTGTTCCCTTGTGGTCTCATCTAGGCCTCTGCTCAAGCTACTTTCCAGTGCTTCTACACGTTGATAACAGGTCTTAAAGGGAGATCTTACAACGTTTTAATGTATAGCCAAGGGAACTACAACATTGTAGCAATTTAAGTAACGGTAGGAAAGTGTGGGTGCTGTTTTGAGGATTCTAAATAACCTGGTATCATGAAAATAAGTTGGGGATTTTTGACTTCTATGGGAATAATTTTAAAACTCAAGGATATTTCCCATTCGCTTAACGAGTTGTTTGCTTTGTATGTAAAAATACTACTAATCAGGGCAGCATAACCTTAGCTTTTATTTATAAACATAATTAGGAACTACAAATAAAATATCCGTGAACCTGCGAAGTCAATTTAATTTAATTTTTTAGGTAGTTGCATGCCAAATAACCTAGCCAAAAGGCGGTTTTATAAAATCACACTCTGGCCAATCAAATCCCAGTTGGATTTGTGGAAACGTTGTGAGCACGATGTCAACTGGGAAGTTAACACCAGATATAGACTCAATTAACTTGTATCGCGAGAAACCCATACTGCTCCATGGATATATTTGGCCATTCGTGTTATTGTATTCTATTTGGCTCGGTTATTGGTTTGGAACTCTGGGAGCTACTGAATATGTGGAATTAGGATTGATTGGTGTCGCGGTGATTTCGGTGCTTCATGTACTGACAGCCTTGTTCTGTTATTGGTTTGTGTCAGTTCGGTGTCTTCTTATGTTTAGAAAAGTAAGCGCACTTTTTTGGCGATGTTTTTCCTTAGGAAAAACTTGTCTCACAGGCCACATTTGCTAAAGTTATACCTCCAGCAAACTCTGGCTATCCTGCCATTGTTCCTATTTTCCATACAAAGGTATAACTTTTGTGTGACAAGTTGTATTTTGTTCAGAGTATTGCCACGGAGAGGTTGACCCATTACTTCTTCTATCAGCGGCTGAAATACACATTCGATTCTGATGATAAGGAGAGTATTCACGCCGTTAGGTTTCCTCTATCATGGTCGCTAAGGGAATATAAGGACTGGCGAGGCTACACTTCAGAAGAAGGCATAAAAATCGCAAAGGAGAATTATGGGGACAATCAGTAGTCTTTTTCCATTTTTTAACTTCCTAATTCTTAGTTTACGTCTCTCCGTCCCTCCCTTCATGGAATTATTCTTGGAGCGGGCCACTGCTCCCTTCTTTGTTTTCCAAGTGTTCAGTGTATTCCTTTGGTGTCTTGATGAATACTGGCTTTACCCGATAATGACTCTTGTCCTTCTTGTACTTTTTGAAAGCGGTCTGGTAATGCAACAGCTGAAAAACCTGAAGGAAATTCGCTCAATGGGTGCTCAACCCTACCGAATACACGTGTACAGGAACAGAAAGTGGAACACTATATCCAGCGAGGATATTGTCGCCGGTGACATTGTTTCTGTCACCCAGTCAGTTCAAGAAAAACTAATCCCATGTGATTTACTTCTCCTGCGAGGCACTTGCATCGTCGATGAATCCATGCTTACGGGTGAATCTATTCCTGTAACCAAGGTACGATTGTCACTCCGCTACCACTTTGCAGAGAGCTTTAATGTATTGTATTTGAACTGATTGTTATAACTGACTTCTAAGTTAGCAAATTTGCGACAATGCTATTCTTGTACTTTTAACATCTTTTGCCGTGATTTTTTTATCAATTACTCGATGTTTTGAGTTCGTGGTAGTGATTGTGAAGGAATCTTCCGTAGAAAGCTGGAATGTATATTCCACTATTTATAAACATCGGCCTTGATGGATCATTTTTATATTTATGCATGAGTTCCGAGGACTTCATATCTTTTGTGTCAAATATCAACTCAGCATCGAACATGCTTTTTCCCGTAGTATTATTAATAAAATATCCCGGCAATAGTGGAATCAATATGTTCATTTAAAAAAGTGACCTAAAATATGTTCTTTTTACTGTCTCTTAGTACCTTGAAGTATTTTTCTTATTTGAATGACTATTTTTACCTGTGGATTTCCAGCAAAATGTTTTCCTCAGTATTATTTGAATATCTGAATAATGTGATTTAACGGACTGGAATACCGGAGTAGGAAAGTTTTAATTAGGATGCTTTTGGAAATTTTGGTAACCTTTTTCGTACCCTTTTCAAGGCAGCAATTTTGTTGCATCTCTTGGGTGTAGATGTCGATGCTTTTGGAAGGAAATTTGATATTTTAGTGGGCTAAAAAACTGTAAAGCTTTTTAAGACGGTTTTCCTACCTGAAATATTCGCGCTTAATACTGTTACGTTTTACATAGTCTGATCTAATTTAGCCATGTGCTCTGACAGATGGTTTTGAGGATTTATTCTATGTCCAAATCGCGTTCATAGCCGTGTGCGACATTAGTAACGTTTCCTCGCCGCAATGTTTCGTATTCATTTCGTTGTGAGAAATATGGTCTGAACATCTCTTACTTAATTGCAGGAACCAGTGGAGAGTTTAACGAACATGAAGCCAATTGACTTCGGCGAAGATGACAAAATGCACGTCCTCTTTGGTGGTACCAAGATAGTGCAGATGACACCGCCAGCAAAGTACGCAGGCCTACCGAAAGGTGAGCATCTTGCAAGTGGGCTATCAAATAAGCAAAGAATAGTTGATCTCACCTCTTCCCTCCTTATTTCCCTCGTAGCACCGGATAATGGGTGCCTGTGCTTCGTGCTACGCACGGGTCTAAGCACCTGTCAGGGCCGCCTCCTCAAGACCATCATGTTCAGCGTGAAGGCGATCACCGCGAACAATCTCGAGACACTCGCTTTCATCGCCTTCCTTCTTGTTTTCGCCATTACTGCATCCGCCTATGTGTGGATCGTCGGTGAGTTCTTAATCCATAATCACGCCGACTGCTCTTATTTACCTACAGGGAATGCAACTGGTTGTCTAGATTGTCTAAGTGATTATTGCATAATTGAATTGGTAACTGTTAGGGTTGTTTTCATTTTTTGGCAATTGGGTGGATAGACATCGGAGTGCAAATTCCCATGTGTTCGTGAGATTTTTAGATATTTCGAGTTGGAGATTATTAGTGAGGCTTCTGCTATTAAACACCTATTATTCTGTGTAATCTTGATTGTTTGTCACGAATGGAGGTTTTAAGCTTACTTTTCTACATAAGATTATTTTTGAAAGTTTGCATAATAGAAAGGGTTGTGTTGCTAGAATTTTATTAGTTTTGGTCCTTATTTTAAATTCAACCACGTTTTATGCCTAGAAATGACTATTCAGGTTGATTTATGGTCTTTTCAGCATTTCAGACCGCACACTATAAGCATTTTCTTCAAAAATGCTTTTTGCCATATCTATTTGGGGCTTTTAATCATTTTGAGAACTTTAGAAAAATAAATCTTAATCTACCCATGCCGTTTATTTCTCGGGTTGCGGGACATCTTTGTCGCCTTTCTGATAATTGTGGGACTACTTTGTAACAAAACAAATCTTGTCTGTCCTTTAGGGACCGCTCATGTTTTAGCGGGAGCTTCTTGGCCGTTTAAAGGCAGAATGCAGTAAAAAACCTCTTTTCCGTGAACCACTGATCGGTGTTTGACGTGAATGTCATTTAAGCGCTCGATGTTTTCTCACACAAAGCCTGGAAAACCTAGATGATAGTGAGAAATTGTCTTTCCTGGTCTGCACTAACTTCAACCACCCCTTTTAAATCTAATGTGTTTTCACAAGTAGCCTTCCGAATTGTTTTCTGGGCTTTTGCAGGCGTTTTTTATTGGGCATTGTAGTTTTTACCTCCTAAATGAGCCTTACTTCATTCTGAGCCTTAATACTTCACTTGGCGACCCACCAAATTGGCTTGAAATTCTAGTCAATAAGGTGGAGGAAGTGGTTGCTTTTTTTGCCTACAACGTTCTCAGCATTGAGAATGTTTGGTAACAGCATATTCTTAAATGTACAGTTGGTTTGAAATGAGCCACACAGCCTTCATGGTTTTTGAGGTACTCCTATATTTTTCTTGCCTCGTTGTAAACATACTGAAAACATCTCCATTTAAGAAAGATTTCATGCAGTGCAGATTTAGAGGAAATCGCATTTTGAAATGAGTGCCAACTTTACTGGGGGCTTTTTTTTCTGTACGTAGTAGTTTTGGGAATGATGAAAATGGAATTAACACTGCAACTTAGATGCATTATTTGACCTCTGGCCTTCTCTGCTTGCACATCATTGCCAGATCGTCAGCTCACTTTTTTTCCGGTATCATACATGCTTGTTTAAGGTAAGTGTCAATTCAAGGGTCTGTCAATTACCCGCTGTACAGCTGTAAACTGATCCAAATAAAGAATAATTTGGCTTGATGACGGAATAACTCCAAAATAGTATTATTATGAACGTTTAATTGCCCACTCGTTTCGTTTAATCCATTGCTCAATTAGCATGCGTGGATTTTTGAGACAAATCTTCTTCATGAGCGTCGTAATGCGATTCTTATCTAATTGTGCAGTGGTCTATCGTCTAAGGAAGATTTAGTTCTTAGCCTAATAAACCGTACGTGTTTGGTAATTGAATAGAAATTAATGATCTAAAGGTAACATTTGCTGGTGCATTCTTATTAGAACACACGTCATGGCTAGGCAACCGAGTTCTATCAATTCTTGCTTTATCCGTTTCGAAACATCGTTATTTTTATTGGAGAATTTTCGCAGTTTCAATAAAATGCCTCATCATTTCATGTGTTCGTTTCTCCCATGCCTATCCCCCCCCCCCAGCATCCTTTATTTCCTGTTCTAGCTGACTTGAATGGTCGTTGATTTCGTAAAAAAAAATTGTTCCACAATTCTGAGTTCACACCTCCTGCTTTCTAGTCGCCTGACATGAGGACATGCACAACCATTACAGCAAATCTTTGGCGCGGTTGATCTGTCTAGGGGTGAATTGCGGGTACCTTTTGCGGTCGTGCTAAAGCTCTAGTGGTGTGATAGGCGATCTTGCATCCCCTTAGTATTTCGTTAATTTCTAATCTCTAATGTCGAAACACACTTTAAGTAGCGTGCAAATATTCACCTCGACTTGAGTGCGTAGATCCACTTATTCACTCGTCTGCTATGCGTGTCAGTTTGCTTTCTGTAAACCCATTCATGCGTCGCACTCAAGTGATAAGCTACTTAATAAATAGTGTATTTGCGCTTTTTGGGATACACCTAGAACTACCACGTCAGCTTATTTTGTAAGGTTCCGAAATCTGCTGCCGTAATTAAAAGTTATCTGCCTGCCTTTTGATTTATCCTCACTACAGCAGATCTGTGGTAGTGCTCTTTTCCCATTTCCAACGCGTTTTGTAAAGCTACTTCGAGGTTAGACAAGTTGACTCGAATGCTAATCACTAAGTTGGAAAGGCAGTAAAACTTGATCATGCATGGTAACGTCGCTAAACAACGCAGGCATGGTTCTTTCCAAGTAATTGTTAGAAAATGCCTCCAATAGGCTAGAGTTATGTTTCTTAAATAACCAGTGGTATGAGTAGTTTCTAGAATCTCGATTTTTCGTCCCATAGTAATCCTTTGGGGAATGTTCATGTACCCTAAGTTGTGCTTATTGTTGTCCTTCTTGAATTAAATTATTCTTTTATTGTTATGTGTGCAACGACAAACTGCTTATTCGATTTAAAAAATCGACGGCTTCAGAATTGGGAAACAAGGCAGATCTTAAATCTTTCCACGCATTAGTATCATCCGCGGCGAAAATTATGCACGATTTCTGTAAAATGTTGGGGTCAGACATTACAAATGTACTCAGCTGAACCTCTGAGAGGACCGCCTAGAAATTATTCATTTTCATGACCGTCGATACTTAGTTCTGAAAGTGCCTCATATAATTTACTTGTCGGGGACGAGAAATAATGTGAGGTCCATCTGGCACTGCGTTAACAAAGGCTACATATAAAAGTATTGTGAAATTTGGGATGAATGTAAGGCTTTTGTAGGATTTCACAACTTGGCTGCGAGTTGGAAGAATCATTGTTCAGTGGTGAACTCGGATTGCTATACGTAAATTCACTCTTTTCTCGATTAGCCTCAGGCTTCCTTTCGTGATTTATCGGTGCTACAATTACGTGAATAATGACTTCGCTGGCTGTTAGAAAACCTTGAGCTGTTATATATATTTACGGATGCTTAGCTGTTCGTTTATTATCCGAGCTTTCTAACCATTGAATGATTCATTTTTAGCGGGCATAGGTGAAAGATGGAAATATTATCTTGGTCTGTTTCACCCTTCAATGGGTTATAGGCACTGCAGACCCGAGAAGGAACCGTTACAAGCTCTTCCTCGAGTGCACCCTCATCATCACCTCGGTCATTCCACAGGAGCTGCCCATCGAGCTTTCCCTGGCTGTCAACACCTCCCTCGCCTCCCTCTCCAAAATGCGTACGTTGGCTTTTCTGCAACCCATCTCATCCCGCCTCATTTTACCCAACCTTACTAGGCGCACTGAACTGCATGCACCGGCATTTGCATGCAGCACGTCTTTTGCTCATTCATCCGTTCACTCCTTTTCTGCTCAATAAGGGTATATGGATCCCTCTCACTGCATAAACGAGTGGCGGAGAGAATATTTAAAGCCGATACTTACAGGGAATCGCAAACCTCCTGAATGGTAGATTTCAAATCATCTGGAGTCACTCCTTGGTTATCTCCCTTAAAACGGTTGTCTGTAGATAGTTCTATTGTAGTGATAAGGAAGAGTTACAGCCTAGAGGTGTGAACGATGTGATTAGAACCTCGCGCAACTGAAGTGGAGACAGAGGGTGGTTGACATTGGTGCAAAACTAAACTGTCAATTAACATACTACGACATTATCTGTGCGATTTGTCCTCGTCATAGGTGATTGGCATGATCTAAAGGTGGTAACACGCATGGTATATTCGTGTTGTCTGAAAATTTTACGAAAGATGATTTTCCGTCCCACTTTTTGATTACAAAGGCTTTTTTAGCTGAATTGAGTTTCCCAATTTGCAAATCTCAGACCTCCTGTGACCCCAGAGAACTGCCAAGATCTGTCTTATATCCTGCTACTTATTAATATTTTAGTAGCGTCTCATGGAAAAGGTGCTTAAATGTTAAAAAAATTCCATTTATCACGATTACCCTCTTTAAGCGAACCGAATGCTCAATGCATACCGACATCTTAGCTTCCGTTTATTCCACGAAGATTTTTCAGATTTACAGGATGAGCCTCGTGCGATTCGGGAGTTTTTCTGCCCCACACCTTTTAGTCTCCCTATCCTAATTTCAAATTTCCAGTTAGATGCTGAATCGGCTTTTTAAAGTATTCTCAGAGCAGAAGATACATTAATTGGGCCTTGGAAGCTAGAAGTTACATATCACGTTTTGTGCACTTTGACAGTCTTTTCGGTCCTACCCTCATAGATTTAAAATTTACATTTCTTAAACTAGTTCTGAAGTTTGCTCTTTAAAAGTACGATTACTCGTTGAAAGTCTTTTTTAAGGAAACTATAAAATTGGCTCGTATTCGTTTGACTCGAAGAAAAGAATACATTTCTTTATGGTAGTTCAGATTATGTGGCTCTGGGTATGAATAATTTTTTGGTTGTGAATGTGCTTGTACTTAATTTGACAGGACAAGTGCTAAGTCCACTTGTCGGAAAGCATAGCACTGAGGGGCAAAATGTCGCAGAGACATGTGTTACGACAGGTACTTAAGATTTGATCGTGAAAGTGCTTACATTGAGGTTTAGTCGGTACCTTTGATCTCAAGTGTCAAACTCTTAAAAAACCTACTTTGGCTGAAAATCAAGGTGCTTAAATGGTCATAAGTCGTATGGTGAATGATTTTAGGAGGCATAGTTTTCGCCTGAAATCCTTACTCAGACAAAATTGATGCCTCTTGGCTGTAGAACTTTCACAACCCGTGGAGAAAAAACTACTGCGCCTGTTGATACGTCATTGTTGAAGCAGAGTTCTGTAGTGCTCATTAAGAATGACCTGTGACAAGATTTTTATCCGGTAGTGCCAATCCCGTCATTTTAATTTCGGAAATCATTTCAATGCTACTTTTACTCAAATTAATGAGCCTATTTTCTACTAAAGATACTCAAACTAAAAGCACTTTTCATGCATACCAAATATATGACCCTCCTAAAAATCTACTTATTTCGCAGTAGTTAGTTAATACAGACTTAATTTGCTTAGAATTAGGATCTTTCTTGAGGTTGATTGAATTATAGTATTTACTTAATCAGCAATTCTTAGCTCAGCTTTATTTGAGATGGTAACCGTAATATTTTGTTGATCTAGTCTCTTTGATCTTCTGTGTTGAAAATTATTAGGAATTTCCCATTAAATCAGTTGGATCCTTTGTTATAGTGATCTACTGTACCGAGCCTTTCCGAATTCCTCTGGCCGGTCGTGTGGACATCTGTTGTTTCGACAAGACTGGCACTCTTACTGAGGATGAAGTCGTTGTAGAAGGTGTCACTGGTCTTAAGTGAGTTCTTTTAATTCCATTTCTCACTCATTCGCCGCCGCTATTGCCTATGCTTGTTTTTTAGTGGTGAGCTGGCCGAAAAGATCATTCCTGTACGCAAGTGTCCCCTTCCCACCATCCAAGTTCTCGCCTCTGCCCATGCCCTTGTCCATTCTGAGTCCGGTCTCCTTGGCGACCCTCTGGAGAAGGCCATGCTCAAGGCTGTCGGGTGGAGTCTCAACGCTGAGGGTGTGGTGCATGGCAAAACCACTCCCCGGTCGCCTCCATTGCGCATTTACCAGCGGTATGCTTTGTCCGTTGAACCAATTTTACTGGGAATAGTAAGTAGGCTGATTTTTATATTGTCAACACGCTCAGATTCCGTTTCACGAGTCAGCTGAGACGTATGTCAACGGTGGTGGGCTACCAGGGCACAACCGATGTGGATTTAACCTACATGGCCTGTGTAAAGGGTTCCCCAGAGGTGCTCAAGTCGATGTTCGTGGATTTGCCAATGGACTACGACGACGCCTACCTCCAGATGGCTCGCAGGGGTGCACGTGTGCTTGCTCTGGGTCACAAGACACTGGGACGACTTAGTCATCAGCAGGCAAATTTTGAATTACTTGCAATGGAAATTTATGTATCCATAATTTGCACGTTCCTTTAATTAAATAGACATCCCCATGGTTACACTAAATTGCGGAATTTCAAAAACTGTTATTTGATCTTATTTTGGTTTTATTGATTAGTAATTCCCAGGAAAGATTACAATTAGGCTTTAAGCATGAGGCGAATCCCTTTTCCAGTGATCGGGAATTTTTTTCATCAAGTGCATGATATATGTATGAGTGTCGTTGTAATTAATAAAAAATGAGCTAAAACTCAAATTCAAACAAATGTTTTCACAGACTAATGATGAATGGTCAGTAAGTTGGTGCTGTCAGTTCACCTTAGTAAATATTTGTGAACATTTCGGTTGTGATTTAAATGCGTAATACTCAGTTTACTTTCGCTTAAATTCGTGCATTATCGCAAACTATATAGAAAAGTCACAACAGACCGATCGGAGGCGTAAAATTGCATTTCTGTACGTTAGCGAAGAATGAATTTAAAACTTTACAATTGAGTTCCACAGTATCAGCATAACTCTTAGGAAAATAGTTCTTTCATCAAATTATGCATTTGTATCACGCGCACTAGCCATACATTTGACTACTAGTAATATATTGTTTCTTATTTTTAATCGAACTGATTGTTCATTTTGCGGCAAAAGTACTCCTTTTATGAGGCTGAAGAGAGCAAAACCGCATAACAGACAGATTTACTAAAGTGGGGCTAGTTTTACGCCAGATATGGGTCTCCTGCGGTACGCACGTAGGTTCGCGAGTTAGAGCGCGAGGAAGTGGAAAGTAACCTGACCTTCGCAGGCTTCGTGGTGATCTCATGTCCGCTGAAACCGGATTCACTAAAGGTCATCCAGATGCTCAAGTCTTCATCGCACCACGTCACAATGGTCACTGGTGACAATCCGCTCACCGCGTGCCACGTGAGTGATCTCTTAGGCATCACGCGCAAGGATATGCCCATCCTCGTCTTCACGCCTCCCAACGAACTCGGTATGTTCTGCAGTGTCAGCCGGAAGAATATTGATGTGTTCTTTTCTCGCTATACCAATCCGACTTTTCACCCGTCTGATTTTTAATTATTTTGAGGATTCATGCCAAAGGATGTTATTTTTCCATTAGTTCATTGGTTCCCGTCTTTTCTGATTTTTGCTTTCTACTCCTAGTTATCCAATAGCAATAACTTATTTGGGCTCTGCTACTGTTAGCTGTTTAGTAGATGCAACTGAATAATGCTTTATTAATCACATGCTTTTACGACGTTGAATTTTCATTCCGTAACGTGGATGGACTCTCTTAAGTGAACTGTTACATGGTCACACTTTTAAAGTGGTTTGTCATGTTGATTCACGTATTTAGAGCTAATGGTGGCACCAAACATTTACCTTCTGAAATGTTTTTTCCTATCGAAGTCTGCAAAAAGATGTTGGGAGGCATACAAGGAAAAGTCACAAGGTTGTCCATTTTCATTAAAGTTTTGATTTTACAAGGAGTCAAAGTGAGTCTTCACTTTTGTACTGAATCCTGCTCTTGGTTTAGCCCAATAAGTCACGCATTTTTGAAATGACACACTAGGTTTGTCTCGCGCTAATGGTAGCCATGGTCACACCAAACATCGGTTAATTTTTTCAAGACGCGTCATGCTTGATAGTCACAACCATATTACTGAAAATTGTCCCAGCACCTTGGTCATTCTGGTTCCTTTTAATGTATTTTTCTGTTACTGTTCGCTTCAACTGTAGCCCTCCATAAAGTGCATCGAGTGGCAGGGATTGCTATTCACTCCGCTAGGAATTTTAACGCGTTCTTTATGGTTTTACATTTTTATGGTTCTCCTAAGTTTACACTATTTCGCTTTTGCCACTAGCTCACCATTCAGGTTGGCATAGGAAATGACCTCGTCCTTCACGCAACAAGTGTTGTTTCGAATATACTAGCCTTCAAGTGTTTCGGTGTTTTCCAATGTCAAATGTGTATCGCTTGATCATAGCGGATTCCTCTACGCAAAACAGATCTTATTCTAGCATAAAACGTTGAAAGTAGCGTTGATGCTGGGTTTTTTTAGAATTTCTGATGTTCTATGTGAATATCAAAAGCGATCCGTCAAAAATAATTAAATCTGTTCTCGATCCACTACTTATTATTGCCATCACTAAACGTTGAATCCCCATCAAAGCAAGTTTTTAAGCCAAACAACCGGATTATTTTTTTCGTGATTGACGTTGGAGCGTGATTTGGACCTTGACATGAAATGGAAAAAGTTAAAACAATCTGGATGTGCTTCGTAAAAGGGACATGGAGGTTCAAGTGGTCAAGTCGTAATTTCCCTTGGGTCGACTTATTACGCACAGGACATATCAAGTGTTTGAGACTTTATCACTGTTTCAACAAGCTTTGTTTGGAAAGTTTGCTGTCTCCAGCTTTGAGAATCTTTTCCACGAACGTTTACTTAGGTACAAGAAAGTGCATCTTTTCCAAAATCCTATTTAACTCAACGTAAAGGGCACAGCTTGGAGGTATTATCAATGGGCCTCTTTTTCACTATTTCCGTGTGTTCCATTCGTACCACAAGATTCCTCTTCTACTAACTTACAGTTTACTATTTGCACGAGTTAACAGAGGTTTTACCAATCGGCAAAGAAATATGGTAGATGATTCCAAATTATCTTTGCAAAACAAAAAGGATGTTCCCTATTTTTAAGTGAGTCCATTTGCTAGTTTTCTATTCCGGAGGTTTTTTTCTAACTTCAGGAGCGTCGTTGGTAGTTTTTTGATGTATCATCGTTTGAAAAATCCGAATATAAGTGATTCCTCCACGAGTCAAACTGGAATAGATTCCGCACTTCAATTTTATCTCCGTATATTGAATTTTATGCCTTATGATGATGTTTTATTCTTCCATGCATACAGATAAATTCATTTTCATTGTTGTATTTGCATGAAATTTAATTGAGTTATAAGCTCTTGAAACAGTGACTGATCCCTTATTTTCTCAACATTTTCTTCCTACTGAAGCTAGGAGATTTTAGATATAAGCCACTAAACAGTTATTGAATCAAGTAGATAGCGAGGGAGTGGTAAATGAAGGGGTTACGAAAATAAGTTATTTTTGCCAAAAATTGGCAGTTTTTTATCGTGATCGGAAGGAATGGAGTTAGTGTTCTGCCATCCCTTCGTTACCGCTTCTAGCCCTAAATAAACCTTTCCGTCAAGTTATTCTCTTATTCATGCCTATCATTCGGAGTACATCAAAATTATGAAGTTTGCAGCAATTTTACATTAACAAATGTTCATTTCAATTGGCTAAGGTTTTCTTAAAGACAACTCGTCAAATTGACTTCTTCACGATTATGCTGCACACGTTATCGCCGAAACCCTTCTGTCTTATTTGAAAGGAAGTATTTGTGCTTATTCATAGTTATCTGTAGTGCCAAAGGTATCTCTCAGCAAATTTTACTTTCATAACTTCATGAATAGAATTTACGTGGTAGATTTTGTTGCATTGCTACATGCAGACACACCTGCATAGTGCTTTTTTGCATTCTTTCCCTCCATCACCACACCCATGCGTCTGCTCAAAAAAACGAGCTTCACAATAACCGCGCATGATATCCGTAGCTCATTTTGCTTTTTACGTTTCACTTTTCTCGGTTTTGTACAATTGAAATGAGTCTATTAACTTCTTAAACACAAACGCATCATTGCTACGGGTGAAAATGCATTATTAACGTGCAAAAAGTTTAAAGGTTTATTATTAATGCACGAAAAGACCTGGGAGACTAGTAGCTTAGGCAACTTGAGCAAAAAATCCAAGCCATCAAAGTCAAGACCAAATTATGGGATGCGCCAAGTTGTTTTGTAAAGCCTATAATTGAAGTAAAGATGATTCTCCTACATTGTTGCTAATGCAGATGACAGTTGGCACTGGCAGTCAGTAGATGACAAGGTGGTAGTGCCCTGTGGTACAGTGACAACAACACGGGAGCTGGCGCGGAAATACGAGTTCTGCCTTACTGGCGACGGAATTGAAGAACTTCGCCGCATTTCCTCGTCCTCCTCCGGTAGCTGTGAAAGTCTACTGAATTGTATGCTGCCCAAAGCGAAGGTGCTGTCACGGGTGGCGCCCTCCCAGAAGGAGTTTGTGCTTGCTAGTCTGCGTGAGCTGGGTTACACCACTCTTATGTGTGGTGATGGCACTAACGATGTGGGAGCTCTCAAACAGGCGCATGTCGGTGAGCCATTCTCTTGCTTCATTTATGTTCGTATCAATTATTATTTATTCTAATTTGCCGAATAGTTGTGATTTACTTTTCTGTTGCTTCGATCCGATGGATTTCACGCCATTTTACAGAGGAATGTCACTTGGATGCAATTAAATCAAGTTGATTGTAAACTTTGACTGGCCTTTGCGTCATAATTTCGGGACATCATTTGTCTCATTTTACCCGGTGTCTTAGCCGGGTGATGTGATCTGAAATCCCATGGCAATTTTGTACTTAAACATGTGCTCATGGACTTCTGAAATGACCCCAGACTTCTTCAAAACGAGGGAAAAGAATATGCTGAACAAGTCCGACGATCTTACTGTTATTGTACTTTTACAGAAAGAAAATCAGTAGAAAACCTGTTTGTTAAATGAAATGGATTACCGAAATGTACAGCAATTATGCAACTATGTGGCTGAAAATATAGGTAATTTCTTTTAACTGATCGAACTAAAATTGGCAGAAGAAAAGGAAAATGTGGTTATATTATGGACCCGATTAAAATGCTCCTTTTTTTCATTTTTCAACTCCTATAGAAAGAGGAAGTTGATCATGCTTTTTGGGAAAAGATCTTATCCCAACGCTTGTTTGCATTTTTCCTCCCACGCGGTCAAAGCATCGGCACAACCAGCCTGACTGGTTCCTGTCCTAAAATTGTCAAAATTAAACCGAGAGGGTGTAATTAAACGATAACGTCAAAATGACATCGTCTTTTAGTTCGACACAGCTTGCTCACAGAGTGCACTACAAACAAGATGGGGACTGTTCATTGCTAGATGAAGCGCGTTAGTGAAAAAGAATTTCAATAGCTGGGAATTAGGGCGAGTAGTGTATTGCATTCCATACGCAGATGAAAATTACGTGTATTGAGCGATGTGATGGTGGCTTATTAATTCCCTTTTTTTGTTATTGTGGTTCTGAAGGAGGGGAATAATGGGAAATTAAAAGTTCTCACAGTGGAAAAGAACACTACGTTTACTGAACTGATGGCATAGTTGTCGACTGGTACGTTATTTGTGAGCGAGTAGGAGCGCAGTGCCTGCTACTTGGCGTTGTGTTGAAATGTGGCTTTGGAAATTCGCGCGCAGTGTATGGAAAAGCCGCGGGTTCTGCATGTAACCTTAGGAGTGAAGAGCTAGCATATTTTGCCACGGGGTTAGCCAATGCTTAGTTAAATTAGACGTGCCTAATCGAGTCTCGTTAGGATAGCAAAACAAGGGGTGATTAATTACTTCCATCATTATTCATATCACAGAAGGACAGTTTGACTATTTTCCTCACTCTGAATATTTATCGGACGGGCTTTACACTTTAACGATGCTCAAATCAATCGCCTGCATCATGTTTCTCGTAAATTTCCTCACCTTTTATGCCATTTTAGACATGTTTGTAGACGTGTTAGCTACTAAAAATGCTCTGCTACCGGTTTATGGTCTTTTTTAAATCGAATGATGTCCTCGATCCTTGCTGCCTTCGTGGTACTTATTCATATGACATCTGTCAGGAAATCGATTCTTCCATGATTAATAAGGCTGGTCTTTCCGTGGACGAGGTTGTGGAAAAAGCCACAACTATCGGCTCAGATAAGTTAACCACTAACACCAGGTTGATTAACGAGTTCTGATGGTCTTTTATTGTCACTGTTTTCATTAAAGGTGGATACGGTCTTTGAAGCAGCCTAATTAATCTACCTGGAATTATTGAGGCAGCGAGCATCACTTTTATTAATGAGCCGATGGTGGTTGTAGCGTCTAGTGTCACTAAATATTCCCTCGCTGAAAGCCCTTTCATCATTCATTAGTACATGTCTAGTATCGGACTCGCAAATCCTAGTTGGGCATTTTTGAGTGCTATAGCCCCTGACCAATTATTACAGTTTTGGTTTATAGTGCTTCAACAGTGAGTGAATCTCTCAGGCCAGTGCGGATTTAGACTAATGGATTGACGAGAAAGTGATGACGTTTTGAAGAATTTTTAGGAGTTTTTCCCTTTTTTTCCACAAAGGAAGCTATAGACATCATCTTAGTGTGGAAATAATCGGATTATTTGTTAAAGAGCTAACGAGAGGGCATTTTCATGTAGTTAATGTGGTTTCGGCTCGGATTCTAAAATCGCGTAGTTATAACCTCGTTTTGTTGGATCACATTATGCATGAGTGTTAGGTCGTTTTTTTTTCTCGTTTAGAATTGACTAATTCTGCTGATACCGAAATTCCGCCTCCATTAGCACGCTATTTTCTGCTTTGAGTTATGTTTAGACTTACTAAAAGCATTGCTTCCGTATGGGAAAAAAACCCTTGTGTTTGCCTTTTTATTTTTACGTATTTATTTAAATAAATGATGGTGTTAAGCTTGGATAACGGATTCGTGAAATGTGTTTTATACCATCGCTCAAAAGTTGGTGTAACTCTGATTTTTTCAAGAGAAAATAGTTCAAAAACAAAGTGAATGAGTCTTATCTTTTGTGGTTTTCTACCTAAAATAACCTCTGTCGTATTTTTGATGTGATCTTACGAATCTCAATCAACCGTGTGTGTGTGTTTGTGTCAGCAAAATTTACTGAAAGACTTCGCTTCCTGAATGGATGTGAAGAGGGAATAGAACGAAAACTGCTTTTGCTGTATCAAATCAAACTAGTCTTTCAGTTATCTCTTAGCTTCGATAGGGTAAGTATTGGTTGTTTTTTTTCCTGTACAACACCCCGAATTCGTCATTTTTTGCAAGAGTAGCTTAAGGGTATAAGTAATTACTCCATAAAAGTCTTTGCAACGCATAGTAGCTCACATGGTGGGTGATTCTCGTGCCATTGATAATTAATCTCATTCCGATTAATCACTGTTTATAAATGACCCGATTTTTCAGGTGTGGCGCTTTTAAGTCTGGTGCAGTTAAAACCTGAACGCTCTTCTCCTGTTGAACTTCTTCTGGTCGGAACTCCATTCAATAATCGTGGGGATGGTACCAGCTTGATATCCTTACTGTTCTTATGCTTCCTCGACCTAACGCTAATACTGGTCACGATTCTCAGTCTTGTCCTGCCAAGCTCAACCTAGGTTAATCAACTCGTAAAATCCCTCGATCTTATTAACAGTAATGCTAAGTGAAAGACGCATTAACAAGATTTAGTTCTCACTAGTGGGCTGTCATGGATTATCACTATATTACCTACAAAGCAGGCTTAGCGCCCTTTGACAAGCCCGTAAAATGTGCCTGAGCTTACGCCTTTCTGCTTTTTTCATCCCTACCAAATAACATCATTTATTCCCTTGAAAATTTTGCTGACCTTAAAAATGAGCTATCTTAATGTCTAGACTCATTGCGTGCCAATTCGCTGCTTCATTATTTGATTTGGTGTCTCCGATACATTGATTAGGGTTGAAGAATGTCAGTGACCATTTTTTTGCTGCCGCATCCCCACTTGACACTTTTTGTTCTGATTGTTGAAATCGGACACAGGATTAGCTCCTATTTTAGTTATTTTTTTCTGGAAGAGGTTGATTATTCAGCGATCGTTTACGAACATTTTTGTTACATCAATGCTTGAGTTACCGTTTTCGTGAACTGCTTGGATTGACATTCACGAATAATTTGGGAAAGGGCAGAACTACTTACTATTCGTTTGTTTTCTTTACATTCCCACGTAGACCTTTTAGATCCTTTACAAAACCACCGATTTTTAATTTTTGGAATCGTTTCTCTTCTTGATTTTCATTATTTTCGACTCTTAAACAACCCTTTATACCTTAAATTTTACAAATTTCTTTAATCGTCGACCCATTGTAGTTGTTCTTAACTAGTAAAGCACTAGGGCGAGGTGAATTGGTCCATAAGGGGTCAAGTGGATCATTCCACTCGCTGCAAATCGCGAGTGTTTTGCATCTATCCAGTAAATTGGCGACAGAAATATACGGACCTTGACCGAGTGACAACGTGGATTGCTCGTAGTTTTTAGCTGCGAAACGGAGTGTGATTCGATGCAGAATGTTCAAGTGTGACGGGAATCTAACATTTCTGAATACCTACTTTTAAAGTTTCCCAACAGTGCTTCTTGCTTTTCTAAAATTAACAAAACAGAGAAATCCAACTTGCGGCTGGACAATAATGTTAGACCGAAACTAAATTGTGGCAGCCTATTAAAACTTATCGTAAGTTCAACCCTCCAACTTACTTACGGCTTCTTGATAACGCTCTCTGGCTATCTGACTTTTCAGCAGCATTGAAGAATCACCGTTTGAAGACAAAGAAACAGCTCTGTTGAACTGGCTTCGGTTCGGGAGAGGGTATTAAACGCAGACGAAAAATCAACATTTTCAAAATTCTTTTGCAGCGCTTCTATCATGCTAACTTTTGTCAACTTCAAACAAATAGAGGAGTTGTTATTTTTTTACAAAGACATGGTTTTTGCACTTCGTCACATTTCTTGCGCCGTCTCCTTTTAGGCGTTGCATTGCTCAATCAGACTCCGATTATGACACCTGCGAAAAACGGTGTCAAATCAGCGTACCAGTTACCATTGTCGGTGACGCAGCCACAATCCGGACGACACCGTCAGCCCTTTGGTAACTCAAAGACACTCCAGGACCTTGCTGCCGATGACGAGGTGCCGATTGTACGTCTGGGCGACGCCAGCATTGCTGCTCCTTTTACCGCCAAGATGTCTTCCGCTATTGGAGGTTGGTTACTGCCCTAATTTAGACCATCCTTCTTTTTCGCAACTATGATATCAACCACCCAATTTATCGTTTCTTTTTTTTGATCTCTCAAATGAGGCGGTTTATACATGTACGATTTTAATCTATTTCCCTTCTTTGGTTTCATTACTTACTTTCTACTTTTCTCCTTCTCTTCCACGTGCCAAATGGCGTTGCAAAATGACTACTGTTTTCGGCAGTTCGTCTTGAGACATTTAATTTTTATACAATAGCAAAACGAACTCAAATCGTTTAGTTGATGCTTCCGCTGGCGCCTTGTTACTTAAAAAAGCTGGAGTGGTTTAAGGGTAATGGCTGGAGAGAAAAGCAATCTTTCTACTGCCAATTATTTCCCCCAATTGATCTTAAATTTTGCCTTTTTATTATTCCAGATTTTGCTTATTTTCTGCTTTCGCGCCTGAAGTTAGTGCAACTTGTTCCCGGACGTAGATTCCAAATTATAGCTTCGGAGTTTGGGTATATAATTTTTCACTCATTCAAGTAGTGTTAATGAAGTTTTTTTACAGCATAAATTTAAATTTAGAGATTAGAGCTCTATTAAAATCAGACATTTTGTGCAGCCTCGGACCGAATGTTAAGTACTTCGTAGCATGACAAACGCTAATTGAAGCCAATTGGTGCCGCCTTGCGGCACCAGTTTATCTTCAAAAGGCCACAAGTATGTTTTTCCCCTGGTTTTTTACTTGTGTTATGTATGCATCTAATATAGAGTATTTTTTGCTAACGATCGTCTACCCCCATCATTCAACATTATGCTGCAACTTGAAGTAGGAAAATGCTAATCTTTAGGAATTTTCGTCTATGCTGATGCTAATTTTGCCACCTTGTTGAGGGATCACTAAGGCAAAGTGACTTTTAACGCTTTTTCTCCAGTTTTTTTTTCATTGTCACTGTGTTTGGGACTTTTACTATGCTCTACCCCTACGTCTTGGTACCATTTGTGAATAGATTGGCTATAATTGCTTCACTTTTATCGACAGAATTTGGTGATTCACTAATTTAAATAAGATGAAACAAATAGCCGTGATGATTGTTGGAGTTCTGTCCTGATAAGGAATCCACAGTCTCAAACAACATCTAGTGCTAAGGGGATGCAGTGGTTTATTTGTCAAGTAGAACTTCAAATTAACATTATTCATGACTTAGAATGCTTTTGAGGCACTTTCCATTTTGTCAAGATCATTATCCTTACCCTTCAAGAGGCTCGCGTGTTATAAAATTTAACAAGTGCGTTGTTATTTGTTGCATTTAAACGCAGTTAGAAATTGGTGTAACGATTTGCGCTGTGTGATGGTACTTATTTTTTCCTTTATATCTCTGCTTTCTCCCTTCAGTTTGTCACATAATTCGCCAGGGTCGCTGCACCCTCGTGACGACGCTGCAGATGTTCAAAATCCTCGCCATTAATTGCCTCATCTCTGCCTACAGTCTCTCAGTGCTCTTCCTGAAGGGCTTTAAGATCTCCGACTGCCAGACCACCATCCAGGCACTCCTTATGACCGGTTGCTTTCTCTTCATCTCGCGCTCCAAGGTCAGTTGGCTTATCAGTCATTCCTATCAATCCATCTGGTTTGAATGTGATCCAAAAGTAGGGGAATGGTGTTTGTTCATATTTTTTTCGGATGTATTTTCAGTCTTCCAAAAATTCTTCGTTAGTTGTCAAGTTTTAAAAGGGATGGAAATTTATTGAAAAGAATTTTGGACAATTTTAGCCTTTCTGGACTAAGTTGGTTGCACAAGTTCAGCGTCATTCCCCCTATTCGTTTATCCCACCATTTGTTTGATAGTTGTCTAATTCTGCTTCTAAACTACTTTGCGTTAAAAAAGCTTTAAGATGAGCGTGCTACGTTGAAGGTAAACTTTTCGTCTGATGGTTGTTCGATTTACAGAAGTGTTATAATCCGAAATCCTTCCATACCTCCAAAATGCTGTTTTATCGATGGTTTTGCCTCGCACCACTACCTGGCGAAAAATCGTTGACGGTCTGCAAGACACAACCTATTAATGGTATTTAGGCTATCAATATTTAGGCTTTTTTATTAATTTGGTAAGAATTTTATTGTGCTTCATAATTATTAAGATAGGCAAAAGTGGTAGCTTTGCTGTTACAATTTCGCGAAGTCGTGAGCGCTTAACTTGTTTTAAACATTCCGTACCATTTAAAACCTCTCATCCCTCAGCACTTATAAGCAGGTAATTCGGCATTTCCTATCGACTTAGAAACGAAACTGAATTAGAAACAACGTGAGTTTTGTGGGAGTCAAATAAAGGGTTTTCCTGTTTCCCACAGTGATTAAGACTTATTTTAATGAGAGAATCTCTTTTCTCATTCCTCTTTGCTGCAAATCTTATTAAAGATGGGGCTGATATGGGTCACAATAAAAAGGTTTATTTCCTTTCATTCTTGATTCCGCTTTGAAACTTTTGTTTTAAATTCCATCGCTCGATGACATCGAAAAGCCTTGTCCATTGAGTAAGGTTTATACTGCCAACAAAATTTACCAACATTTGCGCTTCATTAGCACCACCGAATCATCGTTTAAAAAATTGTTCCCAATTCGAATTTTGGTAACAAATAAATATGGCACTTCTTTCCTATTCTTCAATTGTTTTTCGCTTCTTTCTTAAACTCGATTCTGATTTTTCTCTTTTTTTGACTCGTTGC